GGGGGGGGAGGAGGACGGTGAAGCCCTTTTTACACAGAATGAAGCTAGATGTTTCGTGCGAAAATATGTATCTCGGCCCGGTCGCCTCGTGAAATCGAATATCTAGTAGTAGAAGAAAGAAGAAGAAGAAGAAAGAGTACGAACGGTATTCTGGTGCACATACCACAGGTGCACACTCTCCACGCAGTCAGACTACCCTTTCCGGATGTCGAAGCGGAGGGGCCACATGGAAGCGATGCAATCCAGAGAGTGACACAGATAGATCTCTTCTCAAAAAAATGAATATTCTATACCTGCCTATCCTTTGCCACGCGTTTGGGTGTGGCGTCAAGGTCTAAGAAGTAGCGATTTGATCCGAGACCTTCGGAATCGGACGCTATGTATGTCTGTAAATGCAAAACCTAGAAAAGAGCGCCGCGGGAGTTCAGTCTGTCTGGTGGTAGCATTACCTCCAAGAAGAAGGAGAAGATCTTTTGAGAGAAAGACCCAACATGCTTTTGTGCAGTAGTACTTTGAAGATTTCTCGGCTCTCCTTACGCTGGATCTCCCGATGGAACGTTGAAAAGCATTAGCCTGTTTGGTCAAGGTTCACCATTTAAGAAAGAACCCAGCAAAAGTCTGTGGATGGATCTTCTTGTTGACAGAGTCCTTGCTTATAGTTAAATGGTTTCTTGAATTGTGAAACGTCAGTAGCCAGCCGACTTTCTAAGGGAGCGGGCGCCCTGCTCCCCGTCTGCTCGTGAGCTTCTTGAATAGCAGATTACCAAGTACCTGCATTCCGTAAATTCCATCAGTTTCCTACAGAGTTTAGTATCAGCGTCATGTATCATCACACGGTAGCTAAACTATCCAGAGCGATACCGCTAGGAGAAAAAACAGCAGATTAGGTACGAATCAAGACGAAAAAATGGCATTTCCTGTAATCACTCCCCGGCATCTTTCCTCCCACCACCAACGACCTTCAGCTCTCCAGCGCCATCGCCAACCTTCTCATCTAATACCATATGTTGCTTCCAAACCGGCCTCCCATCGTCATCAAACACAGCCCATTCAAAAAACGTACATCCCTCTTTTCCCTTCTCCGGCACATTCCCCACGTAGCACATCCAAAAGTAGCGTCCCCAGTTCGCCTTCTTCCGCTGCACGACCCGCAGCACCGCTGGCACACCGCACTTGCACCGTGGCGTGAAGCGCGGATGCATGTACTCCTTGTAGTCACGATACGTGATGTTGATCCTCTTATTCCCTGATATAGGGTGCGGGATGACCGTTGTGCAGGGAGCGATGGAGTGTTTCCACTCCTCTTGCATTTCGGCGTGCATTACCAGGAGGGAGTTGTGCGGGAGGTGGATTGAGATCTGGCCTTGGAGATCGGCTGCTTCTGTGTTCTTCTTGCTTTTGCTTGTTGAGGAGGAGGAGTCGTCTTGTGGTACAATCCTCCGGACTCGGAACTCCCTCGCCACGCCCAAGGAGAGAGAGCCGATAGTGGCGCGTGGCCCCAGATAGGTCAATTGGTCGGCGTGGTAGCCTACACTTTCTGTAGGACCGCTGTAGCAGTTTACTACTGCAGCGTTGGGACGCCAAGGGTGTGGACATTGATGGACGAGTTTCTGCTTGTTGGGATAGCCTTGGATGCGTGTGTTGATAGAGGCGTTCACTGCCGCCGTAACCTTTGGGGACGCTGAGAGCATATAGGGTGTAAGTTGCCGGACGTCCTTTTGAAGCGTTACTGTTAGCGTAGAACTGAAAGTTTGCAGAAAGCTCTGTAGACTATAGAGAACCGTGGAGATCAGGCAGTGAAGAGTGAATTGGCCGAGGAAAGATATCCAGCAAGTTCCTGTGATATAGAAGTAAGTCCGGACGGTAGCTGGATAATAGTTGTGCCGGTTTCTCTCTGGGCCATTGAGGGGGTAAACAACTACCCAACCGAACAAAGAATGAACATCCATGCACAAGTCGGCCTATATTAATTCCATCCCCGAAGTGAAAGCAACACCAAAGAAAGAACTCACTGTCAGCTTCGCCCCGTTGTAAATATACTCTGTCTTCTGCCTCTGCATCTCCTCATGCGACTCGACATAGAAGCAGTTCGTATGCGGACTCGACACCACGTTGTCAAACAGCTTGAACGTCTCTCTCTCAAATGTCGGCGCCTCCAGCAGTAGCTCTTCCAACAACGCATTTGCCTCTGCCGGCGGCAAGAAGTTGTGGATGATTGAGCAGGGGGTGTGCGCCTCCACGTCTGCCGGGTCGTAGAGATGCAGGGTTTTGCCTCTCTTGACAAGCAGCTTTGCGGGTTTGCCCGAATCATCCTGGGTGATGAAGCTAGACAGGGAGCTTTGGTATCCTGTTGCCCCGGCGGATGGGCCTGATTTCCGCGATGGCGATCTATGAGGAGCTGCCAGGGAAGAAGAGGCTTCTAATACAGATCCTTCATGGGCGAGGAGAATATCCAGCAGGTCATTTTGGTCGGTATTCGGGTGTAGAGAAGAGAGCAATGCTAATTTGAAGTCTGTAGATTCTTCTTCCTCGATTGCGAGGCTGCGCTCTTCCCGGGGAATTTGACTTAAACTTGGACTCGGACTCGGGGAGGGCTGGAGAGCAGCTCCCGACGAGAGCTTTCTCTTCTTCCGCGAGACAAAGGCTTCCATTCCCCTTCTCCTTCCAGCCTCGGCCAGATTATCTACAGCTTTGAACGTCGAGTTCACGAGGATCATCGAGCATCGCCGGCTGCTTCAAGCTTCAAGTTTCAAGCTTACGTTGTTGACGTCGTCGTCGTCTGCTCGCTTGCGAAGGCTCGGTACGAGGTCGGCTTGATCGTGTGTTCCAGCGCTTGGACCCACGGCTAATACACGGCTGGCCCAATACCGACGCGCACCCCTAAAGCTCCGTAAGCCGAGGCTGAAATCATTGAATGAATATCTCGCTCGCTATATTCCGAAGAAATCACGGGCTTTCCAATTGCGACCTGACCACAACAACAACGACCTCCCGACCATCGATCTCAGCCCCGACAAGATGCAGGAACGCGGCATTGTCCTGGCTTTCCAGACTGCTGGATTCAAAGGCTATGACACCAAATTCTCCCCCTTCTACGACAACAAGTTGGCCGTCGCCGCCTCTTCAAACTATGGCCGTAAGTCCCCTCTTGGTCATTGCTCTGAGAGCCAGAGTCGTTCTGGTGTCTGGTCCATAGACCATTCCAAACCAAACGCTCCCGGTCGTGTTGTCTGAAGAGAGAGAGAGAGAGCCATCGCTGACTTTTACTTGACTCAGTTGTTGGCAACGGCCGTGGCTACATTCTCAACCTGACCGACAATGGTATCGTTTGTCAGCAGTCGTGAGTCTTTTCCTGAGGCAAAAGGAAGAACGGGGGAAAAGGGACGATTAATGACTGATTAATAGGTTCACCACCGCCGATGCCCTGTATGCGATCACCTGGTCTGAGCAGAACGAGGCACACGTTATCGCCGCTTGTGGAGATGGAACTATTAAGGTGTTCGATATCAACGAGCCCTCCGGCGACGCCATCATGAACTACAAGGAGCACTCCCGTGAAGTCTACTCCGTCGCTTTCAACCTGGTCTCTAAGGATAACTTTGTCTCATCTTCGTGGGACGGAACGATCAAGCTCGTAAGCAAAGCCTCTCTCTCTAACCCGCCGTCGGATAGAGAGACCAAATACTGATTTGAGATATCCCAGTGGTCCCCAACCCGAACTTTCTCGCAACTTACTCTTCCTACCCACAGCTGTACTTACAGCGTAGCCTTCTCTCCTCACTCTCCCTCCATTATCTCGGCCGTCTCCTCCGACTCGCACCTCCGAGTTTTCGATATCCGTACACCAACCTCTGCGTCTAACCACCTGTGTCAGCTGATCCCCGTCCACGGCTACGCGCCCCGATATGGTCAAGGTCCCGCACGTATCCCGAACGCTCTTCCAAACGAAGTCCTCACCCACGACTGGAACAAGTATCGCCAGAACGTCGTCGCGACTGCGGGCGTCGACCAGATCATCCGCGTCATCGATCTCCGCAATCCCAAAGCAGGTCCGATCGCTGTGCTGGGCGGCCACGAGTATGCGATCCGCAAGCTGGCATGGTCCCCTCACTTCTCCGACGTCCTCCTCTCGGGCTCGTACGACATGAGTGCGCGCGTCTGGACCGACGGTAGCGCCACGGGCGCGAATCCCATGAATAGCGTCGGCCCGGCTCGTGAAATCGGCAAGATGGATCTCCACACCGAGTTTGTCACGGGGGTCGATTGGTGCATCCATGGAGTGCCGGGCTGGGTCGCTACCACCGGCTGGGATGAGCGTGTCGCCGTTTGGGATGCCAGCTCGCCTCAGTTTTGCCATGGCTAGGCTAGGCTGGCTGGCTACACCTCATCTTGTTTTTCCGACCTCGACGATTTTTTTACGACGTTCATGACTGATGACTTACTGGCGTTGGTTGGCAGAGCTCGGTAATGGCGTTGGGACAGGGGCACAGGCTACATCATCTGCATAAAAGGGCTCTCATAGTTCGGGGTTTTTTCTTTTCAGCATTGGGAGGGAGCACGGCGGTCTGCCTCTTTTTTTCTGTCATTTGACATTTGGGAAGGAGCGGCGTGTACATCAATCATCCTGCGGTTATGCTTTTCAGCCTGAAGGGCAGGTAATAGAAAAGCTTGATCTTTGCTGATCAAAACCTTGCGTTTCTTCAGCAGCACAGAACCATATCTGGATCTGGGTAGTTATTGGTCTTTTTAAGATTGGGGTCGTAGGTAAACCTTCAATTGATTAGACCCATAGTTGTTGTACGTAAAGGGCAGTTTTGTTCCCCCCCTCTTCTCTCGCCCTCTTTTTTTTCTTGTCCCTTTTCTTCTTCTTGAAAAATGGAGCTTACCGGACACCAAGAAACCCAGCCCCCCCCCCCACCCCTCCTCTTTCACCATCCGGTCGACCCGTATCCAAAGTCCCAAGAAAAGCAACTAGGTATTGGAATTGACATTCAGGCTGCTTCCTTCTCATCTCTGCCCTTCCATTCGTTCCCTTCCTGCTTGATACAGTTAGTATGTTTTGGTCGATTGGTTAACCGGGTTGACTTTCTTCCCTTCCCATCCCTTCCCTTCCCTTCCCTTCCCTGCTCTGCTCTGCTCTGCTTGGCTTTGCTCTGCTTTGCCCTCCCTCCCCCTTTCTTCCTGTTTAATTTTACTTCCTTACATCAATTTAATGAATGTGATGTAATTTGATATAACACAATGTGATATAATATAATGTGATATAATAGAGTGTGATGTGATGTGATGTGATATAATCCAATCCAATCCCATTTCCCCTTTCGCTCTCGCTAATTCATCCGTTCCTTACTTATTGACTGGACTGGACTGGACTGGCTTCTTTACGTATTTACTTATTTGCCGCTCTTGCTTGCTTGCTAGCTAGCTATGTGTGAAATAGGCGCTGTCCTGCACAGTGATTTACGAAGGAAGTAGGATTGGATGGGATTGAGTTGGATTAGATTTGATCGGATGGGATTGGGTTGAGTTTGGATTGATATAAATCAAAAGATAAATAGATAACGTGGTTCACCATCGCAGCCTTAGGCGTTTCCTTCGTCCAGTTCGTTGCTGCCACCCACGGTGCAAGCTGGCTGTGCCAGACAAGCGTGTGGCATCTGAGGAAGCGTCCATCCTTTCCAGCCAAGTCCGCGACGACAGAGCCCATGCTAAAGTTGAAGACGCCCTGCTCGGGTTCGGTTGCAAACCACTGTTTCCCGGAAGCAGTCCGTCATCTTCTCAGTGCATGGGGTTGTCTCATCCTTCCTCTGTCGATTTCAACAAGAGAAGAAGGGGAAGTGGGGGGGGAGAAGGATATATACCTTCATCCCGTTACTCGACGTCAACTGCCCCCACTCCTTCTGATCCCTCAAGATCTTGACATATTTCGTATTGTTCAGCTCCCCATTGTCAGTCGCAGTACCGAAATACAAAAGACCTGCTTCACGAGCTAGGACGTCCAGCATCGCCGACGCCCGAGGTGCTACAGTGAGGAGGGCGAGGAAACGCATCTCGAATATCCCCGACTTTTTTAAACTTCTGGAGGAGGAAGGCAAAGAAAAGCGCGCGAGGAATAGACAGCAGGCAAAGACAACGAGAGGAACAAAACAAGAAGCTGGAGAAGCTTGTGTACTTAAAGTTGCGAGTTGTCAAGGATGAGTGAGAGCCCGCGATGCAGAAGCCCCGAAGAGCAGGGAGAGCTAGACAGCTAGCTATTCACCCGACCAGGCCGAGCTGCTCACTGGATAGAAAAGTACGGACCTGCACACCTTACCTGTCAGTCTTGCCTGATTCGATATGCGATGATGACTGATCAAATTCGAGGTCTGCGACCTCCGGACCGGGTAAACAGATAAATAAAAGATACACCGCAAGACACGACCAGCAGCATGGCAGTCGAATTGGATAAAATAAACAGAGAACCGAGACCGCCTCCCCGACTCTCCACGAGGCGCAGACGGTGTATCGGAATAGGAAAACAAGAGCAGAAAAGGAAACAAAATGAAATAAAATCAATGAAAGAGCCCACAATTCCCAGAATGTGTATAGCCGGGTAAAACATGGGTAAAGCATACCAATATACTACCATAAAGTAAACACCAAGCCCGGAATAGAAGAATCGTCTTGCCGAGCCGCACGCATATTTATATGTATGTATTATTATTCCTGGGTGGGTGATTTCTCCTGTCGGTGTTACCTCCGAGCGCGAGGATAGTAAGTAAATAGATGGATGAGTCTAGGGGAGGGGAAGAGGACGGGTTAAACTTACTTCACTTGTCGGTGGTATTTATATTGAGCCTGAATGCTTGGTGCCATTTTTTCCAACCCCCAAGATTGGTGAGTGAGTGAGCGAGTGAGGCAGGCAATTGATGCGCATGAGTATCGAGGGAAGCAGGGGATCATTGCATGCTTGCCTGCTTGCTTGCTCTTTGCATTCAGCTCGTGCGTGCGCTCCGGTCAAAATACCTCTTCGCAATTCATTCGCCTGCTCGCTCCGAGTCCTGGTCGACGGATGCCCCCTTTTTCAACGAAACGCGTGCCATTTCCTTGTTACTCAATTAGCCAACGGGTTGACGAGCGAGCACAACGGACTGGAACAAGCCCTGAATGGAAGTAGAGTGGAATTACTGCGCTGAAATAAAAGGAGTTACGAGAGAGCTTCTGCCGATACTCGCTTGCAAATCCAGCCCGTTCTACTATAGCCAGCCCCAAATCCCAAACGCTCTGCAATGAAGTCCACCCAACCCGAACAGAACGCCCAGGACTATTCATACATGCTGGCTGAGTTTCCCGTGTCAGCCTGCTCGTTGCGCTCTTTTACACTGCATCTTACAGTCGATATCGACACCATGAAAAGGGTGGGTATAGCACAACAAGGACCGCCATCCTCACCCACCGCAGGCCGGCCGTCTAATCTATACACCAGTCTCGTCGCACGTCCCTCATTGCCCTTAGAAAGAGGCTCGCGGGCCTTGGTCGCGACCGCGACCACCACCGTAACCACCCCCTCCTGAACGCCCACCAAATCCACCACCCCGTCCTCCCCGGTCGCCGAATCCATGAGCTCGTCCTTTACGGTCGCCAAATCCACCAGGCGATCTTCCACCACTTCCACGGTTTGAGGAGCCGCCTCCGTATCTGTCACCACCATCGCTCCTACCCCCAAAGCTTCGTCCCCCCGCGCCACCACGACCTCCGTATCCTCCTCCTTGTCTACCAAATCCGCGATCATTATCACCAAAATCATCTGTCTGTCTGTGTCCAACGTTCATTCCTTCAATTCTAGAGATACCTAGCTTCGAGGCAAGACCTGGTGCAACTCGTGGGGGCTCCTCAAAGCCCCATCCGTATCGAGTCCAGCGGTTCAGAGCCATGGCTCCCTCGATAGGGTTCACTCCTCCGAGTGATCCAAGAGCTCCCATGTAGGCATCCTCCTTTGTTCTCCGGCTGACCATCTTAATGGCATCACCAACCTGGCTGAGCGTCTCGGCGACCGATTGTGGCACCTGGGCGTCCTTGGTCATGTCAATCTCGGCGGATTGCAGAGACTTGTCGGGAATGATTGGGAGACCACGCAACATTCTTCGGGCAACCTGGACTGATGCTTCGTTAAGAAAGATCAATCCGTCTCCGGTCTTGTCTCCTCTCCCTGTTCGGCCGATTCTGTGAATGTATTGTTCGCGATTAGGTGGCAGACCGATCTGTACGACATGTGTGACGTTGGGGAAATCCATTCCTCGGGCTGTGACATCGGTGGAGAACAGGATTGCAGACTTTGCTCTGCGGAAGCGCTCCGAGACGTAGGTACGTGCCTGTTGACTGAGCTGGCCGTGCATCTCGGAAATCTGGGCTGGGTACAGGGGGTGTTTTCCGAACATACCCTGACCGGGACTATTGGTACTCTTTAAGTTTTGGAAGATATCACTAGCCAAGATGACATTTGCCGTAGATTGGAAGTAGACAATGGCCTTAAATGGTCTGACTTCCTCTCCCGCGGTGTGAGCTCGTGCAGCCTTCTCGATCTCCCGCTTCGCTAGCTCCAGTAGTGCTGGCATGTGGTTCTCGATACCAGGAGTAATGACAATGTGTTGGGGAACCTTCTCGTGCGTCGCAAGATCTCCCTCCTTGACTGCTTGAACAAAATGGAATCCGGGCTTCAAGGTTGATCGGACAAGGTGCATGACCTCTCTGGGCATCGTTGCGGAAAAGAGCAATGTCTGCCGGTCAACAACCTTTCGATCGGGAAGCAAGTCCTGAATCGCCCGGATATCCTTGGAAAATCCATCGTCCAACAATCTGTCGGCTTCGTCGAGAACAAAAGTGGTCAAATTCGGGGCTTTAACTCCACTGTAGTTATCCTCTAACAAATCTTGCAATCGACCAGGGGTTCCCACAAGCAAATGACATCCCTCTCTCAAGGTCTTTTGCAACATGGAGCGCTTGCTGTTACCACCCACTGCGACCTGGACTCTCAAATCTGTGTTACCACAAAGTTTCTCTGCCTCGACTGCAATTTGCTCTGCCAGTTCACGGGTAGGAGAGATGATAATTGCCCTGATATCGGAAGCACGCGCTCTGGAATATTGCTTTCGAGTGGCCAGCTCTGGACTCTGTCGCAGGATGTTCTGGATGGTAGGGACGAGGAAGCCGAGGGTCTTTCCAGTTCCAGTTCTAGCTTGTGCAACACTATGACTGTCAGCTAGAGATTTCCTTGGTTTATACACACAATTTGATACTTACATGTCTGAGCCTGAGAGTGCCTGGTTGATGGTCATTGCCTGCACCTCCGTCATAGTTTGATGGCCCATCCCCTTGGTAATCGCCTCAACGACATTACGGTGCACCATATCGTTGTCAATCAACTCCTGGAACGTGGTCACATCCTTCTGCGGTGGAGGCGGGCCGGATGATGCTCCTGACGCCACATGATTCTCGCCATCGGCAATCTCTCTCTCCGCAGCGGCGTGGTTCCTGAATTGTGATGACACGGAAATCCATCTCGCCGCCGTTGGTCTTCTCGCCGCTGGCTGGAGGCATGATGACAGCGTCAAGGGTTTTGATGAAGGTGTGCGGGTCGCTGATGCTGCGACGCGAAAGACTCTCGATATCGAGGCCGGGCATCGTCTGCAAACGTTGAACATCGTAAATACAGGAACAAATTATTAAATTTGGAAGTATTGAAGGATCGGATAAGGACAACAAGGAGCGAAGAGGTTGTTGCCGTTATCGTTGTCGATGTTGATGTCGCTAGATTATAGGAATCTCAGATTTCTTCGCGAAGTTCGAGGAGCTAAATATTTTTGAAGTGGGTCGATGGTCCGTGCCACCCATGCAGCTGAACCCCTTTGAAGTGAGGGCAACCTTTCTCTGAGCGTCTCCGTATTTACTTTGGAAATATTTGTACGCATCCTAAACTTGCTTTTCATTATTCGCAAGTTCTCTCGGGGCTGACATAAATACAACGGTCTACTTGATACTAAATTTCCAAGCATTCACCTGTCACGTACAGGTTCGAGTCAGAGCCCGACGGATCCATTGCAGCACTACACGTTCATCGATGTTATCTGCCACTCTTCGATTAACCGATCAACTTTGCAAGTGCGTCTGTCTGACTCTGTCATGTACCGAGTCTACCCTTTTTTTATCACCTGCGCTGAGGGAAACTAATCCCCCTGTGTGCTGTGTGCTGTGTGCTGTGGAAGTAAGAGCATCAGAAACCGATACTTCCATGCAGTCCGAATCGCTTGAAATATCAAATTGTCACTCCATGTTTCTATCCAGATCTAGTCTATAAACACAATCTCTCATCGCCATCAGGGTATCGTGGATCAACATGCCTCTCTAAGCTCATCTTTCATCTCATCATGATCGTTCACGCCAACCCTTATGGGTTCATCTCGTCTCCTGCCCCGACGTCTTTCTTGGCGCGCCCATAATCGCCATTCCCTCGCCCAAACCTTCATGAATACCCCCCGTGATGCCCTCCACAATCCAGGCGATTGTCTCCGTAATAATCTGCCCAAACCGCCCATCACCCATCCCATAGATCGCCTCCACAAGGCTTAGTCCTGTCTTTCCCAGACCATCAACCGTATCAATCCCTTGCCTCAGCACTTTCTCTGATATCTTGTGTTCGCGGTCATATTGATATGCGGCGCGCAGCAGGTATTTGAGGTGGGGGAGGATGAACTGCAAGAAAATAAACAGCTGGACGATGCTGGATGCCAGTGTTCGGTGGAGTACTGATGGTTGGGCATCGGGGGCTGGTCCTGCTGTGTAGGAGTGGCCGTTGATTTCCACATGGAGGGGTTCGACGATGCCCTGGGGGAGGGAGCTGCGGATACTGAGCTGCTCTTCTGTAGTGAGATCAGAGGGCAAACCACGGATCAGGTAGGTAAGGCCGTGGAGGTATAGCTGGCGTGCGAAACTTGCGTTTCCCAGCGAGGGGCCTTGCGATATGGTGGAGGATTCGTTGACCGCGAGACTGAGGAGGCTGAGCCCTGTTTTATTGTCAACAGGTTATTACAGATGCTTTGGCAAAAATTTGTACCTTGGTTTGCGAACTTCCATACTATGCCATCATTGCCCTCGGTCATTTCCAGGGTCATTCGTGTCTTTGGAGCAGCCTCCTCATCACTCGACGCCTGCTCAAAATACCCGATCAATTGCTCTTCCACACCCGTTTCCCTCCCTTCGTTCAACACTAGAGCAGAGGTATATCCCGCATCCGGCGTCCTAATCCCCGACGAAGGTGACAAAGTCGAGGACTTGGATGACGGCAGCGACTCTATCCACTGGCGTACCTGCCTGAAGCCGTGCGTGCTGACAGAGCGGCGGATGGATGGTAAGCGAGGTAGCCGGGACTGAACCACGGAGGGGAGCATCGAGTAGATCATAGAGGAGCCCTTGGTTCGAGGTATTCGAGGTAGGATATCGGATAGGGGATGGTTGGTGAGAGAACGATGCGGGTCTCGTGGGCGCAACTGTTCCGTCGCCCTTGTCTGTGTGTCTGTTTGGGTAACCTTGGGTTGTATACGAGGTATAAAGATGCTGCAAGATTGAAGCAAGACAAGAAGTCCGTATGTAGGTAGATGTCTAAGTAGCGTCGAAATGAATAAGGATTGGAAGGAGGCTCAGGGAGCAGTAGATGAAGAAATCATATTGAGGTCGGAACGGACGAACTGCTCTGGTCTGAGAGGCGCATAGGCATGTAGGAGGGAAGGTTAAGATGGGATGTGTTGCAGAAAGACTCGGACGACTCGGACTGGGACCCGACCGAGGATCACGGGATGCACGTTTGGTTGATTGTTGGTTGTGCGTGGGCTCTATTCTTTCTATTGTCGTTGACTCGTTGGGGGTGTGAAGTTGTACCAGTAAATAGACTTTCGCATGTGAAAATCCACCTCGGTGTGATGGACCCCACGTGACAATAACAACGTGATGATAGCCATGTGATGATAGCCACGTGCTGTGTTTTGAAAACATCGACCTCTATCAGCACTCAGACCAAGGGCCAGCTACCAGCAAAATCCAGACACGAATGCAGAACATGCCAGAGATACGCAACAGCGCCACCAGAACCCCTCGACTGGGACACCCAACTTGTACACCATTTCGATCTGGTACAAGTACAACTTCCCCTTCCCCAGAACAAGCCATCGTAAATATCTGTCTGGATGGATTCTGCAACGACGAGAGACTCATCAGATCGTTGTCTAGCAGACCAGAAGAGATACTCTCAGCTGAGTCACGGGATAAAGCACTCCGAGATCTGGGCGAACCTGTCCTCGAGCTTGTCCTCCGACTTAACAAGGCAATTAAAGATCACGATCACGATCACAAACACGAAGGTGACTTTGCTCTACTTCTTCAAAGACTAGATGATACGATTGCTTTAGCCACCGAAAAATTCTACGCATTCCCTTTCAGCCACGTGCCGGCCTTTTGGCGACATCTGTTCAGAGCAGCAAGTCTTTTGAAATTTTCCGCCTTGTCAATGAAGAATCTCTGGGGACAGTCTGCACTCTCAGCTCCTCTGGCATTTGATAGCCAGCAGATGGATGAAATGGTGAGGGTCATCGATATGGCACTTATCATGGCAGGTCCATCAGAGTCGGATGATACCCAAGCTGATATTGTCAATGTCTTGGGTATTCTTCATGACATCCACACTTCATTTAGTTCAGATGAGGGCAGATCTCCTGCAAAGCGGCGGAAAACAGATATTCGCGACAAAGGAGGTATGGATCGATTCCCTGTCTCGTCCTCATTCATTCCACCGGCGTCAGACTCGATCTCCAGAGAACATCTTCCCGATTTCAATGTTTTTGAGACGCACATGTCACAACCAAGAGATTCATCTCTTGGGCCTGAACCTCTCATCATCACTGGGGCATTGGATCACTGGCCGGCCCGTGGAGACCGCTCCTGGAGCCGCCCCAGCTATCTTCTCTCCAAAACTATTGGCGGTAGACGTCTCGTACCAATTGAACTCGGTCGGAGTTACGTTGATGAAGGCTGGGGCCAAAAGATCATCCCGTTCGAAGACTTTATGGAAAACTACATTTTTCTCGATACAAAAACACCTGCTCGTGCCACCGGCTATCTTGCTCAGCACAACCTGTTCAACCAGATTCCATCACTGCGTGAAGACATCGCGATTCCTGATTACTGCTACACATCACCACCACCGCCTCACCACTCGTCCCCCCTTGCAGAAAAACATGCAAGAATGCCAGAGCTAGATGAGCCGTTGTTGAATGCCTGGTTCGGGCCAGCCGGAACCATCAGTCCTCTTCACACAGACCCGTATCACAATATTCTCTCGCAGATTGTGGGAAATAAGTATGTTAGACTGTATGCCCCACGAGAGAGTGCAAAGCTGTACGCGAGAGGTATAGAAGATGGGGGGATTGGTATGGAGAACACTAGTGAGGTTGACATTGGTGTTTTAGCCGGATGGGATGGGACTGAAGAAGAAATGGCAGCTGCCCATGAACGATTTCCACTCTTCGGAGAAGCTCGGTTTGTAGACTGCATCCTTAAAGAGGGTGAATGTCTTTACATTCCGGTTGGATGGTGGCATTACGTACGGAGTCTCAGCGTGAGCTTCAGCGTAAGTTTCTGGTGGAACTGACCGAGGCGCACCCAGATTATTACTCTAACCAGAGAGTCTCTCTGGGTGAGGTGCCTATGAAAATCGTTACCGCTCTTCGCCCGAATCGCATTCTTCACAGAATTCGGTACTCGATCATTCCCTTGGGAATTGCTTGCCAGGATAGCTGGTAGTACAAATCGTGAGATTAGATGAGACAGCCTGTCTCACATACGAGGAACTCGGATAATCGCTACTTCACTGGTCCAGATTTTTCTCCGATATCAACAAAGGTTTGGTAGATTTACATGGTCTAATGATTAGGCGGGCACTCGGCCCTTTCGCTTGGTCTTTTACCACCCGGTAGTCCTGCAAGCCTCATTGGGCCAGTCTCTCGAGCGGGAGAGACAGGCTTTGTCGATCCTCTACCTCCAAACAAGCCTCCTCCCTCGGCCCAGGAGCCAGACCTCAGTCCCAATATCTTATTACGAGCAGAATATTGGATATCTGGATCTGTCCCGCACGAACCCAGAATCTGACTCGGCATAAAACCGTGAAGCTGCTTACGGCGTACGCGTCTGAGAGCTGTGCCGCAGCCACCTTTGCACTCATTGCACCGCCTCGGCTGGCTCACGCTGACTGTTTGTTATATGAGATAGCAGTCGCCAATCTCAATGGCAAATTGATACGAAGAAAGTCTCATTTGTCATACTCATGAGAAATACTCTACTTCGCTTATTAACAACTCTCTCTCAAGGTGGTCTACTGTGGAAAACCTTCAACAGCTTGTTTCGAGTGTAGGAACCGAAAGACTCGGGTTTGTTGGCTTCCGTCAGTCTCGGTGTTTAGAGGTGATATTCATAAGCGTAGCGCGATCGTGCTGTTCCAATATGCAGTCAATGCATTAGAGCCAAACGGGCATATCCAGGCTACAGGGATGAATTTGATCTAATGTTTCGGGATCAATGCGATGCAGTGAAGGTGAAAGCAAACCATTAAGAAAGCTCAAGCCAAAATCCAGGATGCCGAACCCTATTCCACCATTAAAGGCACCCGGAGAAGTGCTTTCGGACACGTTCTTTGAGAATGATCGGGAATTAACCAGGTCGCGGGGGGCCAGGAGTACCAACTTGGGCATCATGACAATGCTACCTGCCTCCACAATGTTTCCCACTCCCGAGGAACGATCTATTGCATTTTTCGACGCCTTAGTGCCAACGTGGTTCCGAGCCTTCAATCTGTTGTGAGTTGGTGGAGAAGTAGCCAATCCTATCCCGAGTGCTTAACAAACACCTTGTTCCATGAGACACGAAAACGATATCTTTGTTAACCCCCATTCCTCCCAGGGAGAATCTCCGCTCACAGACTGAAATCGGTAATCATCTCCGGGCGACTGTCAATGCCGTTGGACTGGCCAGTTTCTCCAACGGTTCTCACCTACAGGGACTTGTGGTAGGTAACGGAGGATAATATTTTCTCCTCTTCGCATCCTGCTCCAAGAACCTGTTTGAACAGGCAATTACCGATTGCCCGTATCCTGTTAGACCCAGGCCCAGAAAGCCTATAACGAGGTTTTGCAGCTTACGAATCCGGCTTTGAGGTCACCCAGCTCTGTCAAGAAGGACAGCGTACTGTTCTCTGCTATGGTACTCAGCATATATGAAATGATAACAGGAAATCGTCGTCGATCATTGGATGCATGCCTGGGCAGAACACATCAACGGAGCTGCGGCTTTGGTGAGGTCAAGAGGTCAAGAGCAGTTCAAAAACTCGGCTGGTCAACGGATGTTCCTCTAGTTGACGTCGAATCTCATACTTAGCTGTATACAGCGAACCATCCCTATGCCACAGCATATAATCGATCTCCGAGAGGAGGCAAAGATATTCATGGCTACGGATAGCCCCGCATGGCGACTTTCATCCATCATTATTGTTTTTACCATTTCCGGCTCTGACGTCAAGGACTGCAGCATCTTGGAGCTCAGAAAGGTTGTTCAAGCTGCCCTGGAAATAGATCAGAGGTTCATCCACGCAATCAAGGACTTCCCTCTGGAGTGGCGATATTACACGTTATATACAAACAAAAGGTCGGACCTTATCTGGACCGGTAAATATCATGTTGAAGACGAATATTGGATGGCGCATATCTGGAACGGCTTTAGGATGTGTAGGATCTTACTCCCTGAACTGCTGAGGGATCGACTTTTGGTTGCATCGACAGCGATGAATCCTGTATTTACGGAAGAGGAAAGCGCAACCCAACTACAACCGTCCGTCGCCATAATGCTTGAGATGCAGTTGGATATTCTAGCCAGCGTACCACACCATACCCTTCATCTATCAATCAATCTTCCTCGGGGCTCCTGGATGGCTCGCGATCCTACCTTGTCCTCTGGCCTCTCTTCCTAGTAGGCTCGATGGACCTGACGACAGAGCCGACTCGAGAGTGGGCGATAGACGCTTGCGAGACATCGGAGAGATTGTAGGGATTCGACGAGCGTAAGTGATCAGGAAGCCACAAGTCTTCTATTGCCCATGACTCCGACGACCTCTCCTATATTTGTGGGATGATAATTGACACTGTGCCTTACAGTATCGTGATTGCAGGCATGATTGCCGCCTGCCAGCTGCCTTCTGTCTGGAACACGAAGCCTGATCCCCGCCTGGGCATCCGAACGTAGGAAGAGGAATCTTTTTCTCTCATGGAAGTCGAGGAAGGTGATGCAGCTGATGAAGATAACAAACTCAGGAGAAGCACGGGGTTCGAAAGTCACTTAAATCGGCAGCCAGAACCTGTCTGGTGAAGCGCAATTCCTATTACAGAATCGGACATTGGTGAATAACATTAATGATACTCGAAGCGAACCCGTGGGATGTTCCATTTTTCTTCTTTCAAATATAAGCGAGCACCAGCTACAGCTCTTGACTTACAAACCGTTTTTCAACAGGCCGTGCGATGATGAATATCATTCTGAAGTTCAATACTAACCTGTCGAGTACAAGTCCAACCTTTCCGGCCTTCGCGGCCTGGCTAAAAGACTCGTCTTTCAATCTCCGAATAGAAGTCCCACCGAAATCAACAGTTCTCACGCGTCTGCCCCCGTTAGCTTCATTCACGGCAACATGAGCAAACAGACCACCTACGCTCGCCGCCCTTCTCAGGCTTCTCTGCTCTCCCTGCCATCTACCATCTACGCCTCCTTCCATATATGGATTCTCTCCTCCTCACAGCCGCCAAACTATGCAATCAATAAAGTCACTAACGAATCATAGCGGGATCGCAATATCCCAAGATTATCTCATCCCCGAAAAACAACGGCCCCTGGTCCGAGATTAATGCCGTCGTCACTGCCGGTACTCGCATGCACCCCGAGAAGATCCTCCCGTGGTTGTAGCGGGTACAATAGCCGAGCTTGCATTAAGTTTCGAATCAAAGGGGATAAGCCTCGTGTCGATATGTCGATGCCGATGCCTGGCGCCTATTTATCTTTTAGAAGCAGATAGAGGGAGCAGATATAAGCGGGAAGGGCAGAGCAGAGCACTCAGGATCCAAACCTTCATCTCCCAACAAGTGGTGGTGAGGTCAATAATTGTCGAGAGAAGGGAGTGGGGGGAAACGGTAGGGAAGAGAAAGTTGGCGTTTAGCATGCGCTTTCTTCCTCTCCCTCTCACGGAGCTCACGGAGTCATGGGATCAATAACTTTCCCAAGTATACTTGAGTAGGATTATTTGGCACGCTGGGCGCGCAGTTGGGCACCGGGCATCGGATGGTAGGTAAGCGCCAACGTTGTCGGTTTCTTCGATCCGCTCTTCGTATCCTTTTCTCTCCCAAGAAATTTGAGGTATTAATAGATCGGTTAATCTGCTGTTGCTTTTCGGCGGGAAGGGCGAGAGAAAAGAAGAGGGTTCCCAGTCTGCCTAAGGGAGGTATTTTAAGCAGAAGATTAGGCTGATTATTTCCCATGCCTCGAACAAAGTGGATTTGTTTTTGCATGCCTCGCCCCACTTAAATGGGGGGTCACTCACCTAAATCTACCCGCCGCTCTATATCCCTTAGGAATTCAAACAGGTCAATATAGATACTCGATTTTAACGTAGATACAGATCTATCTCTCAAGGTCCCTTACAAGAAACATATGTCGATTAAGCAAGGCGACGTATTTTATATTTTGAAGGCTTTTAAAGACGCGGTGCTTGATTAATCTATTTACGAGCGATGAAACTTCGTGTCTTAATGACGAAAAGACTTTTACAAGATACGCATATGCCTTTTCACGATACGTGCAAGTAGCACGCTCGTTGCAATTACGGTTCATTTTAGAGCCGAAAGGGCTACGGTATCGGTATATTGAAGGGAAGCATGCGTGCTTCGATGATAAGCTACTCGTGCAATTAACGTCTTACATCTACTTGTTTCTTACTCTTTCATTTAAATTGCTATTATGAATCTTTTCACCGCTGTAAGTTTTCCTTAATACACGCAGCATTATTGAAAAATCTTATATACAGCGGAGAGTGGGTTTGGTAGGGTTTTGATAGGGTGAGGCATACAAAAAACAAATCCACTTTGTTCGAAGCATGGGAAATAGTCGGCCGTCGAAAATCATCCAAACATAAAGTCAAATTTAGTACGGAGTAAATTTAAGCGTAACTAACTATACTGAGTGTACCGAGCGTGGCAACCCCTTTCCATAGTCTCAAAATATTAACGCAACGCATAGGATCAAATATGTAGTAGGTATGCTGGCTGCACGAATAAGTAGAATCGCGGCAGAGAATATGAAGGTTTAACAAGATAAGTTCTGATAAGATAATTTCTCATGTACAATCAACGATCCACTCCCTTTTGATTACAGCTGGAAGCGCTCGGCCACCATGGGATCTCCAGCAATAGCCCATTGCTCCCAATTAACGATTTGGTTCGCATGCTGTTTCAGCTCAGCCGCTGTTGACCAGCATTGACCCCATAAATCCAAGTGATTCTTGTTTACCACTTTACTTGGAATAACCATTTGCAACATCGCAGTCTCAGCACCCTTGATACGTGAGAAGCGCAATTCCAACCTCGCGGGTAACCCTACTAATAACATATAGTCTGCAATATTTTCCATGTCTCCGGTCCACAAATCTACTCGTTTCACCTTTCCTACCCAATCAATGGTCTCAAAATATTCTGGGATCCATACTTTGAGCGCTTCATCAAATTCATTTTTATTCGCTTTGATAACACAATGCCAATCCCCCTTCTCAGCTGGCCAGCCAGCAGGGTGGTTTACTATTTAGATTATTAGCTCCGCGTAGTAGTAGTAGTGGTAGTAGTGATGATCTCCACAACCTCAGGGTTTAGGAAACTAGGGGGTTCAAAGTAGAGAAATTTTGAACCCTCTGAGCCAACCATCAGGAGGTAATGATTATGCTTCTCCGTACCAAAGTATGAAAATATAAATCGACTTACCAAGATAATAGCCAGGTCCTATTTGTTGGTCGCTTTCTCTAACTCGGTTCGCGAAATCGAATCCTTCATCTCTCATAGGCTTATTTTTGGCATTGATATCAAAGGCTTCCTCCTATAATTTCGCGTCATTAGTATAAGGCTTATGGCTTTACGGCAGTATAAATCAAGTTGAAAACTTACTTCGGAAACTGTCCGATAGCCGATGATTATTCTCTTGTCGTCTTGGCCTTGAGCTGTGCTGAAGTGAAAGCTCAAGGCCAGCAAGCCCGAGCAGATAGAACGCGATAATAGCATTGTGTTTGTAGATAATCGTTGCTCCTAGTATAAGGCAAGATGGGCAAGGGGAGGCGAAATGGATGATTATCCGAAGTAGTCTTAAAAGGTTTATCAATCCTTCAATAGTTGCGAGCTGGACGAAGGGGAACCAGCTTGTTTGCAATGGAAGAAGAAGATAATCAGAATCGAAGGTTGGATGCGGGAAGAAAATTATTTATAATCGACATCATTATTCATTCTATTAATGTTAGCAACCGTATTTCGAAATTTTCTTGGCCGGGCTATAAATAATCGTGTGGCTAATATTCCGTTATATCGAAAGATAATCCAGCTCGGTTTTTTAGAAGTCTGAACCATGGAAAGAGAGGGCCAGTTTAATTAGGGAACGCAATTAATAAGAGAGCTGAGATCTTGTAATAAATGGAGAAATTACCGCCAAGATGACTCAGAAGCTCCCGTTGGTTTAGACTTCTGAAAAAACCGAGTAAATTATAAAGTCGAATTTAATTATTTATAATGCTCTTGCAATCTCTTCTTTTAAACTAAGATGATCAACGCATAAGGACAGGTATGCTGGCCGCACGAGTAAGAAAATTCGCAGCAGATAGTAATCGTCGGCTCGCTTAGGTGGGCCTCCTTTCAGCCTTTCAGTCTTAGTCGGTATAAGCGACTGCGGATCGGAAGCGAGTGCGGATTTTTTATTTTATTATTAGTTTTCGTATATAAAATACAATTTACAACATCACTTTTTAATCTACAACCGTATAACTTAATTGTATTTTATAATTAATCATAGGCCGAAAACGCACTCGTTCGAAAAAGCTTTTAAGGATTTATCGACACAAAAGCTACGCTTAATTAAGTAATCTTAATGCAATTGAAGATCTTTTGCAAAACAATAGCGAATCGTCGATAAGCTTTGAAAAGAAGAAAGAGATGCTGAATATCGTAAAAGAGTCGATTCACGCAAAGCTAAACGCGAGCGTAAAGGAACTATACGAAAACGCTTTGCTGCAAGTCTAATTATTAAAGACGACGATATAATACTCATTCCAATTCTCGATTCGGTGCTACGGCTCAGGAAAGGTAGTATTGTAGTAAGCTACCTATCGGTACGCTTGGTGACGAGAAAGAAAGACGAGGAAGGAAAGAGCTACAATACAGGAGGGGCCGAGAGGTCATGTACCAACGAGGCGGCCGCTAGCGTGGGCCTAGTCCTGGACAGGACTAGCCCAGCTGACTAATCCCCAATCCTCCAACCAACCTATGGCCTGAGGCCTGCCAGCACCGTAACACTACCCCCCCCCCTCGAAAAACTGCGTCCTCGCAGTTGCAGTCATAGGTCGATTGTCTTCCAACTCGCTGTAATCATCTCTACCTTCGTTGTAAGCTTGCAACCAAAGAGGCAGAGCACGTGGTGGACCCTTAGCTTGAGGGTGAGCGAGGTGGAAACGGCGGAGCATATGAAGGCCAGTCATTGCGTCGGAGCAAGGGTACCAATTGAGGTCGTCATCTGCGCCAGTCCACTTGATTTGGTAGTATAAGGTGTTGTAAGAGACCTTAGAGCCAAGGATTTCCTCGATCTCCCATTCGTCCTGTTCGGGAAGGAGCTGAATGGGTGCTGGGGGCTCTCTGACCTGACCCGGCAAGGGGTTTCCAGTATACTTGCGGAGGGAGTGTGAGTGGAAGACAGGGTGTATTTTCCAACCTTCAGGTAATTGGACCTTCCAGCTCTCACCGACCTTAGCGAGCACTTCTACTGGTCCATACCACTTGTCTAAGAGCTTCCGTGAAGGTCGGTCCATTTTCCAGTTGCGCGTATCGATCCACACCTCGTCGCCCACGGTCCAATCAGCGGGTCGGCGGCGTAGGTCAGCTAGTCGCTTCATCTTTTCTTGTTGGACCGCAATTGACGATTGGGCAAATTCAATAGCATGTTGCGCTCTGGTAGCGACCTGAATAGCTTCTTCGCGGTTAAGGCGTTCCGTAGCCGACGAAGGAGGGTCGGGATTGATCAGATCGAAGGAAAAGCGTGCCTCATAGCCATTGGATACTTAGAAAGGGGTAATTCCGCCGAGAGACTCGTGAGGTAAGGTCAACTGAGCGATGTCCATGAGTGGAACCAACCGCCCCCAATTGTCTTAGTAGTAATTGCAAAAGGGGCGTAATCGTTGTTTAATATACTGGTTCATCACTTCGGTTTGTCCATCAACGTTCGGATTGTAAGCAGTAGTGAGTTTGACCTTGGTACCGAATATTCTGCAAAACTCACGCCAAAAAGTTGATACGAATTGAGGGCCACGGTCGGAGACAATTGAGTCCGGCATGCCGAAGTAACGAACCCAGTAAACAAAGAAAAGGTCAGCGAGGCCTTTGGCGGTAATATTCTTATGACAAGGAATTGTAATCGATCGTTTGGAAAGGCGGTCCACGATAACTAAGCCAAAATCGTAGCCCTCTTCGTCCAAAGGTAGCTCGGTGAAGTCCATAGTAAGGTGCTGATTGGTCCGAGCTGGAATAGGAAGGGGCACGAGCAATCCCGGGGTCTTGTCGCGTTTGGCTTTCATCCTAGCGCACTTGCAATTTGCAATATAACGCACTACGTCGGAACTAAGGCCTTTCCAAGAATACTTACGTTCCAGCAACTGCCTGGTTTTAATAATACCCGCGTGCGCTACGCATGGCTGGTCGTAGACGTGACGAATAAGGGCCGTTCGTAGCTCTAGGGGTTCCAACGGGACGACGAGCCGCCCTTGAAAGTATAGCTTGCCACTTCGTAGTTCGTAGTCGATATCGGTGTCGATCCCATCTCGCAGATCTTGTAGAAGTGGCGAGGTCTCGTTGGCACGAAGCACGCGGTCGATAATATCGTAACCGTCGATGTCGTAAGCTATCATATTCGTATGGTCGGAAGGGTCTTCGTCTAAAAGGATATCTCCCGGAATAAGCAAGTGCGGGGGCGCCTCTTCCACTGGGGCCAAAACCACTTGTGGGACCGTGTCGGCCGTCCTATGAGTGAAGAGGGGGATCGAATTGACTATTGTAATTGAATCGTCTATTAAGCAGCATTGAGCTAGCTCCTCAAGGATTGGACATGGTTCATCCTTAATAAAGGGAAGTTGACTGCAGTCAACTACATCAATAGAAGGCTGAATGTCGCGTAGCACTTCAAGGGAAATTTTGCTGTCAGGGAGCAATTGCTGTTTGCGGACAGCACGCTAGCGAGCTTCCAAAAGGGAGATATCTTGATCTCGGCGCGAGAGGGCGTCAGCCAGAGTATTAGTGAAGCCACTTCGGTACATGATAAGGAAGTGGAAGTCGGCGAAAAATTCGGCCTAGCGTGCTTGGCGCGCTGTGAGGTCCTTCGTAGTCATGAAGTATTCCAAGGCGCGGTGATCTATATACACGTGAACTGCTTGTTAAGCGCCAAGGAGTTCTGGCTTATAGTTTTGGAAAGAACGAAAAATAGCTAGCAACTCCTTGTCGTGAATAAGGTAATTGAGCTCGGCATCAATCATAGTTTTAGAGAAAAATCCTATGGGATAGTAAAACCCGTCTTCTTGAAGCTGTGAAAGGACGCCAGCAATTACGCCGTCGGAGGAATCAGTCTCGAGACGCGTTTGCTTATAAGGATCGTAGTGGCACAAGATAAGGGCATTCTGGAGGGCCACTTTGAGCTTCTCCCAAGCTTCCTTGCAAGCTGAATTGAAAATAAAAGGGGCGTCTTTAGCGGTAAGGGCATTCAATGGCTTGCAAAGCTAGCTGAAGCCTTTGATGAAACGGCGGTAGAAATTGCAAAACCCGAAAAAGGACTGGACGCCTCGCACGTTCTCACTATACTTCCAGTCAGTGATTACTGCGATTTTGTCTGGGTCTACTTCAATGCCTTTGGTACCAATCACAAACCCGAGGAACTTGGTCTTAGAGACGCTAAACTCACACTTCTTAATATCAGCTTGAAGGCCATGGTCGTTGAGAATACGCATGATCTTCTTGATATGCTCGGTGTGCTCTAACTCATTAGTAGAGTAAATGAGGATGTCATCGAGATAAGCGGAGCAGAAATCATCGAGGTGTTCCATGAGTATATCGTTGATGAATCGTTGAAAGGTAGCAGGTCTATTCGTGAGGCCGAAAGGTAGTACTTTGTACTTGTAAGTACTATAGCGGGTCCGGAATGTAGTCAATTCCTTTGATTCGGAAGAGATTCGAATGCGATGGAATGCTTGTTGTATATCAATCTTAATAAAGATTGTAGCTCGTGAGATTCGAGCTATCATTTCATTAATGAGAGGGAGGGGGTAAAGATCTTTTTGTGTGATCGAATTCAAACGTCGGTAGTCGACGCAGAGCCTTATAGATCCATCCTTTTTCTTAATGAAAAGAATTAGGGCTGAATAAGGAGCATTCGAAGGTTCGATGAATCCTTTGTGCAAGTGGTCCTGGACGTATTGCTTGACCTCAGATAGCTGCTCGTCCGTAAGGCGGCGAAGAAGCTTCGTAATCAAAGTATTTTCGGTAGCCAAGACAATCTTGTGGTCTACTTTAGGCCTCCGAACTGCGAGTACGTCTGAGGCTTTTTTAGAGAAAAGGTCCTTGAACTCAGCGTATTCGAAGGGCAATTCTAGGTCCACCTTAGCATCATTGACAGCGTACTTCACGCTAAGTGCTTGGGCTGGGTTTACACCATTCATAGAAGCAATTTGGATGGTTTCCTCGTCCGCGGAATCGATATCGCGCCGATCTTGCTCGCGCTGAATGTCGTGGACTGAGGCTAGGAAAACAAACTCGTCGGGGGGAGGTGTGCCAGCTTGCTTAGCAGCTCTGTAATTCTCGCGGAAGCGTCGCAGTGTAGCTCTCATTAGGGACGCGCTAATCAAAGAGATGCTTGTTGTGTGCCGGGAATCATGCTCATCAAAGGTGAGCCATGTCCTCTCTTTAGTTGAGGGTTGACTACGGTCAACTTCGCTATTCAGACCTCGTAAGAGTGTCTCCATAATAGCCAAACGTTTTTAAAGGTCGCGGACAAAGCTAGCATTTCGCCGTGGAGGTAATACTGCTGGCCTAGAAGTGGTTTGCAAGATGGAAATCTTAGCGTCTTGCTCTTCTAACAATTGATCGCGGCGGGAGGCATCAGCCTGATGACTCAGCTTAGTAGCTGTATGAGAGAGGTCTAAAAAGATGCGTGGTCCAAAGTACGGAATAACAAGCATATCAGAGGGCCAGTATAATTGAGGTTTGGCTCCGAATCTTTGACCGATATCGTAGTGAGCTATGAACTTTCGACCAATCAATACGTCTGTAGAACCTAGGTTCGTGACCAAAAAGGGGAAATTAATCCGACGCCGATCGATTGTAAGAGTGAGAAGTATAACGTAGGTGATCGGATCGCCTAGAGCGCCATTATACCCAGTAGGGACGATTGGGTGAGGTAAAGTAACAAACTTGTTACCGAATCGAGAGGAGAGTTGAGAAGCCAAAGAGGTTTTAATCGCGCCAAAAATATTCGCTCCGCTATCAATATGTGCAGTAGTCTTGATAAAAAATCCATTGCGTGCTAGTTCTATAGGAACTAAGAACTGAGGTCCTCCAATGAGAGACCGGAAATCAAATCGCAATTCCTTCCACAAATTGTGGCCAACGCCGTAGTAGGAGTCTTTTCCACGGCTTAAAAGTTTCCCGAAAGGGGGTCATCTGCAAGCTCTTGACCAATAGTCATCTCAGCAATCTTCTTATCAAGCTTGAGGTCAGGGCATTCGCGTTGCATGTGGCCAGGCTTCTTGCAGCCAAAACAAATAATACTAGAAGGACTAGTAGAGCGCGAACCAAAAGGAGAGGGGGCTGGGGAAGTAGCACGAGGAGAAAGGGATGTTGGGCGCCAAGTCTCCTTTTTCAAAATACCTCGTGTGCCTGAGGTTCTTGCACCCGAAGTGAACGAGACATTGGCAGATGAGGAAGAGGCGTAAGAAGCGTAGCGACGTGCAATAGCAGCTTCCTCCGACTTGATGTTGCGAGATTCTCTGTCTACAATAGCTAGGTATTCATCCAAGCGTTCGTAGCTGCTTTGCATCTTGTATTTCTCGATCATCAAGTGAGTTTTAAGAGCAGGGGAAATCTTTTCGCACATGTCCTCGAACCAACGAGCGCGAGAGATCTTGCTAGTGATTGCGTGTGCAGTGAACTTGGATCGGAAGTCGTTGTAAGACATGCTACCACTCATAGTGAGCTGGTAATAAGCTTTGCGAGCAGACTGGACACGGTTGTGGTCAAAGAATCGGTGGTCCAATAGACGCAAAACATCAGCAGCGCAAGTGCAAGAGTCGGCGAAGTCAAGGGACATGTGCTCTAAAATCATTGATTTGGCCTCACTTGAGGTGCACTTGAAGTATGCCTTGACTTGGGATGTACCAGTAATAAAGTTGCCCGAGTACTCCTCAAGGAACAGCTTCATGTCCATCTTCCAAGCGTCATACTCGACATTGCCTCGGTGGTCGCTAAATTGAGAGCGGGGCCACTTGACCTTACTATGCTCGACGATAGGAACAGAGGAGTCTAGAACAGGAAGGAAATACTCGGGGGTTGGCTGCAAATCAGCTGCTAAGGTAGCAGGCTGAACGGCAGGCTGAGGCTGCTGGGCTTGCATAGCTAGAGCTTGTGCGACTGCAGCTAAGATAGCCTTATTTATGACCTCTTGCTGGGCCGCCGTGAATGCGGGGGGAGGGGCCGACATCTCCTGGTCGGGAATGAGACTGGGTTCAATCACGGAACTATCAGGGAACTGGCCGCTGATGGTAAGTCTGCGAGACGCACGGGGGGCTGCCGGAGGGGAAGTCGCAGGAGCTCGTGTCGCAGGAGGAGTGATTGGGCTGACAGGTGGTTGAGGGAGGACGCGCTGTTGAGTAACGAAAACCGCAGCTTCCGGGTCTAGTTGAGAGTCCGAAGCTGAAGAAGAAGGTGCGTGATCGCTATCGGTATCTTGCAATACTGCAATCTTAATCCAAGCGTCCAAAGCTTTCATGAAATTGCGACCCTCTGTCCATTCGATATTGAAATCGAGGGAGGGGTTGGGGGCCTTAGACGGGGGCCAAAGAGTACTGTAGCTTTCAATATGTTCGGCGACGTTCTCCAAGGTTCCTGGGAGTGCTAAGACGCGGACGGCTATCGAGTGTCCGGTAGTGATAAACGCGTGTAGCTTACGCGCGGTGATCAAGAAGGCAGTAGATCGCGGCATCAGTGGAGAGGTAGAGAGAAAGCATTCAGGTTCAGGGATTTTCTCTGAGGCAGGTAGGTTCTCTGCAGCCTTAGTCTTTCAATCTAGTATGTAATCCACCAATGGTATCGCGGGTATGTAGGCCGGAATACGACAGGGAGCTCACGGGAGCCTTGTAGGTAGAGGGTTTTTCGAAGATTCGAAGAGAGGGAGGGGCCGTGGATTGCAGCGAAGGCAGTCCAAGCAGGAAGGAGGTGAGAGGGTCGAATTGCAGCAGTGGCAGTTCGAGGAGGGTCCAGCTTTCTCTAGGACTGTCAAATCAGCGGGGATGTCTGATCAAGGCACTCAAACTTAGGGGGGGAAAGTAGGAGCCGGTGTAACCTGAGGGGACCTTCGAATTGCAGCGGAGGCAGTTCGAAGTATGTCGGAAACGGGGTCGATTTAATGCTTCGCAGCGAAGGGGGTCGGTCTTTCTTTATGCTACGGCTCAGGAAAGGTAGTATTGTAGTAAGCTACCTATCGGTACGCTTGGTGACGAGAAAGAAAGACGAGGAAGGAAAGAGCTACAATACAGGAGGGGCCGAGAGGTCATGTACCAACGAGGCGGCCGCTAGCGTGGGCCTAGTCCTGGACAGGACTAGCCCAGCTGACTAATCCCCAATCCTCCAACCAACCTATGGCCTGAGGCCTGCCAGCACCGTAACATTCGGAAGAGATTTAATAGATATAACAACCTCTTGAACGTCAACTTTTACGGCTTCGTAAAAAAAGTATTCCTCGACTAACTCTTTTTCAACTCGAACTTTCTTACGATAACGATGATCTGATAATTATAATCGATACTATTATTAAAGACCCTTTTTTAAAGCAAGATGTTTTTCCTTTTTCTAGTATTAATATCGATAGCGATAATTTCAATTCTAATAAAAATAAAGATTCAAACGATTCGTTGCGTAAAGTAAAAAACGAATCAGATTTTAAAAATAGCAATCGATAGTTAAATGTTTTATTAGATAATATGATTTCGGATGTTTCGAAAGAAGATATAATCGCAGAATAATTATTTATATAAATATTTTTAAGTTATAGTAATAATTAATTGCTATAGTATATAAAAATTTCTAACACATTCGAAAAATCCGCACTCGCTTCCGATCCGCAGTCTCTTATACCGACTAAGACTGAAAGGCTGAAAGGAGGCCCACCTAAGCGAGCCGACGATTAGTAGATGAGTCCTAACGGCCCGTTCGACAACTCGGCCATTACCCGAATAACAAGAGTTTTGCTGAGTCGAGGACACCAAGACTTATGCATTAGAGATATGAAAGATGAGAGGCAGGGCAGGCCCGGCGATTAGCGCTCCTAATAAATTTATAGCAAATCTAATCTCGATTACAGCCGAATATTATGTTGTGAGCATCATTGTCCTTCAACTTCACCGTCACCTTTTAACCTTACCGTCGCCCTTTAACCTCACCATCGCATATATACGCCAATTTAAAGTTATTCTTAGACTTACCTTACCGCCGCCCAATATAGTATCCTCGCTACCTTTTCGAGAGCAGTCCGAATCCCATCTTCATTAGATATTTCTTTTAAAGACGCGCAAGATCCATTCGAGATTATAATACTGCGGTTTGCAAAAAAGCATGAGCTTAATGTATTCATGCTAATAGAAAAGCTTGAATTCGCGAAAAAGAAAAAGGAAATATGTAATTCAAAAGCGGATAGGGCGAGAGAAGAAGCCAAAGAGATCCCTACGGAAATGGATGTAAAAACTTAGAAATAGAAGAAATCGAGTAAGGAATCCTAGTGTAATAAGATTTTTTTGTTTCCAAAGATTCATCCGGATAGCTAATTCAATATCGTAAATTTGATATACAACATCGTGACTTTAATACAATTCTATTACTCGAGATAAGCCCCGTCATACTAAACTATACTGATAGCTAATCTAGCCCCGCGATGGCCCTTGTCAGTTTTCGTGCATATAAATATCCAGAAGTCTTGGCGTCCTCGACTTAGCAAAGCTCATTAACAACGGCCACTACCATGGCACATCAGGTTTCTATTAAAGTCCATTAGTCGTCTATTACTCCGATGATGGCATTCCGAATTTCCGGTACCCTTTCAGTGCTGGAAACGCTAAGATCAGCTCCCGCATCGAAGTAACTGAATGGCCATTACGGAGTGTACCCATTACTGTACATTCCGTAAAAAGAGCCTCGCGTCCCCGGAATGTTGTTTCCAAGCTCTAATTTCAACTTTTATTGATATCTATTTAGCGCCGACCAATGTCGCAGGTAATTCTTTAGGCAAAAATACTGGGATTGATAAATCAAGAAGGAAATCATGCGTTATTACGTCAGATGATCTTCTTTCAATGGCCAGCTCTGTATAGCCACCTGGACGAACTCTTTTACCACGCTCCAATACTAGTTCGTTATTCGATTGACGGAAAAGTAGTAACGGACAAGTAACGGAATTTGAATTAAGATGCGTTCTAATATACGATTGACGAGCCACTCCCTTTAATTTGAAGGAAATCCTTGAATTTCCCACTGATCCCAAGGAATAGTTTCTTTCGAATAGTTCAGCAGCTCTTGCTTTTCTTCAAAGCAATGAGCCCAAAAACCTAACTCGTCATTTTTTATAGCTTTAGTTGGAATGACCATTTGCAGCATGTTGGCATCCATATGCTTAACCTGTGAAATAGCAGGTGAAAATCGCAATGTTTTTTCCGCGTCCAGTCCTGTTTTTATCTCAATATATTCTTTGATAACTTCTTCTTTTGCGTCCCATAGTTCTACTCGTTCAGTCTTACCAAACCAAGTAGGGTCATCGAAATATTCTGGAATCCATATCTTGCTTACAGCATCAAGCTTATTACTATCCGCTTCGATAACACAATGCCATTCGTCATCATTACTCGGCCAGCCAGCAGGTACGTTTACTATTTGAAGCATTAGCCCCGCGTAATAAGTGATAATCTATACGAAGGTATAACTATCGGTTATATATACCCCTTGTTCTGATCCACGACGGAAACTAGCTATCGTTCGCGTACAGCGGTACGAAGCGGTGCCAGCGAAGTCCATGAAGGTTCCCCGATTAAGCTTGTTTCCGTACTGAATCCAAACAAAGGGCAATAAATAACCGCTATACCTCCGTAAATATGAATCAACTTACCTAGACTGTAGCCAACTCCTAAGTAATTGAAATATAAAGCCATTTTATCGAAGCTATCGTCTCTATAAGGCTTTCGACGCTGATTAATAATATTGGCTTCTTCCTATAATTCGCGTATTTTGTATAAGCTTAGTCTTCATAGGGATATAAATCAAGTGAATCTTACTTTGGAAACTGTTCGATAGCCCATAATTTCGCTTCGAGCTCTACTAACGAGGAAGCTCAAGGCCAGCAAGATCAAACAAACGGATTGCGATAACAGCATCATGTTTATAAACAATCGTTGTTGGTGGGGTAAGCGATTATCCGAAGTAGGTTTGAAGATTTAGAAGTCTTTCCAGCGTAGTGTTCTTTTATCGTTCGGCCCATGCACCAGTTGTGGTCTGTGCGATCCGCCAAAGGGAGGGGCAGGTTTACAATAGCTGCGAGCTGACGCAGGAGAACAAGATTGCAAAAGAAGAAGATGATGAATTGGATCAAAAGTAGATGTAGGCAGAGACATACATATCTGATCTCATAGTTATCTTGCTAATATTAGCACCCGTAATTGGAAATTTCCGTGCCGGCTATAAAAAATCGTGCGGATGATATAGCTTAATCACCGGTTACCTTAAATTTAAATTAAGAAAATTATTCCGACTTGCCCTGCAAGTGGCTACCACCGACCCTGGATAGTAACGTACAACACTTATGAAATGATAACTATTAATACGAACGAAAAAAGGATGTATATATGCTGTTACTGCTAGTAAGAATATTAATATAGTATCTATCAATCATACGCTACGTAGTGTGAAAGAAAGAAGAGGAAGGAAGAACTACAATACAAGGCCGAGAGTATTTGCATCCTTTAAGGCGGGATGTCATGTAACCTCGGCGAACTAATCTCATAAATAATCTTATAACTAATCTTATAACTGATCTCTAGAACTATGCTAAGACTTGCTAAAAGCGTAATACTATGTTCCCCCTCCGAAAAACTGCGTCTTAGCAATTGCTATTATAAGTCTATCTTCTGTGAGCTCGCTATAATTATCTCTACCTTCGTTATAAGCTTGCAATCAAAAAGGTAGACCTCTTGAAGGGCCTTTGCGTAAGGGTGAACTACATGGAAACGCCGTAAAAAGTGTGAAGCAGTTATTGTGTTTAAGCAAAGATACTAGTAGAAGTCTTCACCGGCGCCAATCTATGTGATTTGATAGTAAAGGTCGTTTCGAAAGACCTTAAAAGCAAGAATTTCCTCGATCTCCTATTCGTTTTGTTCAAGAAGGAGCTGAATAAATGCTGAAAACTCACGGATCTGATCTAGAAGGAGGTTGTCAGTACACGTAGTATTTACGAAAAGAGTGAGAGTGAAAAACGAAGTATATTTTCCAATATTCACGTAATTCAACCTTCTCTTTTTTATTGACTTTGGCGAATACCTCGATTAGTTTATACTATTTCTTTACGAGCTTCTTCGAAGGTCGATCGGTTTTCCAATTGCGAGTATCGATCTAGACCTCATTTTCTACGTTTTGATTTGTAAATCGCCGCCCTAAGTTAGCTGAGCGCTTTACTTTCATTTATTAGACCGCAATTGATAACTGTCAGGAGCGGAACCCACTCGGAGGTAGTTGGAGGTTCTGCGGGCTTGGCTAGGTCACGTGTCACATACAGGCCACTCGAATAGTGATTCCCTATCATTGTGAGCCTTACAATAACTAAGCGAATGTGATAGCGTCTTCTGCTTCCGTAGCGACCTGAACTGCTGCGGCGCGGTCAAGGCGTTTTTGTTAGGAATCAATAGCTGAGAAGCTTTACACTGGGCTAAACGGGCCAAAAATGCAAAATAACAGAGAAGGCTACAAGGCCAACCATTCTATTATATATTGAATGTTACTTTAATCAGCTTACCCGACTAAGCCTTCTACTCCTGATACTTAGCTTCTTCTTTTAATATAAACGGTCTTTTGCTTATCAAAAATCTGTATTCCACGATACCCGTTATCATACTTATCTCTTAGCAATATATTTTTTTAAAAAATAGCTCAATTCTATATCCGTCATTTAAAAATCGCTTACCTCGATATTCCTCTATTTTAAATATATTCGTAATCGTAACCCTCTCTCTCGCTCCTCAACTCTTCCCCGCTCTTTGAATCTTCCTTGCTCCTCATCTCCCCTTCGCTCCTTGGACTTGTATAGCTCAGAATCGCTACTATTCTAAATCAAGCTGTTGCTGTAAACCATCATCGCTTCCTCTTCGCTAGGCGTGGTGCACGGACCTGTATCGTCGAAAGGGACGATTTTCACTACTTCAATCCAGCGCAAGACTAGCACAACTACATATGATTAGGACTGTCTTGATTAGCTATTGTTGAAATTGATACGGTGTATCTTTTAATACAAAATCAATCACGATACGATGGATTGTTGATTTCCTATCGATTCTAAAAGAACGAATATAGGTATCTGTCCCGCCTCGGTGGTCCCGACCTGGCGCAGCCAGACCGGTCTTTTCTATAATAACACCTTGTTCAAGGCCACCGACGATTATTCAGCGCCTACAGTAAAGGAGTGAGTAATTGATTGACTAATTGAATCCCTTGTTCTCAATAAATGAATGGATTGTGCGTTTTATCGTCTTGTAATTGTTTTCATCGTCGCGAGTTCACATCTGTACTTCTTGGCCTTTGCTTGTTAGAATAGCTATCCAGCATCATCGCACTTCAAAGAGCTACCAGGTGTTACGGATTCAAATGCTCGAGGGACAGCTGGCTGCATTGCGCCAAAGGAGGCTGTTGATATGGATTGGATGCTTGAAGGATAATCGTCGACCGAGAGGGCTGTAGGGAGGCCCACCTAAGTGAGCCGACGATGAGCTCTGGCTGTATCGTGCTGAAAGAAAGCTACTGTTTATACACTACGTAACTGCGTACTGTACGAATACCTATTACACCGCGGAAGTCCGAAAAACCTACCCCGGAGTTTGCTTGTGGAGAGCCGGAAGTTTTCGTCCGCGGCCGCCGGGCTGAAGACTTTAATATAATTCTGAGCTAAACCTTATCTTAATCTAATGTTGAGCTGAATGTGGATCCTGTAAGCTGGTGAAAAGTTCGGTCACCTGACCTACGACCCGCTATGTTGATAACGGAGGCGCCGGGGGTAGATGATGGCAGACCGCCTTCAGCGACAGGGGTTCCCATAGCATCAGTCGCGTCCAAAATTTGTATAGTAAATACGCCAGGGCTTTTGATCGAATTGGTTAAATCAATGCCTGAGCGCATAGAAGCAGTAGTTGCTGCGAAAGGGAAGTTCACTAAATAATAAGTGTGTTATAGTAGTAGATTTAATGATGGGAGAGCCACTCCTGATTTTTCTGCCGATGATTCTGCCGACGGCGGTCTGCCACAATTTACCCCCCGGCCACCTCCGTAAGTGCAACCATTCGAGCTTGGGCCATCGAAGAACACCCAAAACTTGACTAATCGCTTACTAGTAAGAAGAAAAAAAGGGAATCTTGCGAGTTCAATAAGCTAGTTTGTAGATTTGCTCTCTCGCCATCGAGATCTACCTCTTGCGGTGAAAACCTACGATCATAAAAACTCTTTTTCCTCTCGAATACTTGATTAGCAGCTGATTGATGACAGAAAGAGAGATGCTCGAAAAACAGCTTGCTGCATCGCTCTAAGAGGGGGCTGTTGCTATAGACAAAATGCATCGCGCTCAAAGAAGGCTGTTGTTACTATAGATTATATAGCTACGAATATTTACACCGCGAAGTCCGGAAAACTTACCCCAGAGCTTGCGGAGGGCCGTAAGTTTTCAGCTTGCGGCCGGGCTAAAGCGCTACAATTCTCTTTAGTACATGCTTTCAAAGCGAAGTTGCACTACTATTTCTTGTAGAGAACTGATGTAGCGTAAATGTTGAAGGCCTCGGAAGGCAGCCTCTGCACCACGACCGAAGCGAAGCGAGGTCCCCTGATCCCGGAAGTTGCGGAGGGCCGCTAAGGATCAGAATCGTACTATTTTATATCTTGTTTACATAATCTCGAAACTTCATTCTTGTAAGAAAGTAATTGAAATGCAATGTAAATGTGATGTGATGTGCATTTTCTCTACATCCTTCTATAGCATCTTTCTTATAGAAAATCGATGTAGCGTTAATGCGAAAGGCAGCTCTGCACCACGATCGAAAGCGAAGCGAGGTCCCTTGGCCTCGGAGCTTACGGAGGCCTGCCAAGGATCAGGATCGTACTATTTCACATGCTGTTTACCTAATCTCGAAGCGTCTTTCTTACAAGAAAGTAATGTACTAGTAACATACTGTAATGTAAGATCTTGCGAATACTCTATACGTACCGCGAAGTACGGAAACTTACCCCAGAGCTTGAGGAGGGGCGTAAGTTTTAGCTCGCGGCCGGACTGAAGCGGTCCACATTTCGCTTTACATAATTTGAAAGTGCATACTAGTATCTTATACAGTCGAAGATCGATGCGGCGTTGATGTTCAAGGCCTCCTCGGAAGGCAGCCATACCGGAACCGTTGCCAAGCGAGGGTTCCCCTGGCCCCGGAGCTTTGCGAGGGGCCGCGAGGGGAAAGACTTCGCCTCCTAGTCGTAGTAAAGTTGCTACTTTGATCATTTGATGGTGGGTGCGGCCGACGGGAGCTTTTTGCAAATGCCCTCCGTCCTATTACTCACCCGCTTACACTTGCGATACCGTGCCTCTACTCATCGATCCGCAGTTGCTTCCAATTGAACAAATGCCGATGGTACGGCAGGCTGAGCACGGAATGGTCGAAGGAAAGAGTTTGGGCGTTGATGTACAGCCTTCCTATTTCAGTCTTAACGCTGATTTCGTATCGATTTAAGGGGTTGACTAAACACCGTAAAGTTTTATATTGTAGATATAGTTGTAGTTGTCTAGGTTTTATAGTGGAAATTAACTATCCTGAAGACCTGAATGCTTTGACAAGCATGCTAGCGCGGTAGTCCTCGGTTATCAGAAAAGCGCGCTGTTTCACGCTTGTTTTGATAGCAGAGGCCTCTTACTCCGTACTTTACTTGCCTCAAGTGCTTCAGGCAGACCGGAAACTTCAAACGGACAAGCCTAATAAGTGGAGGCGGGGGGCGGCGTATGGGGAAGGATGGCCCGGGCATCGCGATTGAAGTAAAAAGGCCGACAGTTTCCTCTGCCTCGGCATTAGTGGAGTCCTTTTTCGCACGCCTCAATACGCTAAACTGAATTGCCGCTCTATGTAGAGTAGGTACTACCGGTATGCCAGCGCAGACCTAATCCGTGCCCTGACTAGCCCCTGAAGTACTAAGTACTAGTACGTACGAAGCACAAGGCCTGCCCCTCCGTAAAGTATAAAAACCCGGGCCGATCGTAGAGGCCGAACTGAGGCTATTCGCAAGGTTGGTTTGCTAGGTAGTAGTACGTAGTAGTAGTACTACGTCCCAAGCGTAATTGTTACACCCTTGAGGATAGGCTAACCAGGGGGCTTAAAGTGGAAACTAAACTTTTGAGGCACCACCAAGGGTGTAACAACTACGCCTGTACCGTGGTACGTAGTAGTACGGTAGTACGTAGTACTACGTACTTAGTACTATAACTGTTCCATCCCATGATTACAGTAAAGGGCAGCCATCCCAGGGTGGCACGGACATAATTAGACTTCCGCTGTGTTTTGGCTCGTGGCACCCTTGGGATGCTGCCCTTTCTTCATGGGGGGGGATAGTAGCTCTGTAGATCGCAAATGTTCAGAATCTACCGACTGCGAGATTTGAACGTGAGTATAGCGCGAGAAGAGGTATCAGCAAAGGGGTTTTTTAATTTTTTTTTTTTTAAATAAAGGGGGGGGAAGACGAAACACGGAAAGGAAAGGATGGACAGACAAACCATTTGAAAACTCTCTAAAACAACAGGTATTGCTCTATCTTGCCGGAAGAGTTTTGTGCAACTCTACCCCTTATTTTTTGTGTATTCGCTCTGCGGGGGGATAAAATAAAGGGTTTCCTTGTATTAATTTCATATTCAGCGAATCGGAAGATTTTTTATACTCTCCCTGCCCTTATTGAAGCGGAGTCCGGAGTATATGCGGCGCAGAAAACGTGGCACACGGAGGTCAACGTTGTCGCGCCCCCCGAACTCTTATACCGCGTCTTGTTCTCTTCTTTTCTCTCTCGCTTTAATCGCCGGCCCGCTTAAGGTGGGCCTCCTATCATCCTTTTCAGATGGCCTCCTATCATTCTTTCAGTCTTAAAAGGATGATACCTGGTAGGAGGTCCACCTATTCGAGCCGACGATGAAGCTCTAGGCCCGAAAGGATGTAACATCTATACGTATTGTGAAGTGCCGTAAGTAAAAGTTCGCACAACTAGATTGTACGTAGGTAGTACGTTGCATGTATGTTTCTGCCAAGGGAGGGAGAGAGAGGAAGGAAGGGAGGAAAGGTTTTATTGATCCCCATACGAAGAGAGAATGAGAGAAAGACCTGCTCCTCACCTTCTGATTTTTCCATCCCCGCTGTCTAGCCAGCCTTTTCAGTACGGGAGTGAGTGAGTGGGAGGTTTGCTTCTCCCGCTCTCAATGAAGCGATGGACTGCGTGATTGTCGTGTTGCACTTCTTCCTCGTCGCGTGTCCCCGTACTTTTTGGCTTTGCTGTTGTTTACTTACTACCGCATCCTTATCAGGAGATGATCAAGCGTGAAGAGAGCAGGCGACGAAACTCAAAAGAATATTTTTAGACTTTTTGATGCCGCATTCTCCTGTCATCTTAATTAAAGCCGGGCCACTAGCAGCGATCAATAATCTGATGACGACCACCTCCCGAATCGGTTACCGGAGAGGCAATAACAACAATCAAGAATCATACATGCAGGCACCGACCACGCATTTCGCATTTCTAGGAAGGAGGACGTCTCCTGCTCCCCGGCTGACTTTTTCCTTACGCTTGGCAGGATTCGGCTCTGGTCCAATTGCGCGACACGTATTATCAAATCCGGTGGGTGCAAAAAGTCACTGGGAAAAGTCTTTGCTCGCCGGAGCCTTTGGCAACTCCGAGATGGGCCCCTAGGCTTGGGACCGCTCTTGGTAAGCAGGTACGGTAGGAACGTAGAACCACGTACTTGTATATTGCTTGTATGGGGCAATGGGGCATGGCAAGACTCGATCAAGAGAATAGTCCGCGGCTTTGATGGGCTTGAGGTTGAGGCATGGGCATGGGCGTGGGCGTGGGCGTGGACGTGGACGTGGGCACCATGCGAGTGCGAGTGCGAGCGGACCTACTACCTTGTAGTAGCTCCGTGATGCCGGATCGTCGGATTGTTTGCTTGCTGTTTGCTGTCTGCCTTTGAGTTTTTTGGCTTTTAGGCTTTTTGCCTTTTTGCCTTTGCCGGCATTCCTTCAACATTATCAGAATACTACGTACTACGTATGTGCCGGGTTTTGGGCAGAAATGATGGGTCGTCCGAGTTTGCCATTTAATTTTTTTTCCCTTTCATACCGCTACCTACTACAACCTTCTACCTGTGTCGGTGGGCTTTCAATCCTCCCCACCTCCCCCCTTCCCCTGGGTCTGATATGTACGATTGTCAGCTTGGCGCACAAGGCCGGCTGGCTACAATCACTATAAATACTGCCTGAGATCATCATTGATCTCCGTTTCCCCTTTGCCCCATCGCATCCGACGCTGACGCCGACGATCTCACATTCATTGTCGTGTCTCACCCCGGAATCCCTCCTTGCGCACTCATTTAGCAGACATTCATCTTAGCACTGCTCACCTCATCCATATAATCCCACCCAGTCACTCATTCGATACTTATATCCATCCTTTCATCGCATATGCCATTCACTATGAAGTCAGCCTTACTCCTCCTCCTACCCTTGGTCTCGGCCGAAGGCTGTCCATACGCCGCCGCCAACAAGCGTGATCTTTTCGGTCGGCAAGCCGAGTCGTCCGAATCCTCCCTCCAGACACTGTCCAGCTCTTTCGGGAAGTGCTCGGCTCTCAGTGATGCGGCCGGGGGAGGCACCCGCAGCGCCGATCTGTGGCCCTGCGCCCTGAAGCTTAACGTCCTCCGTCAATTTTCCGCCGAACAGAACCCCCTCGGCGGCGACTTTGACTATGCCGCTGCCTTTGCCACGCTGGACTGTGAGTTTAGAGAGACAGAGAGAGAGAGAGAGAGAGAGAGAGGGAGGGAGGGAGAGAGAGACACGCTCATGGCCAACGATAGCTAACCCATCACCGTACAGACGATGCGCTCAAGGCAGATCTCAAGGCCTTGATGACCGACTCCCAGCCGTGGTGGCCCGCCGACTTTGGCCACTATGGTGGGTTCTTCATCCGTATGGCCTGGCATTCCGCGGGAACCTATCGCTCGATAGATGGCCGCGGAGGTGGTGGAATGGTAAGTCATTTTTGCGACTCCTCCTCTCCCTTCTCCTCCCAGTGCTCACTCACTCACGCCGTCTTTCCTCTTCACCACAGGGCCAACAGCGTTTCGCACCGCTCAACAGCTGGCCCGACAACAGCAACCTCGACAAGGCCCGTCGTCTGCTACTACCCATCAAGCAGAAGTACGGCCGCAAGATCTCCTGGGCCGACCTGATCCTCCTCACCGGCAATGTCGCACTCGAGGACATGGGATTCCCGACTATCGGCTTCGGTGCTGGCAGACCAGACGTCTGGCAGTCGGACGAGAGCGTGTACTGGGGATCCGAGACAACCTTGATGCCGCAGGGAAACGACATCCGGTACAACGGATCGACCGATTATGAAGCACGCGCATCTCAGCTCCAAAAGCCTCTCGCTGCTACCCACCAGGGTCTTATCTACGTCAACCCCCAGGGTCCGGATGGGAACGGCGACACCATGCAATCGGCTCTTGATATCCGCACGACTTTTGAACGCATGGGCATGAACGACTCGGAAACAGTAGCTCTCATCGCTGGGGGCCACGCATTCGGAAAGTGCCACGGAGCTGGAGAAGGCAGTAAGTAAAGCAACCCCAACGCGTCTTCGCTCACCCTGCTTATGATTACTTTTCCCAGACTCGGGTCCGCCTCCTGCCGGCGCTCCCATGGAACAACAAGACTTCGGATGGACCAGCAGCTTCGGATCCGGTGTTGGCGAGGATGCTGTTACCAGCGGTCTGGAGGTCATCTGGTCTGAAACCCCGACCAACTGGTCCAACAGTATGTCTCCATGTTCCTCAAAGCCGCCGACTTCACTAACCGAGCCGAATTAGACTACTTGATCAGTCTGTACAAGAACAATTGGACCGCGACCACGAGTCCTACCGGAGCCAAACAATTCGAGGCTGTTAATGGTCCCCTGACGTACCCAGAACCTTTTGGAACCGGTAAACGCCGCCCTTCGATGTTGGTCAGTGATCTTGCTATCAAGGACGATCCGATCTATGGAGAAATCACCAAGGCCTGGTCCGAAGACCTTCCGGCGCTCACGCACGCCTTTGCTCATGCATGGTGTAAGCTCTCACCCTCCTTCAAACTTGTCAAGTCGAGCTGACCTAGTTGCGCCACAGTCAAGCTTACCCACCGTGATATGGGACCGCGTGTCCGATACCTTGGTCCGGAAGTCCCAGCAGAGTCATTCTTGTGGCAGGACCCCCTGCCCTCCACAGGCGCTTTCCAGCTCTCTGCTGCGCAACAGACGCAGCTCAAGAACAGGATTCTCACTACCCCTGGCTTGAGCATCTCCTCGTTGGTGTCTGTTGCATGGGCCTCGGCCTCGACCTACCGAGACGGCGACAAGCGTGGAGGTGCTAACGGAGCTCGCATCGCACTGGAGCCCCAGGTTTCGTGGCCAGTCAACAACCCGAAGCAGCTCAAGACCGTCCTTGATGCCGTACGTAGAACCAGCATCCTCTCGTCTTCGTTACGTGGAAGCTATGTGTACTGACCATCTGCCACAGTTGAAAGCTATCAAGGCCAGCTTCAAGAGTGTTTCACTGGCCGACCTAATTGTTCTTGGAGGCAACGCCGCAGTCGAGCATGCTGCAGCTCTCGCCGGCCAAACGATCAGCGTCCCATTCACCCCAGGCCGTGTCGATGCCACCCAAGAGAATACCGACCTGCACAGTTTCGAATTCCTCAGACCGCAAGCTGACGGCTTCCGCAACTTCCGCAACACCACTGGGTGGGCCATCTCTCGCACCGAGGAGCTCCTGGTCGACAAGGCCCAACAACTGAAGCTTACGGCCCCTGAGCTGACCGTGTTGGTTGGAGGCATGCGCGCCCTCAACGCCAACTTTGACGGCTCCTCCGTCGGCATCTTGACCACCACCCCCGGTAAGCTCAACGCCAACTTCTTCAAGAACCTGCTGGACATGAACACGGCCTGGTCGGCCGACGCCTCCGGGGAGCTCTTCACCGGCTCCGATCGTGCCTCGGGCCAAGAGAAGTGGACCGCCTCCCGCGCGGACTTGATTTTCGGATCGTAAGTTTCCCTCTGTCCTCTGTATCTACCTTTCTCTGGGCCGCCAAACCCGATGGCTGACTTTCCCCCTCTCTAGGCACGCCGAACTGAGAGCCATCGCCGAGGTCTACACCGAGGCTGGATCCGAGGCGCAATTCGTGTCCGACTTTGCCCGGACTTGGGCCAAGGTCATGGACCTCGACCGCTTCGACGTCAAGAAGGCATAAGCATAAGCAAGCATAAGCAGCGAACACGCACGCGTACATGTCTTTACTCTTTTCCCTCCCGGGGCCGTGTATATAGTTACGTTTTCTTTTTCTGTTTTTTTTTGGTCCCTCTGGGGGGCACGATCAGCAGTCGGCAGGCAGTCAATAGGTAGGATAGGGTATATCGCCTGGTCGATATTAATGCCTCTATTTGTACATACTTATCCAACTTCATTATCATTATCTTAACGACCAGCAAAGCTTTTTTTCGTTTGCGAACGAAGGCGTGACGCTCTTCGTGAGCCGACCGACTTGTTGTAATTAGTGAGTCTGTGAAGCCATATCGGTACGGTAGTTTATCTCTGTGGATTTCTGAGCTCGTCATGTGCGGGTGGATCTCTACCTATCTCTATCTACCTTGATGAAGAAAGGCCCGGTACGCCGGTTCGGGCACGGGCGGGGGGAAGGAAGGGCCGAGAGCACGCACGCACTTCTACTCCGGTCATGAAGGTCGACGAGACGACGATGATGATCCACCAGCTTATTACCATCCTATCCTCCCAGGAACCTTTTTTTTTTTTTCAGACTTTTCCTACCTACGAGCTAGCCAACCAAGGACGAACGCTCGAAAAGGATGTTCGCCGTCTTTTCAGGCCACCGTGAACTCAATATGAAACCACGCAAGCCCGGGAGCCGATGTTAATATCGATACCGGAAACTGGCTGACTGGTGGTTTAAAAAGAAAGAAAGAAAAAAGACTTTGTTTTCTGGCCTGGCTCAGATAGGTATCGGTAGTGGATCGGGTTGGTGTGAGAGGGGAGAGGGAGAGAGTGGGGGGTAGGACGGATAGATGGATGGATGGTGGCACGGGTGCGACGTCGGAGTAGATGAAATGAAATTAGATGACATGAAACGACTTAACAGTGTATGGTATCTGATGGGTGACTTCTTGGGTGTCTGTCGATGCCTGGGAAGGTCGGACGGATTGTTGAGATGGGGAGGAATGGAATGGATGGGATGGGATGGGATGGGATGGGATGGGAGACTGTGTCAGATCTCTACTTGATATGTAGGTCTCGAAACTATCTGGGCGGCGACGAGATGGGAAAGCAAAACTCTCTCTCTCTCTCTCTCTCTCTCTCTGGCTTGGGAAGGAAGGAAAAGTCTGGATGGTGAAAAGAAGGTTTAGATAATTTGCTAGGAGATTTCCCGTTTTGTTAAGTAGATACATTACGGGATGAAGAGCGGGGAGATGGTGATTGAAGACGATTCTATTATTGAATCGTCTGTTTGTTTGGGACTGAAAGAGGGGCTATTGATTGTTGCGCTTCGTGATTATAGACTTCGTAAATGTCTATTTGGATACTACCTTACTACGGTGACGAAGTTATCAGGTTGAAGATTCTTTTTTTGTTTCAACGGCTTGAAGATTATGAGATGCAGATGGAACTGATTTGTGGAGAGATTTCTAAACATAAGAGCAGTCGAGCGCTAAATAAAGAGGGTTGGTTAATCTTCTACGCCGGGTACTACTCCGTAAAGGAAACAGGTATGAGCCCAGTAGCCACATCACTAAACAGAATACACCATCGACAACACCATCACCACTACCATCACCATCCAGCATCCACCCCCCTCCCGCATCCTCCCCGCCCCATTCTTCCCCGTAGCCGTAGGCTTCGAACTGGCAACCCCCTCCCCCGTCGTCGTAACAGTCGCCACCGTCCCGGCGACCGTCCTCCCGGCAAAAGTCATCCCGGCAACGGTACTCTCGACGGTAACCAGACTCAGCTCCGTCACCACAACCAGGTGGCTCCCGCTCGTCGCGGGAAGCAGGATCGTGACCTGCGTCGTCGCCCGCACCGTCGACGCAGGGATCGTCGTGCCCGGCTGCGTCCGCCCCGGCACCGTCGTCGTATACGTCAGCGTGACGCCGCTGCCCAGCTCGCTCGGCGGGACGTCCAGCCCGACGCCGACGTCGGTGAGCTGGCTCGGCGTGGGCGGCAGGGTCTGGGTATTGGGTCGCGCGGACGACGCGGCAGGGTAGAGGTTCCCCCGGGACCCGTTGGCGAGGACGTACGCCCCCGTCTCGAGGTTCGCCGTGTCCCCCTCCGCGCTCGTGTACGCGCCCCCGACCACGGTGCCGAAACTTCCATCGGGCAGGAAGTAGTTGGTCGTGAGGCGGTCGTAGCAGAACGGGATCGCGAGCTCGGCGAGGGTGAGACAGGAGAGCAGGGCGTTGCAGCAGAGAGAGGCGGGTCCTCGCTTCGCTTGTAGCGAGCGGGTCGCCGAGCTGGATGGGAGAGAGGACTTGACGATGTCGGTTAAGAGACTCTGGAAGTCGGGGCTGCCGATTCGAGGTGTGGTGGCGGAGATGGCGCCAGGAGGAGAGCAGATCGAGTAGCCTTCGTCGCAGACGGTGGCTAGGGCTGCGGAGATGGCGAGGCCCAGCCCTGTTAGATTGAAAATTCTGGAGTGCATTGTCTTCTGTGCGAAAGAGTAGTCTGTATGCGTAGATTTGATCGCCGTGGCATGGAGAGTAAGTGGCCACTGATCAAGTGCAACATCAGGGGAGCACTGCTGAATCACTTGAGCTGTGAATAGAAGCGCAAGGATGATTAAGACCGGACAACTATTGTATATCAGCAATCACAGAGACGCGATGATTGAGAAGGAAAGGAAGATTCGAGCGCGAAGTACCTGTGTCTCGTATCACTTGACGCGAGCCAGATACTCGACGGGAAGCTGCATGAAGTCTAGTACACAGCAAACAGATGTGTTGAATGGTTGCGAGTGATCTCCTTTGAGACCAAGGGCTGCGGTTTCAAATTCCACACCTGATTGCTCCGGCCCATGATTTCCGCAGCTACTCTACATTGGGGTATTCAGTAATTCGTCCCTAATGTCCATATATCGCACTCAGATTCCGACAATATCTCCCGCATCTCCATCGTCGAAAGTATCACCCGCCACAACATTGATTCCCTCCTTGCCCTCACCTGCCACAACCCTTCCTTGCTCATACGTGACTCTCTTCCACCCGTTCGGCTCGGAAGCATCCTTGATCCACTCCATTGTCGGGAAGTAGTGGTCATTCTTCTTCATCGTGATGACCCATGGCACTTGGTCGAAGGTCATGGCCTTGAGGCGAAAGTCTGTTACGGAGGTCAGTACGTGATCCATAGAAAGGCGAGTCAACCGAAAGAGAGAGGGGACAAACAGGTATTGTCAGGAATATTAACTACAGCCTTCAAGAAAGACTCCAGATCAGGCGTCGCCTTTCCATTCACGTGCGTGATGAAATTTGTGGGCGCAAGTCCGTACTGATATGCTGGGCTTCCTCTCGTCCGAGCGGACACATAAACCTCACTGTGCAACTTGCTGATCTGTTGGCGGACGGCATGATGCGGCTTATGCAGGATAGCACCACAGAAACTGATAGCTCGGTCGGTCTCCAGATCATCAGCAGAGACAGTGGGTAGCGTCACTTTCATCTCGACACAATCGCGAACGATAACTGCGTCTAGGTAGAGGTGATCGTACATAATGTCCAGCTCAGAGACACGGGTGATGATCTTGCCGTTGAGCGACAGGATCACATCTCCCTCGAGCAGCTCAGTGATGACCTTGTCCTTGTTTGAATGCTCCCCCTTTTCATACGTGCGTTTCCGAATCATGAAGAGTTGATGGCGGGAGGAGTTATCCTCCGCAACCTTCTTAATCCACTCCTCGGACACACCCATAATGCGGGCCTGACTCATCTGGACGGCATTGAACTCGACACTGAGCATCCGTAACTTCGGAGTCTCGCCTCGTTGAATCTGCTTGATCACTGGAAGTAGAGAGGGAGTTGCTAGACCGAGATGGTAGTCGGTATCCTTCTGGGTGGCATGAGAGCGCTCGCCAAGGTACGTAAGCCAGAGAGCCTGAACAGTTCCGTCGTCACCAACGAGAACACCACTTCCGCACTGACCGCTGAGGCTTGTGTCGACAGTAATCGCATCAACATTCACGGCTCTGTATCGGGGTGCCCCGGAGTTCGCCGGGATGGCAACGGCGGTGATATCGGTGATTGTTGTCTGGGCAGTGACAATACGCATATTCTGGTTGAAGCCCACAAAGTAGGTCGATGCTCCTTGAGTCACAGGGACAGTGCTCAACTTGGCGCTCTGGACAGGAGCGTCGACGAGAGAAGGATCATATTTGATGATGGCGTAGTTCTGAAGAGGATGCATGAAAACTACCTTGCCTTCGACGATGATAGAATCAGCGATGGTAATGGTGATATCACAGAGATCGTAGGGTACAATGGCTCTAGAAATGACAACCAGGCCCTTCTCTGCATCAATCACAACGCCCATACCCCACTTCCGGTTTCTTGGAAATCCATCCAGCTTCACAGGCATATGGCACAGGACTCGGACAAAACTACGGACAATGTTGGCAGCAGCCGGGTTCTGAGTGTTCTCCAGCGTTATGAAGCTTGCCGAACGTGGCACCGGAGCTATCTGGGGAATGGCGTCGGCTAGGTCAGAGAAATCCCACAGTCCAGTCTTGTCGTTTCGGACGGCCATCCTCATCTTACTCGACCAGTGTCGATCAATTTGGATGATGCTGGTATTGAGTGTGTGGAGATCTCGGAGGTGCTTGTAAGTGACAACGACCCTCGTTCGGTCAGGAATATCTTTCATGACCTCGACGAACGTCTTCAGATCCGGAGTCTTTTTGTGGTCTACCGTCTGAATAATCCAACCGTTGTCTGTGCTGTCAAATCTGAAAGAGCCGGTGGCTTCACAAACAAATACACCCCTACAGGCAACAGCATACAGTCGAGCTTGTTGGTACGAGAGATCATGGAAACTGCCTCCGGCAACGGAAACAAAACGATCAGGGGTGATGGCGTGGAGATCTCCGACTGTGACTGTAACTTCGACATCTTCTCCACCACGCTGTAGGAGAAGCTTGACATTACCATCAACGCTTGAGTCGAGGATATCGTCCAGTCTGACGAATTGGGTCAAGAGTTCGCCGTTGACCTTGATGAGCACATCTCCCTCCTCGATCTTGTGGTCCGAGGGGCCTTCCGGTAAAACAATCTCAGCAACCAGCATTCCAGTCTCCTTGGGAAATCCTTTCCGTACAGCACTCTCCCACTCTGGGGTAAGGCCAAGTCGGCGGCACTCATCGAAGGGTTTGATCATCCACTGGCATTGTATCGTTCCACGGGTGATTGGCTTTCCCTCCTGAATGCATCGCAGAGCTCGTAAGGGTCGGTCGAGCGGTAGGAAGTAGTCGGTCGCAGCGCCGTCACTTCTGCCACCCGCCTGAAGAGCCACAGCGTATCCATCGATGTTGACCACCGGACTGCCCGAACTTCCTCCACTCGCGGCAGCCGCGGCTTGTATGTAGTTTGTATTGAAATCGCAGTAACCATCTCCATACTCCGGGGCATTTCTGTCTAGCCGACTGATAACTCCCGAGAGAATACTGAGCTTTTCTCCAGCATCGTTACCAACAACTCTGATCTCGGCTCCAACTTTCGCCAGATCTGGTCTCAACGTTAGGGCAGCCACAGGCATATACTTGATAGCTTTGGGGTCGAATCGCAGAATGCCAAAATCATGAACGGGGTCGCGGTAGACGGGGAAGGCATCGACCTCCTCATGGTTATCAAAGATACAGTAACCTGTGAACGGTCCGGATCCAACAACGTGCCTATTCGTCATGATATATCCCCTTTCCGCATCCACAACGAATCCCGTAGCTTCACTCGTAAGAGCCGGATCCGTATCGAAGGAGCAGGTCTGGCAGAAGCGAATAGAGACAACATTTCGAACAACCTTCTCCACACAGGCTTGCCACTCTGCGGTATCTGCTGTCGAGCCAGGCAATATTCTCATCTCCTCCATCTCTATATCTTCGTCCTCGTAGACGGATCCTACCTCTGGTGTATTCTCCCCAGCTGATTCCTTGCCGTTGATCGCGCGATGCTTTGGTGGTCTGTCGGCCGCAGATCCTGGATGCTGCTTCCGCTTTGCGCGCGCAGAGCCATTGGCGCCATTCATTGTGGCGCTACTGAAAGGGCGGAGAGAACGGCTGGTTTCGAGGATGGAAGGGAGCTTCCTGAATCGAAGCAAGCTGTTGGAGGAATAATGGCGGGGATTCTTCTGGTAGATACCGGTAGGGCCCTGAGCAGTCGCTTTGAAGGCGATTCGAGAGTCGGAGATGCACGTCAGCGAGTGGTGGCTCGTTCGCAGACGCAGGACTCTCAGCATCCAGCAGAGCCGATATGGAAGGATCGACTTGTTGGAGGATGAGAGAGAGGTTTTGAGCTATCCTCTGACGGCGGAGAGCAGATGCAGAGGTCAAGGCGAAGGGAGGGAGAGGGAGGCGGAAGGAGAGGCAGGAAACGAGGCTGACCAAGATAGGACTTGAACTGATGGCGAGGCCGAGGGGGGAGGGGGGTAGGTATGGCGCCAAAGGGCGGGTGAGTTTGTTGTGGACCTGCGACTCTGCGACTCGGGCAGGTCGGACGATAACAGGAAATATATAGATGGGAGATGCAGATACCAGGACCACTGTATCTAACAACGGCGTATCAATGGGTGGGAAGAAGGGGAAGAGAAGGATGCGAGACAATGGGAGTGGGAGTGCAAGCACGCACGCACGGCCCCGAGCACGACCTGTTTTGTTTTTGACAGATGCAAGGATTGGGACTGTAGACTAGACGAGCCGCTAGCCACTAGCTTCGAGCTCGAGCTCGAGCCGCGAAAAACAACCGCAACCTCGAGCTTCCGATCATAACTATTCCATCCCATCCCGTATGCGCAAAAACAATCAACACCCTATCTCCAGATCAAGAACCATCGTTACACAGGAGTAGAATGGACAAAGCCCCAAATTCTCAGGTAATGCCAGAACTATCCACCTGCCTGCAACTTATGTGCCCCGAAACTAAAAGAACATCAGCCATGTCTTCTTGCCTGAAGGCCGAGAGATTTATAACTTACCGTTGATTACATCTCGAATTCACGGAAAACATAAGCACTATAAGGACCATAACCACCATAACCACCATAGTCAGAGTAACTGGGACGTTCGACAGGCACGAAGGTATCCTCATCGAGATCCTCGTCACTCAGAAGCTCGATCTCATTGGGATCATGGAGTCCAGCCACAGCCGTGACACTCTTCTCCGGGGCAGACTTCTGGCGCTTGGGAGCGGGAGTGGTAGCCTTGTCTGCAAGCGTCTCAGTCAGCAAGATTCCATTTGAAAGCAGATTAAAGAAGGGACCTCACTATCGGCCTTGCGCTTGGGAGCAGAGTGGTAGCCTTATCTGAAGCGCGTCAGTCAGCAAGAGCCGCTTTGAAAGCAGAGTAGAGAAGGGATCTCACTATGGGCCTTGAGCTTGGTTGATCGGGTCTCCTTGCTTCCGGCTTCTGGTGTCAGCCAACGTCAGATTTATAGGAGCTGGCACGACTCACCAGCCTTGTTTACACCACCCGGAGGGTTGGTTCCACCCAAGCGAGGAGCGCCTGAGGTACCAAGGGCATTTTTTTGGATTCGAACCCATCGCTCCCAGAGTGAGCGAGTGGTACGGCCTTGGATGGCGAGCTCGTCGAACTTGATGTCCTCCTTGGTGGGATTGGCTCCGATGAGTTGTTGAACGATCTGAAAGAACAACGAGCACTTGAGAGCACGTTAGCTCCTGATGCTGTGCGCGGGGGACGGGAGAGGAAGGCACTTACGTTCTCAGCCTCGGTCCAGTGGCCCTTCTGGACGGCTTTAGGCATGTTTGCTGCGGTTTGCAGTAGCGATCGATTGTGAGTCTGCGATGTGCGTTAGACCTGGTCTGCGATGGGGAGACGGGCTGGCGAGTGCGATGCCCTGCTTTGCTGAGCTCTGTTGGATGATCTGTGCTTCGACCAAGGCAAGACCGCTGAAGCTGCTCCGAGGTCGATACACACACACATTCTACCAAGGTGCGAAGCATCTACGCATACAGGCGTCTGCATCTGCACGCGAGGAAGGAGACTTACTGATGAATGCGAGTGGGAGTTGCGAGATGTTGGTATTGATTTGCGAAGTTGGTGTTGAGGGCGAGGAAGAGATGAGTGGTGATGGGAGGAGGAGAACCTCTTGTACCTGTGCGCCGCCCACAACAAGTACGCGAAAGTTGCTAGCTCCCTCGGTCTGATAGGTAGGTTACCAGCCTTCCTCGATCTCTAAATTGAAGAGCACGCAGATGAATACACCACAGAAAGTGAGTGAACGTTAACCTGCACCGGCTCCTCCACCGAGTCCATTCCCATTTCCAGAGCGCAGCTTCCTTCCCCTCGAGCATCACTCGAGACACAAACAGACAAACAAATAAACAAACAACCAAACAAACAGTGCTTCCTAAATCTTTCCTCTACCCACTCCCCAGATATGCCTCCAAGCGCCCTCGAACTACCTCGCAGTTATCAGATCAGATCAGATCAGACCATCCATCCAACTCCTAGCATTCTTCAACCGATCCACCCTTTCAACATCCCCCTTCCTCTCCCCCCTTTCCTCTTTCACACCCCAACCCACACCCACACGCAACCTCATTTCTTTCATAGCAGCACCAGCAGCAGCAGCATCTCGCCATACCGTCTTTCGCAGTTCAATGCACGCACGCACGCACGCACACACGCATAGACTACCTCTCTTCCACACCTCCTCCTCCTACAGCTAACTAGGTAAAACTAACTAACTATCCAACCTCCTCTGCTTAACCGAGGACGACGACGACGACGACGACGACGACGACGACGACGACGACGCTACGTACGTGATGTTTATATCCACATTCACATCCACATCCACATTCACACCATCCATCCCTCCATCCATCCATCCACCCATCATTGTACATCTATCTATCTATCTATCTCTTCAGAAAATCAACCCCCTGAAAATCACCCCGGTAGTCAGTAGTCAGTAGTCAGTAGTCAGTAGTCGGTAGTCGGTAGTCGAGTGAATCGTATGCCTCGCTTCGGGAAAAAAAAAAAAAAAAAAAAAGAAAGAAAGAAAGAAAGAAAAAGGGGCTACCGAGAAGACGCCGTGACGCGGAACGCTTTTGGAGAGGATTTTTAGCCGAGACAGGGGGCGGGTTTGCTGCCTAGCATCGAGAGGTAGGTAGGTGGGTAGGTAGGTACGGTAGATCCGCCGGTTCAGATGTGATGTGGAGCGGGCGTTGGATTAGATTAGATTACCTATGCTTATCTGGGATCGCTGTTAACAAGGGGGGGTTTGTCATGTAGTGTGATGTGGTGTAATGTAGATAGATAGATACAGGATCGCCTCCGGTCAGGCTACTTACTCCTCCTCCGTTAGCCTCTCCACCTTCACCACTGGTATCTCCCTCCGCCCCAACAGAGCCTCCGCTTCCTCCCCGTCCAAGAGGATCTCATGTCCGCTCCCCTCGTACAGCCAGAAGGCAGCCACGCACCCCAGGCCACTTATACCCGCGACCCCCCACCAGCCGGCGCCGATCACGCCGGCCTCCAGACCAGCACCGTACCACCACCCGCCGACCACCGGCCCCAGCGTCCGGAAGGCAGCGCTGACGCTCTGCCCGACGCCGTGGAGCGTGCCGAGCACGCTCGGGTGCGGGCTGCAGTTGTTCAAGAGGATGATGCTCGCCGGCAGCGTGAAGGTCCGGGCCGTGACCTGCAGCAGCAGCACGAAGGTGATGCCGATCCAGATGAGCGCGCCCGCGGCCGCGGCGGGAGCGGCCGTCGACGACGGCAGGATCGACAGGTACGGCGCGCAGAAGTAGGCGAGGGGGAACAGCAGCAGGAAGGCGCGGAAGGAGCGCAGGGTCCCGAGGCGGGCGTGGACGGGCGGGTACAGGAAGATCTGGAGGACCATGCCTAGGAGGCCGAGGATGGACGTGGCGAGGCCGACGGTCGAGGCTGGCATCCCGAGGCCGCCTGTGAAGGCGAAGGGGAGGCGATGGCCGGGTGGCTCCGTGGCGAGGCAGCGCGGGCTGCTGAGGAAGAGCGTCCAGAGGTTGGCGAAAGCCCCCAGGTGGAAGTCGTAGAACGCGCCTGCGACCAGAGTGAAGATGACGTTGCGCGTCCAGATACGCCGGAAGGGGAGCGTTTGCGTGAATATTCTCTTGAGTCGGGGTTTAGCTGCTTCGAACATCTGCATTTCTGGCTCGGGGCCATCCCATGTTTGGAGTCGGGAGTAGCCCGAGATGCTGGACTTGGAGCGGAGGAAGGACGAGAGGCGGAATTTGAGGTGTAGACCGAGATCGAATCTCCCTCTGCGCGCCTTGAGAGTTTCTTCTAGGCCGAAGAAGACGATGCATGTCGTTATGGAGAGGAAAAGGGCGTTCAAAACACTCGGCAGTGCATACGGATACTTCTGAACCCAGCTGAACCCGAGAAATGCCCCAGGTCCAAACATCTCGGGTAGATTCGTGGCAGGATCCACGAGCAGTCCTCCCATCATCGGTCCCAGGATTGCTGCGACGTTGAAGCTCATGGGCAGGATCAGAAAAGCCCGCGACTGGTATTTCTTCTCCTTGGTGATCTCCGCAATCATTGTCCGGATGATTCCGACGGTCCCATTGATCCCGCCTCCGACAACTCTCCAAAATGCGGCCCAGAAGAATGTGGTCGCGAACCCGTATCCGATGCACGAGACTGCTGTTCCTCCGAGTCCTATCAGCAACACCCTCTTCCGTCCGCACCACCTCGCATCTGCCGCCTTTCCCCAGAGCACCGCTGTCAACACCTGCGCACCGGTGAAGCAGCCTTGCAGCAAGCCTGCCTGCGTCGAAACCGCCGCATCAGACAACGAAGCGTCGAAGCTCTTCAGCTGATAGAAGACGTATGCTTGCAGAGACGCGATTTGCAAGAAGTCGACCATCCGGCAGAGGAAGAGGATTGCAAGTTGGTCTTTCCGCGGCAGCGAGAGCCATGTTACCGGCCCCGGCTCTGACTTCGGTGCTACGACATTGCAGTTTTCGAAGGGCTCTCTCGGGAATCGAGGGGACGCGTGGGGATTCGCGACGGGAAATCTCACTCGAGACTCGGTGTTGACCGTGTGAAAAATGGAGCCTTTCTCCATGGCGAGAAAAAGGAGCGAGGAAAAGGAGCGAGACAGTAGAGATAGCGATAAGGAAGAAATGTTGGGCCAAATGGGCAACAACAGGCGAGACAGGAGAGGTAGAAGAGAGAAGAGACTTGGCGACTCAGCATCCCAATCCTCACCACTTGAATGAGCGATAATGATGCCCACCTTGTCTATATTCCGATCGGCGCAGAAAGCTTGGAGGCCGTTATCTCTCCTTTTCATTTGCAAGGGATCCCGTGATTCATGCATGCCGAAATGCGTGGCGGTGCCTACTATGTAGCGAGCCCCTATTCCTCGTTAATTGATTCTTCAGAGACCAGCAGAATATGCAGTATAGATCCAACGATCGTACATTCCATGACTTGTCTTCTCCGACTCTGACAACGCGACGCTTTTAAGTTAGCCACGGCCGTCTCTGCCTCGCTTCTTTGATTTTCTTTTCTTGGTGCAATGGTGATCCATCTATCTGTCAGGGAAGGGCGCAAATGCAAGGGAAGAGCGCAGACGACAGCAGCTTTGCTATACATATCCCTTTGCAATGCTCTCTAGGGCCTTTTCGGTATGTGACTCCTTAGCTTAGCACGTCGCCGTACCCCATGGGAGGTCCGCTGTAGGGCGGCAGGCTGCCACCACCAGCCCGACGTTGATATACCACGCCGACAACAACAACAACAACAACAACAACAACAACAACAACAACCATGTCCCACGGCAACGCAGAAGGTTTCGCGTACCAGCTCAACGCTCGCTCGTCAGCTGACCACCTACCTAACTACACCAAAACCACACCCACGATATCCCCACCTCGCAATCCGTAGGCCACACAGCTCTCCGCATCCTCGGTAAGTCTCGACGGAGAGAAACACGACGAGAGCTCGTCACCACGCGCGCCACGCTCCGCAGCATCTCGCCAGGCTCTCTCTGCGCCGTGCAGATCCTCGCCAGCCTGTCCCGCGCAGCTTTTCCTCGGCGGCATTTCTCGGTCCGCACCATGTCGGATCTTCGCAAATAGCGATACCTACATGTGGAGTCGTTGGAGGTGCCCGAGATCGTGGGTACTTGCTGCTGGGCGTCCTTCAACAACGCAGCGGGCGCAGCTGTGCTGGGCGCAGAGCGGCGGCGGCTCTTGGAGGAGGCTACCGGTACGCCGGAGTCAAGAAAAGATAAGAAAAAGACAAGACAAGAAAAGAAAATAAAACAAAGAAAATAAAACAAAACAAAAGAAAAGAGAAGATAAGGGAAACGAGCAGTGTGCCTTTTGGGAACGGTCGGCTTGTTTCTTTTGGTTACCTTTGTCCAGACCGTCAGTCCTCCGCCGATCCACTAGTGAGTAATAAGCCAAGAACATAGGCTCTCTCTCTCTCTCTCTCTCTCTCTCTCTCTCGCCAGTCCCCCGTTAAACACAGACACATACCTAGGTAAGGTAGGTCCTGCCCCATCTCATCCGATCTCACACATCGCACCGAGTACGAATACCGGTAGTCCGTCCCTTTCCTTCTCCGCTTCCCTCAAGCTTTGCATCCGTCACTTACTAAGCGGGCACTCGGGGATATAGTAGTACTGTACTGTAGTAGTAAGGTAGGTAGTAGGTAGTACCGGGCATGCACATACGGGGATGCTCGGATGTTTTTCACGTCCCGTCCAGTCCCGTCCAGTCGAAGGTTGGGATTACCCCTTCCCTTGCCTCTCCCGGCCGAAGAGGAAGCCACAGGACAGGACCCTCGATACGAGTTGACTACCGTACCTAATAAGCATCTACTACGTAGTAGTACGTACGTACGGTACCTGCCTAGGTACTCCATCTCGCATCCGAGATAAGCAAATCTCGCACTGCGGGTTTGACTTTCGGGGGGGAAGTGTGCCGAGGTCGGGACGAAAGTCAAAAGAAGAGCCCTGTACGGAGGCTCTTCGGAAGCTCTGGGTCGTGTTCTCTTGGTTCGTGGTCGCAGAGAGATACCGTACCGGTACCGTACTACAGTCACGAGTAGGTATGCATCTGTGCAACGAGATGGAAGTCCACATCCACAAACGTATGTATATATATACCTATATATATATATCTTCAACCACACAACACATAAGTACGCAAAGGCGAACGAAGCGCACCCGCCCCGATCCCAAAGACAAGCAAGCAAGCAGTCATCCATATCCATCCCCGGTGGTCGTCATCGTCATCGTCATCCTCTTTATCCCCATCCTCACCCCCATCCTCACCCCCACCCGCACCCACCCACCTTCCCTCGGCTCGGGGCCGCTCAGCGACGCGTCACAACTACCTAGTAGTACGTAGTAGTACTTACTCAGGACCTACGGTACTTCCTACACCGGTACCAGCACACCCAGCAATCCAGAGCGCGTTGACCGAGATTTTTTTTTTTTTTCTTTTTTCCCCTTCTCCCCTGCCCTCTTTCTTCTACTTTCGCTACACAGCACAACTATATACACACTATATACCTTACTTACACTTACAACCATACATACCGGTACATATACATATAGATAAACCCAGCAGCAACCCCCCAACCCCCCCCCCCATCCAAAGCCAAGAAAGATCCTAAACAAATCTCAGATCCCTACTACGTACCTTCCCCCCTTACCCCTATTGTACTAGGTACTAGGTAGGTACCTACTACTACTACCTACTACTTACAGTCCCGTCCCGTCCCGTCCCATCCCGTCCTATACCACACACAGCACCTACCTACCCACCTACGTACCTACCCACCCACCTCCCTACAATCAAAATCCCCCCCCAAAAAAAGGTTTAAAAAACCCACGTCTAATTTCATCCCCCCCTCCCCCTCCCCCTCCCCCTCCCCCTTGCCCCGGCAGAAGATACCACTAAGGTACCACCAAGCATTCAAGCTTCAGCATACGCCATACCAACTGCACTAGCAAAAGGCTATTTAGCTATTTATTTATCTATTTATTCATTCATTTACCTATCTATCTATTCATCTATTTATCTATCTATTATATATAAAAGTAAGTACAAGTAAGTACAAGTAAGTACAAGTAAGTACAAGTAAGTACAAGTACAAGTAAGTACAAGTAAGTACAAGTAAGTACAATTAAGTACAAGTACAAGTAAGTACAAGTACCTACTTAACAAGAACTGCACAGCTTCACAGCTTCACAGCTTCACAGCTTCACAGCTTCACAGTCCGCGAGCAGCGAGCGCACTGGCTTTTAGCAAGCACATTCGTCGTAAGGGAGAAGAGCAGAGCAGGAGAGGCGTAAGAAAAGAAGGAATCAGAAAGAAAGCCTCTGTCGCAGTCACATATATGTGCGATTCCAGGATGGGATGGGATGACCCCGTGGCGTGAGGGCCGGGCAGGAGATACTGCGGACTGGTTGGTGGGAGACGAGTCCGTGTCGGGTATTACTTGTACTTTCGGTGGGTGGGTGGTTGGGAGGAGGGAAGAGAGAGGGGGGGGGCTTTCTGCACGGGGGGGTGTGGATGGGATTATTATTTATGTGTGTGTAGGTAGGTAGGTAGGTTGGTTGAGAGGTCTATGTTGCGATGTTGTGATACAGGGTTGATTAGACAGACAGACGGAGAGATAGATGGATAGACAGACGGGGCAGCTCGGGGTGGGGTCCGAGGGCGGCCATATTGTGGCTTTCCGACAGATGCGTTCAGACGAGCCGTCATGCATATGCTGTGAAGTCGCCCAGGGGAGAGAGAGAGATAGGTGGTACAGGAACGTAGATACATGCACACGTGTAGAACGAGACGCCACGCCGTGTGGTACATGCAGGACTTCCCAGCCAGGCCAGCAAGCAGAGCGATCGATCGGTCAGAGGCGCCGTAACAGGGAGAGACACCAGAAGGCCAGCGCGCACAGCACCGCCATCTGCAGAGCCTTGGCGCCCACGTTCAGCATCTGCATGCGGTTCCGCCGCCGCGACCGGGCGACGAAATCGTGGTTGTCGTTCACCTGGGGAAACGCGCGCTCCTTCGGGACCGGGTGGCCCAAGAACGCGCACAGCGGCCCCCAGCCGTCCTGCACCTCGAACTCGAGCAGCCGGTCCGGGGCGACCAGGCCCCGGACCTCCTGGTAGTGCTCGAGGAAGACCTGCTTACCCTGCTTCGGAAAGTCGCCGCGGAAGAAGGTGTCGAAGAACTTGCGCAGCATGGGGTAGTACATGCCGGAAGCCCAGTCGACGTGCGACAGGTACCGGAGCTCGGGGTCGGTGACGCGCCAGTAGACGGTGCGCATCGTGCTGGCGTGCCAGCTGTCGACGTCGCGGTTCGTGAGCACGACTTTGGCTTCCGGGTATGCCTCGATGAGTTCCTTCGCGAAGGCCACCGCCGGCCAGTCGCAGACGGCCTGGCAGTTCCCCAGGAGCCGGTCCCAGTCTGCCCGGGTGAAGGGGGCCCCGACTCCGTCGTACTTGGCCACGAGGGCGTCCATCCACAACAGGGCATCGGGGGGGTTCTCAATCGAGCAGTTCATCATGTGGTAGGTATCGATATAGCCGAGCTCCTTCATTGCGGCGCGCATTGCTAAGGAGTGTTAGAAGCCATTGGGGTCGGAAGGAGGCCATGGGGAGCGTGGGGGAGGCCTTACACGTTGTTCCTGTGCGTCCGAGTCCAAGAATGAGTACTTTCATGGGAACCGTCCGCCGACCATTCCTCTTGTTGATATCCGTGTCGCTGGTGAAGATGTCCGTGATGGGCTTCTTGGAGTACTTCGCCGAGTACGCCATTTTGCAGAAAAGATAGGGGCATCAAGATCAATAGCGAGACTCAGATGTGAAAAGAGGGTGTAAATGTAGATGGGTGAATAGACCTGGGCTCGTCTGTCGTGCCGTGGAGAAGTTGAACGGGGATCAGGAAGACGCAGCGTCCAGGAGGGAGCTTTCTACCTCAAGGACCCAATCCCAAGCAGGAAATCAAGCAATCCGCTCCAACAGGACCCTGGCACCTGCCAAGATCCTCAAAAGGGGATATTGTCCCACTGCATTCCGGCGACGATGAGCCGTGGAAGAGTAGCGAGGAACGCCCATCACCATCAGCCACATTTCCAAGCCTCAGCCCGGATCCAAACCTTGACAAACGCCTACATACGATACGGAAGACTGCCAAAATAGCAGCAACGCCATCGCGAACCGCCAAAAAGAAAGTCGACTGACGACGAGCAAAGAGTCGACGCGAATCGCAGATGGTGGAGAGCCAAAGGTGAGAAATAGGTCTTATGCACATGGGGGCGGCATGAGCAGGGACCATGACAGGGAGCTCGGGGCCAGGCTCCTCCTGCATTATTGACTGAGTAATCCACGTCCAACAAAGTGATTGAGTAGCGGCGGAGCAGAATCTAATCTAATCAGCACGAAGCGCCGATCACGGAGAGGGAGGACAGAGGGCAGTTCTCGTACCAAGGAGTTCAAACTAGTTGTAGTTGTTTCGAAGAAGAAGAAAAAGATACAAGAAAAGAAAAGAAAAAAGATTTGAGAATGTCATGGCTAGATGAAGTTGAACACTTAGGTATCCTGATCTCATAATATAAAAATAACCGAAATGTTCAAACTTCAAACACAAGTTGCATTGTGCAACAAGAGCATTGCTTATCTCGTTATCCATCAGACGCCATACCAACTCCCTTTCGCAAGTAACGATTGAAGCATTTCACATCTTCCCAGCGCTACGCTTTCCTATCCATTGCTGCAATTTGACAAGCTCTCAAGAAGGGTCTTCGACCACTTAGTTGCCCTTGTTACCATCCTGAGGAACGAACTTTGACCAGTCCTTACCAACGATGATGAAAAGCTGGCTGACCAACAAGACAGTAAACATAAGGGTGACCGCCATTTGCATGGCAAACACCTTGCAATAGGCCTTGATGAGTCTGATGCGAGAATCCCAGTCAAAAGACTTCCACGCCTCAAGCATGCCAATGACTCCGCTGCCACCGACAATCTCGGGGACGACTTTTCCGCCGAAGCTGCGGTCGAAGGGAACGATAGTCTCTTCAGCATCGTCCAATAGAGATGCCTGAACGCGCGTCAGAGCGACGTTAGCCGGGATGACGACCAAGAATCCTAGGACCAGGCCGAGGACTGCGATGCCGATGGCCTTGAGGCCCATGACAGTCTGTTGATGCGGGGTCATCTTGTCCACGTTATCAGGAGTACTATCGACAATACCAGCGAGCACTGCAAGGTAGAGTGGGATCCAGACGGCCATCTGCTCAGCGAGAGCAAAGACAGCAGTTGGAATAGCAACCTTTTTCCACATGCTCTTCGGCGGGACACGGCGGAACCATGTCTTGGGGCTGGCCGGAGAAATAACGATGTGTGTCCATCCGAGAGAAAGTTGAGCGAGAGCAACAGTGGCGCCAACTATCAAGAAACCTCTAGGGACAAATCTGATGATGGGTACGGCAGCTAGCATGCCGGCGATCCACTGAACGAGAAAGTTGTTAACGATGAAGATCCAAACGCCACGGAATCGTTCGTTGAACCCTCCCAGATGTCTGATTGTGCGGCGGAAGCTCGAAGTGATGAACTGGGGCTTGGAAGAAACTGGCTCTGGGTCTTTGATGATGGAGTCGGGGTCCTCAGTCGCAAGAGAGTTGAAAGAGACGTCGTCGGCCGGGGACTCGATCATCAGGAATGTGGGGATGAGGCGACCAAAGGTGTATTCGATCTGCGGAAATTAGCAAAAGGATATGCAGCTGGTGATAAACATAATATATACCGTGAACATCGCGACGATATAGACAACTGCTGTAGCAGCTAACATCAGAACTCCCCAGACGGGAAGGTTCTTCTGGACATCTTCGCCATGGGTGGCATGGGCTTCAAGGCCACGGCGGACGATGGAGCTGGCGACGTTCATTTCAATAATGAGAATGACTTGGTTTTGTTTTAGTTATTCGATAACTTTGATTTGCGTCTCTGGTAGTTGAGGGGGAAAGATGTTTTGAAAGGAAAGTTGAGGGGATGATGGTCTTCCTTTGAAGGGTGACTGACGTCTTAGGCAACGAGGGGCGCAGCCGGCGCTAATCACGCCGATCCGGGTTAGTCAAGTCAAATCGATATCTAATGATCCGAAAGTGATATTATACTTTTGAGAATCATTATTCGCGTTCCGTTCTATACAAATTTTTATATCTACCTACGGTACTGAAAGAATGCGAAAAATCATAAATAGAACAGAAAAGAAAAACCGCAAAAACTCAGCTGGAAGCTCATAACAACGGGATGTTACAAGGTTCCAGCTTACAAACTCAACTTAATGGGTTATTTGGAGCTATAATGGGATATACACAACATTATAGGGATATCGATTTTTGCCACTGCCACCGCCGGAAGCCCATAACAACGGGATGTTATGAGGTTCCAGCTTACAAATCCAAGTTAAGGGTTTGTACCGAAATATAATAGGATATACACTATTATATTATCGACCGGTGAATGGGGTGGCAGCTCTTGCAAGCAAGCCGCTGAGCCACCGCCCCAATCCACCGATTGATGGTAGTGCACACGGAATTAAGTATTATAAAGTAGGTAGTTTTTTTTCCCTTTTCCTATTCGGCGCTTAGCTGAGGCGGGCTGGATTATTTCTCTTTTAAGCACGGCAAAAGTTATCAGCGAGCCTGGCTATCAGCTATACCTCCGACTAGCTAGCTAGCTTGCATGGATAATGCAACGAGTTTACACGTATGTAGAAACCACTCTTGGATTTCTGGGTCTCTGAATCTTTGATTTAAAGAGCTTTGAAGGACGAGTGGCAAGGAAGAGGAAGAGAACTGTTTACAGGAGAATAGGTCTTATAGGCAGGCGTGCCAAGACGGGAACTAATGGTCACGAGGTAACGTGTAACCTACTACACGTGTCCAATGCCTCGTGACCTGCTACTACCGTAACATTGGAAATGATAAAATATTCAACTGCAATCGACGGAAAAATCCTTGTACGTAGAACACGTTGCATTCGAGACTCCCCACGCGGCCAGACCTCTCGGCTCTGCTTACCTACAAATTCTCCACTGGTTGAAAAATTCAGAGCTGCTACGTGGGACTTCTTCGATCCAGATATGGAATAACTAACGGCACGTGTTGTTTTTTTCGGACAATACTAAATTTCACAATCAATCCGAGTTTCGGTATCCTAACTAACTTCCCCCACGGCTTCGGGCTTTATCCGGCTCCATCCGGCTCCGGCTCGGGCCTAGCCTCGGCCTGATAGCCACCTCAGCCTGCCTGCCTACCTACTCAGCCGTCGATACATATCCTCTATCGCCCCTCGTTACCACCTACACAATAATGCCAGGACTGCCTCCTCCACACCGCAGAAGAAAAAAGACACCAACATTCATCAAGCAATTGGACCGGGAGGATGTATGGCGTCGATCACTATATGTCTTAGGTCTGGAACCCATAAACGCCCAGAGTTCGACTCCAAACAGCTCCAGCTCTAGTTCTGTTATGGCCAGCTGTGTCATGGCTTCACAAACAGCTTCGACAGCTTCGACAGCTCCAGTGGCTCCAGAAACAACCTCAGCAGAGCAAACAAAGGAACCAACGACCTTCTTGAGTCTGTCTGGGGAGATACAGAGAGAGATATTCCAGCATGTAAGTACTTGCTCCCGTTCCGTGTGCTACTTCAAGGATCTTCAATGCTGGCTGGCTGGGCTCACTATCGACTACTTAGGCAACCTCCCCAGACCTTACTGCCCTATCTCTGGTCTCCAAGCACTTCAGAGACTTGGCCGCAGAGCAAATCTATCGAAGGTTTCAGATCACATTCACGGAGGAAGATGGCATTCTGCACGACTACCCATTCGACAGCCTTGCTGCGGGCCTGGATACATTTGCCACCTCCGAGTATGACCATGCACAATACTTGAAAGAGTTTAGGGTATTAAACGAGGGTGGAGGAGAGAAGACAGAAAGAGCATTCAGATCTTTTTCGTTTGATGTTAGCTGCGGGAAATTCATGAACACCCTGCTGCTCTTGACTTTGCGCAAGGCTAAGAATTTGGAAGTATTTCAGTTCGTACTCACGGTCCTTGCGACAGAGATAATGTTGCCGTACTGACTGGGACAGATGGGATATCCGGATCGAGCTCAGCAGACCAGTTTACAAAGCACTGCACCAAATCCAAGCTCTTCAACACTTACACCTTCGAATGCAACCAGGACCCTCCCTTTGGCTACCTCTCGGCCCTCTACCTACATCTCTGCTCCCTCCGACACATGGCATGCAACAGGCTTCAGGCTCCTCCGTAGCTCCTTTACCGGTCATACTTCCAGTCCCCGCAGGAAGCACCAATTCCTTTCAGTTTGGCAACAAGATAGCAAAAATATGCCAGAAACCACCCGTGAAAAACCCCATCAAATCCCAACCTCCCCCGCCAACAATGTCTGGATTTAAGAATCTCAAGACTTTGACGGTACTTGACATGGATACGCTGGAATACTTAGATGAGCTGCGGGCTTGTGTTGGCAACAGCTCTGCGACCCTGCGTAGCTTGACCTTGTCATTCTCGGAAGCTTTGGTGGCTAAATCGCGGAAGCCACAACCAGATCCTCATTCTGATGACGACTCAGATCAAGAGGACGAGTTTGGTCAAGTAAATCCACCTCCTGGGACTGCCTCAATAAACCCCGCTCTGGGCGCATCCGATCCGAACGGGCCATCCCGGCTGATCAAAGCCTTGGAAGAAAAGAAGATGCAGGAATCGGCACTTGGTCGAATTCTTGGAGTTGAAAGTGTCGCCCCGAAGCCAAAACCAGTCGTTCCAAAGCTAAAGGTTGAGAAACCAATGCCGGAAGAGGATCCCAGAAGACGATTTATTCAAAATCTTACCCTCATCGCATCAAAACTTATGAGCCATGTCCAGCCAGGAAGTGACCTCTCCACCGAGGGAGCGAAGACCTTGGAGATGATCGAAGAAGCAGCTCGCCAATACCTTGCAAGTAACGAGAAAGGCAAGGGAAAGGACAAAGGCAAGGATCCGGCCTCAAGCGTCGAGATCACGACAAATTCAACCCCGGCTTCTCTTACGGCTAGCGGCGAGGACGGTGCAGTCGCTGTGATGAGTAGTGCTGTTCTCCCAGAAGAGGCAGGTCTCTTCGATGCGCCTGACACGAAGAGATCTGTAAAAGACGAGTCTGGATGCTCAAACCCAGAGGACATCAACGTCGAGGAACCGGATGACCAAGATTTGCTTATTGACTTTGATGTATCTACCGACACTGTAGCCGAGGACGATCTACCAGTAGCCCTTGCAGGCGACGAGGCCGAAACTGAGATAGCAGGCTCCCTGGTTGAGACAATGGAAAGATTCCAAAACGAGTTGGCGGGAATCGAACAATCAATCCGAGAACTAAGCCTAGCGTTCAGTGTCGATCCTCTGGCCACATCAGTCATGCAACAAAACGAAAGCCTGGCGAAAAAACTAAACAAGCTTCGCGACGAAATCATTTCCGACATGAAAGATATGGACGTTACCTTTTTTACTCAAGCTTTGACCAAAATCGAAAGGATCACGCGAAGCAATGTCGAGCTGTTGACTAATATGCGAGATCCCGAGATGAAAAAAAAACAGAAGACATTGCACGATGCGTTGGAAACTCAGGAAACACAAATGAGTGCGTATATTCGTAATACTCGTGGTCTCACCCTGGAATCGCTGTCGATCTATTTGATACCGATTAAAGCATCAATTATTTCGCGGTGCATCGACCTCAATGTCTTGCAGAGTATCACACTCCTTAATGTTGGTCCTCAGGCCCCTTTCTGGAACTTAGTCGCCAAGGAGAACCTGATTATGCCACTGCCAATTCAAAAGATTCACACAGACAATGTTACAATCCCGCTCCTGTTATGTTTGTCAGGGCTCGATAAACTGTCAGAACTGATTCTCCTGGAACGCGCTACGAAAGAGCGTGGAGAGAGCACCGCTGCGAAGTCAGTAGTAACAGTCGAGGATATCCGAAAGATGGTCTTGAGGAAGCATGCGAGCAATCTCCGGGTCTTGGTTATCAGGAACGACAACCCCAACCATGATTGGCAATTGAACATCAAGACGATCATGGTATTGTGTCGGCGCGCGAAGAAGCTTGAGGAGTTGGGCTGCAGCTTCGGAACTCCGGCTATGGTAAGCTCGTCTTCTACCTTCCACAGGCGAAATCCTTATTGACGCGACTTAGCACACTCTCCTACAATATATGTCGGGCCTCTCCTCCCTTCGCGTCCTGCACACAATCACCTTTCACAACGAAGACAACTGTACATGGGTAATGCGCGAATTCCGCAAGTTCACTGTCGACATCATCTCGCAGAACCCTGATATGAAGCTCGAGTACCTCGCCCTCGAGAAATCCGTCGAACGTCTCGTCCGCCGAAAGCCTATGCCAAAGCCCAAATCCGACAAGGGCAAGGCCATAGATCTGGACTGGACGAGCGCCAAGGCTCTTGCGGAGTTGATTATGGGCAGCAATGCTGGATCCTGGGGCGATGAGAGCAAATACGACTTCCAGGATAGCGATGATGATGATGAGGGCATTGTGCAGACTGGACTTCGCGTCGAGACTGTCGATAGTGTCCGCTTCTCTCAAGTCACTGGAGTCCGCATATTTGAGCGAGCTGTTATCACGGGAAAGTTGTGATATTGGCTTGGAGGTGGTGCTGAGTTTGAAGGCTGGGTCATGGCTAGGGTGGCAGGATGCCGAGAAATCTCGATTACAGGCAGGTGAGGTAGGACAAGGGCAAGGGTTTTTAGAGGATTTAATGAATTGAACGGACTGGAAATGACTTATCGGATACCAATTTGCTTCTTAGCATTAGGCGTACTCGACGGGATGAACGAAGGAAATAATTGATTTTTATTTTTCTTAATCCTTGGTTCGTGGCTCTCAGTTGGCATTGAGCCTAGGTAGTAAGTCGACTGCTATTCCTTTTATCACCAAACCCCAAATTCCAATTCCAATTCCATACCAAGTGAACAAATATACCGGTAGGTATGCCATGAAAAGAACAGACAGACAGACAGACAAGACAGACAAACAGCCTAACCGAAGAGCCACCGCTAGGTACATACAGCAACCACCTCCACCTCTCACCTCCTCCCAACTACCAATCGCCGGCTCGCCTACATACATACGTACGTTAGGCCTCCTCCTCCTCCTCCTTACAACTCTTTTTTCAGCCTTTTTTTTTTTTTTTTCGGCTTAAGCGATTGCGAACCGGAAGCGGGAAGCGGGATGCGGAAGCGGAATTTTTATTTTTATTTATTTTTTTATTTTTAAATTTTTCTTCTTCTCCCCTTTACTTACTTACTTACCTCCTTAGCCAAGCCTGGCAGCTCTGCCCTGTCACGAACCAACTCAGCTCCGTGCTAGCTTGCATCAGCAACCGACACCACACTGACATTCGGTCCCTTTTTCAAAAACACGCTCGCTTGTCCGCTTGCTTGATATATTCCTTACCTAACCTACCTACCTTACCCACCGTATCAACTCTCCACAGGAGGAAACAACCGCTGCTGGAACTTGTACTCTTGTACTTGTACTCTTGTACCATTCGCTCGAGATCTGCTCTGGCGCTATACGCGTCTGGGGCTCTTATGTATGTAAGGTATGTATGTAAGGTATGTATGTATGTATGTAAGGACTGGCGGCACGTCTGTAATGTAATGTATACCGTACCGTACCGTACCTACCTACCCTTGGGGAGGTCACAGGACTGACTCACTCGCTTGAAGCGACCCGTGGACGGTAAACGAATATGAATACGAATACTACCTACTTAGTTAGTTAGTTACTGATTGTTTGTAGATGAAAAAATTATGTATATATATATATATATATATATATACGATTCGCAATGCTGTATGTACGTGTCTCCTTTTGGTTTGACTTATGAGGGAGTTGGGGAAGGGGGGAAGGGGGAGGGGAGGAGGGGGGAAGAAGGGGGGAAGAGAGGAAGGGAGGAGGAGAGGGGGGGAAGAGAGGAAGAGAGGAGAAAGAGGGGGAGGGAGGAAGGGAGGGAGGAAGGGAGGGAGGAAGGGAGGGAGAGAGGAAGAGAGGGAGAGAGAAGTTGTCATTACAAGAAATAAAAACACAATTTCAAGAACGACACATTTCGCAACATCTGTTTGAATGGCTGCTTCCTGCCATTTTCTGTTCTGTTCTGCCGGGACGGGTGCCGAGCCATCTATCAAACAAGATGCCCATGCACAACCACTTCCTGTCCGGTCCTGTCCCGTCTAGTAACCAGTCCGTCGCCCTATCTAGAGCCCCTGACCCAAACCTTTCCTATACCCCCCACGCAACCCAGGTCCACAACCCTAAACCAAGTCCCAAGCCGCAATGCCGCCAAATGGACCCATAGCCACCCTCCCCTTCTTCCGCAGATACTCCTCCCGACTCAACCCCCTCGCGTCCCTCCCCTCCACAGAATTAACCGAGAACACGCTAACCGTCTGCCCGGGCGCCCCCAACTCCCTCGCCTCGATATCAAGATACCACCAGAACTCCGTCCGCTCAAACGGCACGAACTCCGTCTTCCTCCCATCCAAGCCCTCCACCTTCAGGACCATCAGGTACGGCTTGCCCATCCCGTTCCTCTCGTCGTCCCAGTGCTCGCACATTTTGCTGAACTGGAAACGCACCGTCTCCTCCCCTGCCGCCCCGGATACCCTGATGTGCTTCTGCGGGGGCGAGAAGGAGTTCACGTCGAGAAAGTTCTTGGTTTCGGCGTCACCAAAAATCTGGAGCGGTTCCGCGCCGACCGGACCGATCATGTACTCGTCCCAGGTGGGGATGCGGCCCCCGGTGAGGAAGAAGTGAGAGGCGTCGGCGGGGAAGTGCTTGAGGCCGAAGTCGGCATTAGACATGGTGAATTGAGAAGGGGTGAAACATTTGTTGTAGTTGCTGCCGCTGACGTTTCCCGCGCCCCAGCATGGGTCGAGGAGTTTCCTATTGAGATCGTTAGCGAGGTGTCTGGTTTCGGCGAGGGGAGGGGACGTACCACTCTCCACCGTCGATACGAGCGGCGTTCCATGCATGTCCAGATGGGTCGGGGGGTGGTGGCCGCTCGCCGGGTTTAAGAGCTGTGTGGCCGAAGCCTTTACCATGTCCTGTGACCACGATGGCTTCCATACCGGCTTTCAGCGCAATGGCTGTAAACAGACCAGCGTAGCCTCCACAGACAGCCACGCCAGTCGTGATGGTATCTTTGGGCTCAACATGCTTAACGCGGTTGCCAAAGAATGCGCCGACATCATAAGCGATGTTATGGTGCAGCCACGTAAATATCGCTCTCGCCTTATCTGTAGCAGATGAGAAGGGAGTACAGAGCACATCTGCCAGATATCCAGTGAGATCATGGCTCCGAGGAAGTGATTCTCTTGGATACTGCGCCGCGACTGTGTCCGGCCCCGAGAAGTCTCTGCATTTCAGACAGCCCGATTTTACAGGGGAGGTAGGTCGCGCCCAAACAGCCTTGACCTCCCTCGCGGATGGCTTCGAGCTCATGTTGATGGGTGGCGGTACACCACCATTCGGCTTCATTCTCAGCCCGTCTTCGACCTTCATCCCCGTCCGCTCTTCCAAGAATTGCGTAAACGATTCAACTTTCCACGGCTGCGGGTAATCGGGCCAAGAGAACTTCTCTGGGGGACCACCGCTTCCGTCGAAGAAGACAATGGCAGGATACCTATTCCCGCCATACTTGTGCATCAAAACACCACTCTCGGCCCCATTGATCTTGGCGATAATCAATTTATCAGACGCAAACGCCCAGTCCTCTCCGACTTTGGTATAGGTCGGCTCCAGCCTGACGCAATCCGAGCACCGCGGTCCATAGAAATCTACCAGGGCATACTTGCCCTCAATGGCGCTATGGAAGTTATCCTTGTTAAGTTCCACCACCGCAGGCCCTGGTCTCGAAACCGGCAATCTTGGTGCCGGAGTCTCGATATTCGGAGTTTCCTTCTGCTTATTTCTAAAACCCATCTGTAAAATGGACTTCGTAGCCGCGCTAGGAGGGGGTAATCGTCTCACAGGCTGCGGTTGCGGCGTCTCGCCGACAGCACAATCCCCACTTCCATTCGTAGGCCTCTCAGGTATTTTCGGTGGTCCACTCGATCTCGGCGGCAGCCTAGGCGCTGCATCTTCCGCCTTGGGCAGTATCTCTCTCACAGGAAGACTAGGCGCCGACCTTGCCGTGGCATTCTGTGGCCTGATAGGCACCACAGGCGCAGATCTGACTTTCACCAGGGGCACCTTCTCAAACCTCGACACATCTGTCTGTCTCCTCGTCGCCTCGGCCTCTTTGTCCGTCAATCTCCGTTCTGAAATTTCTCTCTTCGCAACCCTGTCTGTTTCCTCCCGTTCCCGCTTCGTAGGTGGCAGAGGAGGGAGTTTGGCTTCGCCCAGCATAGGCGGGAGTTTCCTCCCCTCGCCAGACCTGACGGCGGCAGCACCCGACCTGAGACTCATGCCTGACACCACCGAGCTGTGGGACATAGTTGACTCATTGGAGCCCCTCCGCACCATCTGCGTCGTGGGCACTACCTGCGTAGATACCTTGCGAGGAGGCAGCGCTGGGCTCGGCTGCGATGCTTTGCGGATAGGCAGAGGAGGCGGTGCATTGCGGGCTGGGAGAGGAGGAGAATCCGCTGTTGATTGAGCAGTTATCTGGTCGCGGTCGACGGGTGGGGGTGGGAGGAGGGCTTGGCCTCTTGCTCCGAGGGGCTGATTGCTGGGTCTTTGGGAGACGGAGGAGCCCACGCTTGCGAGAGGTGGGTTGTTGACCGAGTGTCTGCTTGGTAGAGGAGGTCGGTCGGTGGGGGGAGAGGGAGCGGGCGGTCGTTTAGTGACAGGAGCGGCGGATGGGCCTATGGGTTTGCCATTGCTTTGCTGGTTGAGGGCTGCGATGCGGGCTTGGAGGGAGGTGAACTGCGGTTCTGCTGTTTCGGCCATATTATTATCTGTCGGTATGATTTTGATGTTGCTTGCAACTTGTTCGCAGGTTCTCGAATCGAGGAGTGGGAATAACGACGGTTGGTAGGGATCGTTTGCTGGAGATCCAAGCCGCGTAACTCACTCGGTCAGGCAATCCACGAGGGCCGGGCTCTCAATAACAATAACGAGATGTCCGATCAATGTTTATAGTGGGCATTGGCGATGGTCCAAGATCGCGGGAATAGAACAGTTCATCACATAATCCAATGACCGAGGAGCAGCTGAATTGGATGCCACGTAAAAATGTTGGAGTGCCAGGGCAGCAGTGGCCGTGGGTTAAGGCTGTGGGGCTGGCATGCTGCTCCGCCCGCCTCTGCAGGAACATTTAGGCTCGCCAAGCTTTGACTTGGCATCCGTCTGGGGAAATCCTCTCTCAACTCCCGCTAATTGCGAATTACGAGACGCCAATTTCATCAATTGATCAACTTATCAATTTTTTTTTTATACGAAGTACACGCAGCCGCATCACAGACGACAAATCCCAATCCCTTATATCATCCCAACTCACATTACCCTCCTACCTATACCACCTCATATCGCATGCCATATCGCACCTCACTCCCTCCCCACCTACCAACCAAAACCCCTCCATCCTAACCCCAACCTCGGGATTTCAAGTCTTGACTTCACCTCAAGAACGAATATCCAAATAAATAATATCTCACCACAACACCTGCAGAACAAAAACAAGAGGCATCGTTCCCACTTCGCCTTCCATCAGCAACGAAACACACACAGTAAAGTCCGAGTGGGGACCGATATTAAACGGGCTTTAGCGAGGCTGCGGCAGGTCTAGTGGTGTAATCCTCTCAAACTCAAAACGTGCGGCAGTCAAGCCGGAAGGAAAGATTTCAGGATAGGAAGCCAGAAGTCTTGTCACATTATCAGTCCCATCGCTAGGTTTAAACCCCCTCCCTAACTATCATAACCTCATTCTATCTAACAAGAAGAAGAAAAAAGGGGGGAAAAAAAGAAGAAAATAGAAGAAAATAGAAGAAGAAAGAAGAAGAAGAAAAGAATAAGAGAAAAAGAAGAGAAAAGATACAGCGCCCATTGCTGTGCGGTGGTATATAACAGGACAAAGACGCAACGTAAAATCGCAAAGCCCCCTATCCTTTGCCCCCCTCGCCCCCGCCGCCCAAAATAAATCAACGGTGAATTCCCGCTCATAGAGTTACCCGTCCCTCATCACAGCACGTATGGGGATCGCTGGCTATACGTAATACCCCCAAAACGCCTCCCGCCCCGGCACATGCCTAAATCGTTTCCCGTAGTTCCTTAGGTCCCTACCAAAAGCACAAAAGAATTACACGCAACTCGTCATGGATAGTCGTCCTCTTCGCTTTCCTTCCTTCCTTCCTTCCTTCCTTCTTTCCATCCCTCGAGCTGCAAAGCCGTCCTTCTTCCCAGGCTGGAATCACCTCAGCAGCCCCCCCACATCCTGTAGCTCATGGCTGGCGAGACTCCTTGACATGTTAGCCGGCCGCAGACTCGGGCTCGGCTCCTGTAGAATAGTCTGCAATTCATAGCCCCGCCCAGAGGGCCTCTCCCTCTCGCGTCTCGGCCCAAGGAGGCCCCCAATGTCCTGGAGCAGTGCCGTGTTGCCCCTCCGCGGCGGCGGCGTGGGACTGAGCCCGTGCTCATGACTCCACGACACTGACAGCGGCCCGAGCATGGAGCTCTCGCCATCCGTATCTGTTGTCCGTGTCGAGCTCCCCCTCCTGAGATTATCCTTATCGAGGAGCCCACCAACGTCAAAGAACGAGACTTTCCGCGGCGAGGAGAAAGACGACATGTCGGTCGGAGAGTGCGCCTCGTGCGCTTTGGTCATCTCCATCTCGTCGCTCGTGTCGCTTCTCTCGCCGGGGAACTGCCAGTCCTGTCCCACCAGTCTGTGCGCTTTCACCGGCACGTTCCCCGCAACGGCCATCGGCGCTGGGCGAGCGGTCGGCGGCGTCTCTCGCAGCTTGGGATCTACGCTGATCCCGAGATCTCGCACTAGATCCTCGTCGCTGCCCCAATGCCGGCTGAACGGTGCTCGGCGAGAAGTCGTGCGCTCAATACTATCGGTCATGCTGCCAAACTTCCACCGCTGCTTCTTCACTCCTCGATCTCGGACGAAAGAGCCTAATATCAAGGCGTTCGCTACGGCCGTGGAGAATAGGATCTCCACCGAGGCCAGCAGAGAGCGATACTGCTGACTGCCGTCCCGCGCCAGAACGTGTGGCAGCCTGTAGCACACAGTCCCAGCCGGCACCAAAGAGCCGGCGAACAGCAAGACCAGCTGAATCTTCCTCTTCGTACTCATTTTCGAGGCGACGATGATCGGGATCGGGAACACCACCAACAGCAGATCGGTGAGGATGTCGCAGATGCCCATGGTGAGCAGCTGGGCGAATCCCTGTCGGCATCTCGGGCCCGGATCCGGCGAGACCTGCCAGTAATGTGAGAAGTGCGGACGGCATTCGGCGAGGTCGGCGATGATGGTCGCGACGAAGGTCGCGATGAGGAAGTAGCGGATGGCTTTGAGCATGCGCTCGTGGCTGGAGGTCCAGATGTTGATGGTGAGGCGCTTGAAGAACTCCGTGATGGTGAGCTTGAGCATCCAGATCCTGTGGTGGGGGGGAGGTTTCATCAGCCAGCCATCCATGTGAAACCCACTGTCTCATAATTGGCCCCGTGGCAACAACGGAAGCGAAGCTCGGTTCCATTCCTTGTCGCCGAAGCAGATACATTCACACAAAAAAGAAGGAGGATATTCTTACGTGGCAGCATACAACACCCGGCTCACCAAGACCAACTTACTTCCCAGCGCCCGATCCGATATCTGGGCCGCGGACAGGCCATCCACCACGACGTTGTTGGTGCCATACAGCAGGATCACATGGACCACGGCCATCCTCGCGAACAGCGGGATCATGCACGCGAACGCTAGCCAGTCCTCCTTGAACAGCTTCTCCGTGCGTACGTATCGCCCGCAGACCCGGAACAGGATGATGACCGCTGCGAAGATGGTGCACCACCAGCACACGAGCAACGTCGCCTTGTTGTCGCGGAAGGCGCGCGCCGGCGGCGGGGGGCCGTAGATCGACATGATTTTCGCCCTTCTCCTTCTCGGGCTTGCCCGCTCTGCTCTGCTCTGCTCTGCGGTGCGGTGCGGTACTGTGCTGTGCTGTGCTGTTCTGTGCGCTCGCGGAGAGTTGAATGGGGTGGGCCACGCCCGTCCGCGAGGGACGAGCGGGGGGGATGTTCGTCGAAGGGGAGCTTGCTATGCCTGGCCGTGCGATGGGAGGTTGTGGTCGTGGTCAGGAGTCTCTGTCAATAACTGCGCATCCCGTCTGGATGCGAGCGGGCGTCGGTTGCGAATTGTGCGGCGCATGGGCCGGTGGTGCATCAGCATTCGCGGGACTCGAAATGTCGTGCCGCGGCTGGTGATGGGCGTCCCCGCACGGTGGTTGCCGGTACGTAATCGGTAATCCAGCGTTGGGACAGTAGGGCTGTATGGCTGTATGGGCTGTATGGGCTGTATTGGAGAGGTGTATGGTTCTGTCGATATAGAGTTGTACCGGTATGCGGGTATGCAAGTATGCAGGTATATAGAGGATGGAGGATGGGATGGGATGGGTGGGTGGAAAGGGGGGGGAGGGGGGAGAGGGCAGAGGGGAGAGGGGAGAGGGAGAATGGGAGGGAGAGATAGCAAGAGAAAATCTCTGCGTGGTGTGATGGTGTGTCGGCGGAAAATAGCTCCAGTAGGATATTGGAGAAGCGAGTACCGGTTACAGCAGAAGGACCCGTGATCGGACCCGGGGCAGAAGGGACAAGACTTTGGTGTCGCTGAATATAGAAGTGACGGACTTCTCGAAGAAGCTGGTGGTAATACGGGAGTGGAAGCTCAGTATCAGCATCCAAGTATCCGTCGCAGCATCAGTGCAGTGGAGTGGAGTGGAGTGGAGTTGGAGAGCCGACTGTGCAGAGGAGGATGCCGATCAGAGCATCTGTTCAGTAGGTACTGTAATGAGCACCGCGCTCCTTCAGCCTTGGGAGGGGGCTGGCCACCACGGTCAACATGGTCAACATGGCCAACAGCGTCAACAACGTCAGCCACCCGCAACCCAACCCAGGCGCCTGCATAGGTCGGTACCGGTATTGGTGGTTGACCATCTCTGATGCCGGTCTTTTTTTCTTCTTTCCTATTTTCCTTTTATTTTTTATTTTTTTTGTTTTTTGTTTTTTGTTTTTTGTTTTTATTTTTCTCTTGACGCGACATAGACTTTGGACAGACCGCCGATACTGGATCCGACATAGCGGCGGACACCAAAATGGTGGTGGTGGTGCACACTCATCATCTCACCATCGGCGTCACCGAAAATGTGGGTGTGAGTGGATGTGAGTGGATGGGGAGTGGATGGGAGTGGATGCGAGTGGATGTGGATCATGAGGATTCGGGTTAGATTGGGCCGGCCCTTGTGGCTGGGAGTTGGGGCTGGAGCTGCGGCTGGTGCTGGGGCTGAGGCTGGAGCTGCGGCTGGGGCTGGGGCTGGGACTGGGACTGCCACACGTGACTCGGGCGACACGGGATCTGCGAGATGAGCAAAAAATCTGCAGTCCTTGGAGGCGGGAATGCGGATCGCTCCACTTGACCACCCACCGCACCACTCGATCGCGGTGCAGATCAGATCAGATCAGATCAGATCAGATCAGATCAGAAATCCAGTCCGTCGGCTACGCCGACAATCATATTCGACATCATGCAAGAGCCGGCCGACCATTTGACGTCCGTCTTAGCCGCCTCAGCCGCCTCAGCCGCCTCAGCCGCCTCAGCCGCCGCAGCGGTTCATGTACGTAGTACGTAGGATGTACCGGTAGGATGTAGTACGCAGTATTTAGTTATAGCTTAGTTGTAGGTACCGGTACCGGGAGCTTGTTGCTTCCTGGACATCTGGGCCTCGGACCTCTCTCTTCCCCGGATAACGGAACGCAGGCAAGACGAAGACGACATGGAGACGAGAGACCACCTGCCGACCAGCTGCAAAGGCCAAAGATTCCTGTGGTACAGCAAGTCCAGGAACCCTCCTCGAGAAAAAATGATAATACTTTTATTGTAGACGAAGACTCCCTCGGGGAAAATGGTTGTCGATGTCCATGCGCTGCACTACCGGTACACTCACTGTACGGACTGAGCCCTCCACGCCAAAGATTCGATCAGCTCAGCTCAGCTCCGCTCAGCTCCGCTCCGCTCGATCCATCTCATCGTGCGTACCGAATCGCAGATAACGCACCGTATACCACGCGTCGAAACAACCCGAGCCCGTTTCGTTTCAGCTTCAATCTCGTTCTCGGGACACCTTGTCTATAAAACCAACCAACCCTGAGTCTTCCTCATGCCTGGCAGCTACGTGCGAAAGGACAGGAAGACCACGAGATGACAGATTTCCACCCATCCCCAGCCCCGAATTCGGGTCTGAAGATCCCGCTCCTCGACTACCTCCAGCTCGCTCTCCTGCCGGTCTCCCTGACCTGGTCTCTCGTCCAAGTCACGTTTCGCCGCACCAAGAACATTGGACAGAACGAGATCCCCTTCCTGAAAGACTATCTCCTCACCATCGCACGGTATGATGATGCTCCACCACCCTCCTTCACACCTACCGGTCAAGAACCGACGAGGATAACACCAGTGCAGCGCCATCCCCATCCCCTTCTCCGTCTCCCGCATACTCTACACGCCCAAGCCTACGCTCGAGTCCCCTCGCTTCCGGGCACACGCCAGCAGCATCTACCAGCCCGTCACCCACAGCCGCGTCGCCGGCTACTGGCTGTGTCGCGGCGCCCCCGGGCACGCGATCGAGGCTCGGGAGAGTGACATCGTGCTCTACTACCTCCACGGCGGGGCCTACACGACGGGCTCGCCCGCGAGCCTCCTCCCTGCCGTCCTGCGCATCGCCGAGCTGGCCGCCCAGCGCGGTATCACCCTGTCCTGCTTCGCGCTGCAGTACTCGTACGCCCCGGAGCAGGTGTGGCCGACGCAGCTCCACCAGGCCGTGGCCGGCTACCGGTACCTGCTCCAGCAGCAGGAGATCCCCGCCGCGAGGGTCGCGGTCCTGGGCGAGTCGGCCGGGGGTCACCTGGCGCTGAGCATGCTCGTGCAGATGGGCGCGGAGGGCCTGGCGCCACCGGGTCGAGGCCTGTTCCTGTGTAGTCCGTGGGTGGACCTGGCGTGCACCCGCGGCTCCTACGTGAGGAATCGGTACCGGGATTTCCTCAGCCGGGCGAGCCTCCGGGTGTGCGGGAGGCAGCTCTTTCCGGATCGGGACGTGAGCGGCGACGGCGCCGCGGGGGGTCCGGTCGTCGATTTCTCGGCCCCGGACCTGCCGGGTGGTGGTGTTTCGTGGAAGGGGATCCTGCCGAGCCGGGTGTGGGTGTCGGTGGGCGGTGACGAGGTGTTCCTGGATGAGATTGTGGCTCTGAAGCAGAGTCTGGAGAGCGCGGGTGTCGTGGTGGAGATGGAGGTCGAACCGGGAGAGGTCCACGTCTGGCAGGGGGTCAAGGATGTGTTCGACGTGGGGAAGTATCTGAAGATGACGGGTGACGTCCCGGAGGACCTGCTCCCGGGCGCGAGAAATATCGCGAATGCGGTCCTCGCCGAGGTTCGAGGTTAGGGTCCCAGGGAGACGGGGAATTTCACACGCGGGAAATGTATGGCCAGTCACGAGTCACCAATCGCCAGAGTCAGGAGTATCTGATTAAGCGCAGATACGGGAGACTAGATGAGGAACGAGATATATAGTATATAGTATATAGTATATAGTATATGGTATATGGTATATAGTATATAGTATATAGTTTTTTGTTTAAAGAAAAAAATAGACCCTCCTTGATATTGTATTGATTGCGAGCTTTTCTCATCTCTCGTCTCTCGTCTCTCGTCTCTCGTTTCTCGTTTTATCAGAAAAAGAAGACGAAGGAAGCAAAATCGTAAAGTGGAAAAAAAAGGAGGTCAACCCGCCACTACTTTATTCGCCTCCACATCACATCTTCCATCACGGATCGTAAGAGCGCTTTTAAAAAAAAAAGAAGAAGGGGGCTTTTCTTCGATGAATGTCGCATCTTTCTAGCGATCTGTAGATTTCTAGCTAGGTATCTGTAGATATGAAGCAAGGGGTTGGTTTCGGTGGGGTGGGGTGTGTGTGTGGTGATGTGGTGTTGTGTGGGGTGTGTGTTGTGGTGGTGTGGTGTGTACTAGATGTGGTAATACAGATAGGTAGATAGATAGGTGGGTGAGTGATACGGTAGTTAGATGCTGAGGTTCAAATGCAGAATGAGAGAGGGAGGGAGGGAGAGAGGGAGAGAGGGAGGGGAAGGAAGCCAATCTCAACGTGTCTCTTCTTTTCAGTACTGATTTTCATTTCAGTATCTAATTGTCTAATTATTTAATTATCTAATTATCTAGTTCTCGGTAAGAAAGAAAGAAAGAAGGAAAGAGAGAAAGAGAGAGAGTCCTTCTCTGCATACTTTATTTTATTTTCTGCTTTTTTTGCTTTTATTTTCTGCTTTTGCTTTTGCTGGTTTAGCGAGCGAGATGCTTACTTTTGCTTTTTGGGGATGTTGATGTAGATATATAGATATAGATAGATAGATAGATATAGATAGATATAGACAGATATAAGGTAGATAGATATAAATAAACACATCCCTTTCCCCTTTCCCCTTCCCCTTTCCCCTTCCTCATCACCACACACACACACATACACACACACACACACATATTTTCCTTTCCTTTCCTTTCCTACCAACCCTCTTACGTAGTTCCCCTTTCCCCTTTCCCCTGTCCCATGGTCGATTTGAAAAAACAAAAAAAAAAGGGAAAAGGGAGAAAAAAGAGGACGGGTATTTTGGGGGGGTAGGTATATTTAGACGGCAAGCTTGCAATCCTGAGATCCATTTCTAGAAAGAGAGAGACAGAGAGAGACAGAGAGAGAGAGAGAGAGAGAGATGTATAACCAAAATCTTACATAAAAAAAATATGTAAAAGAAATGGAAAAAAAAATGTATATATATTTAGACGGCAATCTTGCAATCCTGAGATTCGTTTCTAAAAAGAGTGATAAAGAAAGAGAGATATATATATACATAATAATAAAAACACGTAATAAAAAAACACGTAATAAAAAAAACACGTAATAAAAAAACACGTAATAAAAAAATTTTCTAACCGAAAATCCAATCAATCTCCTTCCTTGTCTTCCCCCTCCCTCCCACTTCCCAACCCACCCACCAAAGAATTAAACATATATGTATATACACCTATCTATATATATATATCCAAATCGAAACCCGAAAAGTGTATAAATTTAAACCCTCATATTTTTTTTTCTATAAAAGAAAGGCAGTCAAGACACCCCCCTCCCCTCCTCCCCTCTTCCCCCCTATATATAAAAAAAAAAAAAGAAGGGAAAAAAAAGAAAAAAAAAAATTGGGGCACTTAAATATATACATATATATTTTAGCACACATAACTAGGTACCCAAAGTCAAATAAAAACCCGAACCGTTATTCATTTACTTAACCTCCCTTCCTCCCTTCCTCGCTTGCTTGCTTGCTTGCTTTACCCTGAGAGACCAATTAATACAGATACCTACAGTAAGTAAGGGGAGGGAAGCGGAGCGGGGCGGGAGGGTATGGCATGCTAACACGATACACTTATGATACTCACTCACAACACTGACTTACAATACTGACTTACAACACTTCTCCAAAAAAAAATCCTATATATATGTAATTTACAATAAACTTATTTTTTAAACAACCCCCTCCCCCCCCCCCCCAAGATTAATCCCAAGAACGGTTAGTTAGTTACTCAGAGAAGAAAAGGAAAAAAGTAGAGTACAAAAGTACAAGCAAGGATTCTCGTCGGCCGGTTGGACTAGGTGCGCAGCAGAGCGGTGTACGTACGTACGTACATACATTCAGGTATCAGATCGTGTCATAACAGGGCGAGCTCTTGATCCGTGGCAGTTGTGGTTGTCGTTGGGGGGTTAGGTGGGGAGGTAGGTAGGTAGGTAGAGGTAGGTAGGTAGGTAGGTATAGGTAGGTAGGTAGGTAGTAAGCCAGAGAGGCCTTGAAAGAGAAACAAAAAACCCCCCCCCAAAAAAACAGGAACCACAGAAATACACACACAAACCATGCTCATTCAATTCAGCATCTGCACCATCCATCTACATAGCCTACATAGCAGCCAACTCCATCCTCACACCCTCTAGATCCCCCTTCTGCGCCCGCCCCCAATCCACGCCCTTCAATCCCAGCAGGCCTCTCCGAACCCAGAGCTCGTCCGCAACGACGCTCCTCACACTCGGATACCGATGCACCAACATGCCCACCATCTTCGCCGCTGCTTTCGCGCCCACCCCTGCGGCGGCTCCCATCTCTACCAGGCCCCCGTAAAGCCGAACGCACACCTCAATCTTGCGGATGTTAGTGCTCTGGTAATGCGCTTTCTGGACCCAGAGAAAGAAATCCTTCCAGTCGACCGAGGACTGTTGCATGACCCCCATATCGAACAGGAATCTCATGACTTCGAGCGCAGAGACGAGGATCCGGTCGTTCGAAGACTGTACGTTGCTTTTGATGATTGCGAGGAGAGTCTGCCCCGTCAAATCACAGTTTGAGGGGGAGGCTTCGCAGAAATCGAGGAGCGCGGAGCGAGACGCCTGCACGAGTTTTTCGGCGCCGGCGTCAGCAGATATTACGTAGCCCGAGAGGAAGGTTTCGGACCAAGTTGAGGCGTGTGGAGATGAGCTATACCACGGGAGGCATTGGATATCGAGTAAGATGCGGAAGTAGGGGGTGGATGAAGGGTCGAGCGTTTGCACTGTGGAAAGCTCGTTATCATTGAGCAGTAAGCAGCGTTGGCCTTCTCTTCGGACTCTGTCTAATTTCTCCGCTGCTGTCCGTAGTACCCGACCGCAAAGTCTGGTTCTAATCTCTGATTCATGGTCAGGGGCTGTTGTAGAAGCCCAAACAGAACGCACAACTTTGGCGGCTTCGATGCGAACTTTGGAGCCGACGTCGCCTTGGGCATTGGTCGTGAAATCGTCCAGGCCCTCTTCGATGAGGCGGAAAACAGAGTCTAATTTGGTACGGATGATAGGGCTAGGTGCTAGACATCTGAGGATCGTAACACGAGTGTCTATATCTGGATCTTGGGTCCAGATTTCTTGGATCGTGCTGAGGATGGCTTGTTGGTGTCTTGGTGTAACGGGAAAGACCTTGAAGATGGCGTGTAGGTATGCGCCATTCTTGGAGGCATGTCGGCCTTTAGAGAAGGTCTTAGACTTGTAGATATACTGCTTGATTAGCGCATCCATTTCGTCCTTGCTGACCAGTGTCATCAGCTCCGCGACTGCGTCTGAGACAATGTTGACTATTGGGCCATCGAGAGTCATAAATTTCTCGACGGCGGACATCTGACCGGCGATGAGATGTGGGATGGCCTGATTCTCAGCTTCAAGCAAGCCTTTGGTGGCCAAGAAGAGTTGGCAGGTTGCCTCCGCGATCAGTTCTTGATTTCTCACTGCCGCCCAGCCTTCATTGACGTATTTGAGAATTCCCGCGGTGATTTCTAAGATCATGGGAATCGTCTCATCTGCCCCATGGCTCGCAGAAAGATTCATATCTTCCGTGAAAAGTTTCATGATGGACGCGAGGCAGAGAACCAAACCATGCCGCTCATCACTGTCACGAACACCGAGAGTCACCATTCGCCCAGCAATGAGACTCAGCGTTTTCCGGTACCCCTCCCATGGATTCCGACTTCTCAACCGCTTGGCCCAAACCATTTTCCCTACCGCTGAGGCAGCAATTCGCCTAGCAGCAGCGTCCGTATCTTTCAGGCCGCGCCAACTCAAAAGTCCGTCTAGAAGCCCGTCGTAGTAGCCCTCCGAGAGAGCCGCTGCCTGGATTGCAACCTCCTCAACAGCTCTCGAGCGAAGCGCGATGGCATGGTAGTCGACGACTTGCACGACCGTGATTCCTTGGAGAATTGTATCCGGATTGCGTCCAATCAGCTCTTGTAGAGCGGCTGAAGAACCTCGGCGGACATTACCTGCAGGGTCAAGTGACCCTGAGATGATAAGGTCGGTGGCCAAAGTTTGCAACGCGGACAGGCTTTTCACCGACCCATCTAGGGAGTCCAGATTAATGGCTTGCAGCTCGGCTGTGGAATATCTCCTCGCCACTGCCCAGATGCCGAAGTTCGCTGCATCCCGAACATTCGTACCCGTGGAAGTGGCCGAAGTAGTGGAACGCTTTTCAAATGATAAAGCCAAGCGGAGAGCATTTAAGACAGGAGGCAGTCTCGCCGACGGAATGGAGCGGCGATACAGCAAATGCGAAAATGTCAAAACAAGACCATGCCATTGGAACGGTTTGACATCAGACAGGTCCGGGAGCCCTCTCTTGGTTCTGTACGTACCATGGAATGTGTCAAGAACGACATCTACCACCTGAGATGCCATATCAGAATCCAGCCTTAGGGTGATGATGCTGAGCGCTTTGCTGGCAGCAAGCCTGACAGGGGTAGCCGAGTCCTCGAGAGAGTCCAACAGGTCGCCTATGAGGGTCTGAACCCGATCCAGGTCTGTCAGCTGCGGATTAGAAAGTTCAAGCACGGCGATTGCCCGAAAGATCTTGATGATGATCTTGCGGGATACTGCGGACTTTTTGATAGCGTCTAAAATTGCAGTAGGCATGTCATCTTGATCTCTGGTGATGTCAAAAATGGCTGGGACATACGAAACCATATCAGGAGTTCCAGCCGAGGATACAAGCAAACCAGCAACGAACGATAGAACACCGATATAATAGTAAGGCGAGGTTTGGAGAGTTGATGCGGGATTGAGGCAAGAGAGAGCCCATTCAACTAAGGCCCGGAGAACGCCCACTTGTTGCATATCCGGTCGCATGGCTACGCGTACTAGCAGAGTTTTGGCAGCGTCTCTCTCTTTGCCAGATGATGAAAGATAGTTGACAGCAAGGAAAATAACCCGTGTCGTTACCGCTGGAACATTTGGCGGACATATAAGCCCAGGTATATTCAGTTTCACGATGTCCTCGGTCCCTCGTGAGGAGATGCTTGCAAGGTCGAATGGGGCAAGAAGTAATTGGGACAGCCAGAGCAACGCTATGTACCGTTCTTCCCAACACCAACTGCCAGGAGCTTCATCCTGGCTCCCCTCCTCGAGCGCAGAGAGGAGCAGTTCGAGATGCCTTGTCTCTGTACTCAGGAATTGCACGATCACTTTCTCTCCTCGAATCTTGCAGAAAGTGTATAGCAGCTTGCATATAGCCTTGGAAAGGGGTATCAGAAGATGCGTGTGGGATGGATTCTTGGGAGGAGTCTGCAGGTATTCGATGAACGCTCTGGCCAGGAGTGGTACAAATGCCTTCAGATGGGGATCGAGAAGTTGGGGGAGCTCTTGGAAAGGCTCGAGCTGGCATATTATTAGCAGAAGATAGGCCAGCGACTTCGTGCAGCGCATACGAGGTTCACCAGCCTGTCCGTATCCGCAAGACGAACATTGCGCCTGATATGCCCATACTTCCTGAGGAATGGTTCTAGCGATTGTCCCAAGTCTGCAAGGAGAGTCGGGGCCGAACGCTCCAGCTGGACATCCTGCTCGATTTCCGGGGCGTCCATAACAGTCGTGGTAAGCAGATGTTGAATAGAAGAAGTCCAGGCGTCGGCGAGGTATTATGAAGATCCCGGGCTGGCATGATGGCATCAACATTGGCCGGCATCGGCATCGGCAAAACGAAGATCCGGGCCACCCAAACATGCACTACTGCCTGCCTACCGGTACTACGATCTGACATGATGATTTTTCTGATTTTTCTTTAGTACAACGGCACTTGAGCGAGAGCGGGGGAGCTTCTCGCCTACTGGCTGGAAAATAATGCATCTCTAATTCATGTATTTAATTTCTATATATGCATGGATATCAATCGGCGGACTGTCGCAATGGCTCAATGGCCAAGTCCTTGAGTCCATCAACATATGCTCAACGATCGACATCTGTAAGACAGTCCGCCGATTGATACCCGCTTCCCCTTGGTTAGGGGAAAGAGAGCTGGGGCCAGCCTCCATATCAGTGGCTGGCCCCGAGGCCAAGGGGAAGCTGGTGTTAATCCGCCAGAGCCCGACTGAACATATTGCGCCCTCTCGGAAAACCTATCAAATTAGGTTTGTATTCTGGAACCTCGGGACGCAAGTCTCGGGTTTCCAGTTGAGTTTTGCCTTTTTTTTTTTCTTTTTTCAATCTTTCTTCTTTTTCTTGAAGAGGGGCTGGAGTGTGAGCTTCAGTATCGTGGACCGCCGCGTGATGATGAAAGTATCAAGACTATATATAAAAAGAGATCTTTTGATATTAGATAACGGCCTGGTTAATTTTCAACTAATGGCTCTGATCCGGAAATCTTCGTAATTCAGGTTTGTTTACATTTGGTCAAGTCTCTCCATTCTTACGGTATGGCTTTCACAAATAACAGTTGTAGTTGTAATTGTAATTATAGTCGTCAATCGACCGCCACCACGGCTAATCTTGCCCCTTATGGAAGCTGTCAAAAGCTTAAGATGCTTATGCTTACTTGGATGCGGTGTGCAACAAAACCGCCATGCTCGATTGAAACACCGACACGCTTGATCATAATTTGGCCTCGGCGACGCTGAGCGGAGGTCGTCCCACGCGGTGATTTTAATCCAAGAGAAGTCTGAATAATCTCCTGGTGGGCCTGACTCGGAGTGCTATGAGTCCTTGACCAAGATAGGAAAGGCTGGAACAATCGATGCCCGGTGGGTACGGAGTGAGAGCATCTCCCTCTCTCTTGAGCACAGAACAGCACCTAGTCAGTGTAGTAGTCAACGACCAACATGGGCAACAAATTCAGCCAGATATTCCCGCCCGCGGCGAAGTTTACCGAAAGGAGTCTTCCCGACCAATCCAACAAAGTAGGTACTCCTCCTCCTCCTCTCTCAATCGAATACCCGTTGACAACACCAGGTCTTCATCGTCACCGGCTCCTCCACCGGCGTCGGCAAAGAACTCGCCCAGATCCTCTACTCCCACAATGCCAAAGTCTACATCGCCGCGCGCTCCCAAGACAGAGCCTCCCAAGCTATCGAGTCCATCAAAGCCCTCTACCCGAACTCCAAAGGCTCTCTAATATACCTCCATCTCGACCTCGACGATCTCTCCACGATTAAAGCATCGGCGGATGCGTTTCTAGCAAAGGAGAAGAGGCTGGATGTTCTGTGGAACAATGCCGGCGTGATGGTGCCCCCGCAAGGCAGCAAGACGGTCCAGGGATACGAGAAGCAGCTGGGGACGAACTGCGTCGGACCATTCCTCTTCACCAAACTCCTTCTACCTTTGTTGAAAGCGAGCGCACGATTGAATCCACCAGAGACGACGAGGGTGGTCTGGGTGTCGAGTTCAGCCGCCGAGATCTCGCCAAAGGGGGGTGTGGACATGGGGAATCTGGATTATAAAGTCGATAAGGGAGCGTGGCACAAGTACAGCGTCAGCAAAGCAGGCAACCTGCTGCACGCGCAGGAGTTCGCCACGAGATATGGCAGCGACGGGATCATCAGCGTGGTATATATTCATTGATTGGCGCTGCTGCTGATGTATGTGGCTTGGGCGGAGCTGTGTGCTGATTTTAGTGGCAGGCTCTCAACCCCGGGAACTTGAGCAGTGACCTGCAGCGGAACCTCCCGGGCTGGCAGAATGCTATCCTGCAGAAGTTCCTGTATGCACCTATCAATGGAGCCTACACGGAGCTCTTTGCCGGCGTCTCGCCGGACGTCAATATGGATCATAATGGCGGCTGGAGTAGGTCCTACTTACCTACTTATCTCTCTGATGTACCCAGACCCCGGCGGCTAATTATATGCAGTCATCCCGTTCGGACGCTTTGGGCCACTTAGAGCAGATCTAGAGAAGAGTGGCAAGTCTAAGAAAGATGGTGGCTCGGGCATTGCAGAGAATTTTTGGGAATGGACCGAGGAGCAAATTAAGCCCTATCTGTAATATTGTAGTGTACCATTTTCTTCTTCTCCTTCTTCTCCTTCTTCTTCCTCTCCTTCTTCCTCTCCTTCTTCCTCTCCTTCTTCTTCTTCCTGTCTATAATTACCGGCCTGTTACACTGCATCCGTTCTATTGCGAAGTGAAGTTGTCTTTCATATATGGTGTTGCTAGCACCCCATTTATTCTCAATTCTTCGATGCTGCAAACGGACACCAGCTTCGAGGGAGATCCACGACAACTCGTTTCAAATATCTCAGTCGAGCCTCGAAGCTGGCATCCTACTATCTAAATCGAAGGGGGAACACTGCGGCTGCAAGGACACTTGATGACGGTCCACATTTCAAAATCCTGGATGATGAAAACTCACGCCGCATCATAAAACAATTCGGTTTTCAGCATGTGAACGTTGCTGATACCGATAGCAAGCGGTACTTGAAGAAAGAAGCGGAAAACATATCCCTTTGTGGTTTCCATCTTCAGTCAAGGTCTTAATCAGGTCTTTGAACAGCCAGATCAGCATACATTTCCACTCCATCACTTATTGGCCGCACAGAATCCAAGAACCACCTCCCTTGGTCTGGTGCAGCCAGGACATACTTTCTCTTCGACCAAATAGCGGTGGCTCTGGGCTTCTCGAAAAGCTGAAGTTGAGGTCAAAAGCTGAAGTTGAGGTCTTGGGGCGTCAGAGACTCTGGTAATGGAATGTTGTGAAATTCTGGATCTCTGACGGGTGATAGCTCTGCATGGAGCTGATGCTGCTCTTTACATTAGACCATACTTTGGTTGACGCTGGATGGATAAAGACGAACCTGCCATATAGCCAGCCTTTTGAAGCTAGGAAAATGGGATCGCATATTCGGGTGGTCGTTGATAGCATCCAAGACAAAATTTGCTTGATACGATAGCTCGACCCCCTTCATCGGCTTCCCATCTTCTTCTTCCTTTCCCAAGAACCACTCAAAATCGATTCCCACTTCAATCTGAATGTGCGATACGGCTTCTCGCCACCCCATCGTCCAGCACAGAAGCTGGCTCAAACGTTTTGACGACTAAATAGCAACGCCAGAGCGCAAATACACAGCCTGCCGGACCACGGCGGCGTACAAGGACCAGCATTTCCATTCAGGCTGACTGTTCTGACCAGAGATCGGAGTTGAGGATTTTGCTCGACCGTCCTGTAGAAGTCCCATGCGTTGAATATTCGAGTAAGTTTCTGATGGCATCCCGGATGAGGCAACTCTCCGACTTTGGTCAGTGGAAAGGTGTAGCCGCGGTATCCAGGGACCCAGAAGTAAACCGACTAGTATAGCTGGGAGGTTGCAACTCGGTGGAAGACGCGGGATGTGGAGATAGTGCCAGGAGGCTTGGCAGATCAACACCTTCGACGACTTGCTGGAGGCACTCCTCTGGAGATCATTGCGAGTCGCCATGCTGAGAATTTGCGGATGCTGTGATGTTTGAAGAACAGGAAATCCTGTTTGTGGTTGTATACGGTACACAAGCTAGCGGGGTTGCCAACTGACCCATTTGTCACGTGGAGATCAAGTAAGGCTCACATTGAACCACTTGCCCGCCGATCGCATACAAACTGTTTAACATGGGATCAATGTTCTATTCCATAATAAATCACCGCAAGAAGTTCCTTGAGATGTGGTCCTGGGAGCATTCGGTATCCGATTACTTATTCATCTTTCGCTTACCTTCCTTCGCTTATGGCAACACGTGGTCGCGTCGCGTAGGGGAGTCCGCTCGCATTGATAGATATACCTTATGGACTATTGATTGCTCTAGGCTCTTAGGGTGACGCGTAAGGATCTAAATATATCAAGAGATTCCTGATATCATTGCATTTATTCCACTTCCTTACATGAGAGCACGTGTTAAAAATACGCATCTTAACTAGCGCGTGTCGCCACCTGACTTTGCGTCGTGCCGAGGGCGAAATTCTCTTCCGTACATGTCTCTCGCTCAACTGTGTCTTGCTCTGAAATGCGTAAATCGTAATGCATTTTGATAGGCCTTGGGATTCTCTTTGCGTGTTTCTACTGTTTTTGCCAGCGTTCTCGCTCTTGGGTTGTATTGAGGGCTGGCTGGTCGAAGTCGAAGTCGCTTCGTCCCTAGACCAAATCAGCATATCTTTTGTCATTATTCAAAAAATCAACAGGTCAATTTGTTTCCGCTATGTCCGCAATTCTGAGTTTGCAATTCTTCTGAGTGATCATTTAGTACCTCTGTAAGCGCGGCGACGATGTATCTTTTTAGTCGTTTCTAGCAAGATATAGAAGTGGGCCCGATAGAGATTATACCAAAGGAACTTGAAAGTCACGAGTATCTTATGTCTAGTCGGCCGAGATCCAGTTAGAATCTTTTCCTCCTGAAGAGGGATTGCTGATCTCCTCTTTCTCCCTCGTTCCTTGTGTATCTGAAGCTTAATAGTCCTGTTCCTCTATCATTGGTTTATCGTATATCTTATCTTTGAAAGCGAGGTTCGGGCCCGGTTATGGATCCGCTCACCATGCCTAGTCACATACCGTATAAAACGGATAATCTTTGTTTCTTAACTGATCAGTGCGTTGACTGCGAAAAAGCCGAATGGCCTAAATAAATTGGAGTCTGGAAAAGAAAAAAAGTAAGAGAAGTATGGAAAAGGCTGGTGGGCAGCCCTCGATCTCCGAAATCGCCCCTGGTAAGCTTCCACCTTCAAAGGAATCTAGATCAATGGTACGGTATCCGTCGTCCGCGTGGTGGCCCACTCTACCTATTTTAGGTGTGACGTACGAAGGCGTCACTTCGGAGAACCCGTAGATTCAAGCAATTAGGCCGCTGGCTTAGTGCACATCTAAGTATCCATTACCCCAAGAATCAAAGCCCAAAAATCAAAGCTTCTTTCCGATAAAACTCTTGGTCAGGCATCGCAACTGTCGAGAACAAGAGCTGCTCATCGGACCCGCCATCCAGCATGGGAATATCAATCATTTGATAGATATAGGGAGATTAAGATATCGGTCTAAACGTCAAATATTGCCAGTATCGACGAACACAATGTTTGGCATGTTCCAACGACCAACTGCTGCTGTTGCGGCAGTAAGAGCGGAGATGGACGCCGACAGGAAAATCGGTAACAATTCCCAAGACAGGGAAACATCCGTTCAGATCGTGGACTCTCAGGAAGAGAACAATCTCCAAAGAGCTTTGGGTCAACGCCATATCCAGATGATCGCTCTGGCAGGCGCAATTGTAAGTTCTCCTCGTCGGACCACGTAATAATAAGAACATATCTCACCTAAGTAGGGTACTGGACTTTTTCTCAGTCTTGGAGGCGCTCTCCAGACAGGAGGTCCACTAGGGGCATTGATCGGATACGCTTTCGTGGGCCTCGTCGTCTGTGCAGTCCAATTCGCCCTCGGAGAAACATCAGCTCTGTTCCCGGTCACTGGGTCGTTTGTTAGACATGCCGAGTTGATCGTAGACCCAGCTCTTGGTTTCGCTGTTGGATGGAATGTTGTTTACGGAACCTACCTCAGCGTCCCATCTGAGATATCTGCAGCCCTCGTCCTCATTCAGTTTTGGACGGACAAGTACCCGGCGCTCTGGATCACTCTCTTCATCATCGTGACGTTCATCGTCGGCATTGTCTTCGTTGGCGTCTACGGCGAAGTCGAATTCTGTTTCGCACTTCTCAAGATTCTCCTTGTGATCGGGATTATCATAATGGGCCTCGTGATCGATCTCGGCGGAGTACCTGGTCAAGAAAGGCTCGGGTTTAGATATTGGAAAAATCCTGGACCCTTCGTGGCCTATATCGCGAAGGGCCATTGGGGCCAATTCCTTGGATTCTGGAAAGTCATGACCAACGCCGTCTATTCCTTCGCCGGTGTGGAAAGTGTATCTGTCGCAGCAGCCGAAACGAAGAGTCCCCGACAGAATATTCCTAAGGCCTGTAAGAAAGTGTTCGCCAGGGTTGCGATATTCTATCTTCTCTCGGTATTGATTGTCGGCATGCTGGTACCAAGCAATGACGATACGCTTAACAACGATGCTGGAAATGCATCGACTAGTCCATTTGTCACGGCTGCTACCCGGGCTGGAATCCAAGTCGTTCCATCGATCATCAATGCCGTTGTTCTCACGTCTGCTTGGTCGGCGTCGAATCAATCTCTGCTTACAGGAACCCGAATCCTTTACGGACTGGCACTCAAGAAGCACGCGCCTCAGGTATTCCTGCGAACTACATCTTGGGGGATTCCGTGGGTATGTGTTTTGTTGCAGACAACCATCTCTACACTAGCTTTTATGAGTCTTTCCAACGGGGCTTTGACCGTCTTCTATTGGTTCCTCAACCTTACAGCTGCAGGTACCTTGGTAAGTTGGAGCGTTATTCTGGTCAACCACATTCGACTTCACCAAGCTCTAAAGGTGCAGGGCATCGCTCGAGAAGAGCTCCCTTGGTCGCATTGGTGGACACGTAAGCCTTCCAACCACCCATACTAAGGTAGAATCTTACGTCTGCTGACATTTTTCAGCATATACCTCATGGGTTGCTCTTGTCTCGAGCATTCTTTTCCTGCTCACAGGTGGCTTTACGGTCTTCGTCAAGGGTCGATGGAATACAGCGACGTTTATATCCTCGTATCTGTAAGTTGCCGACACCCTTTACGTTCCGCGATCACCGTTATAACACAATCTAGCGATATTCCAATTGTAATTTTTGCTTATTTCGGCTGGAAATTCTTCAAGGGGACTAAGATCCTGAGCTTGGAGTCTATTCCTATCCGCCAAGCACTCGATGAGATGAATGACAGCCCGGAAGAGCCCATGCTGCCAACCACTGGATGGAAGCGGTTGAATATATTTTGGGGATGATTAGAGGAGGACAGGTAAGGAAAAACATTGCACTAAGCTTTAGCGCGCGTATTCTATACCAAGGTTGAATAAGTTACATATCACACGATGGCTGTACACCTCAAAATCCCATTATCTAATCGCTCAAACGTCCTGGTCCGACCCAACTAGGCCATTCCGGCTCTGCACAAGGATTCTCCATCGTCCTAGAAGCACACGGGGTAGTCAGCAATCGCCAATCCAAACAGGGAGAAGGATAGCAGGAGGACAGGACAGGACAGGACATTCTTTCCCCCGTCACTTACCACTTCCGTATCCTCGACAACTTCCAGCCCGACTGCGACACAATCCTATCCTCGCGATCCGGCTTCACGTACTTCCCAAGCCGGAACGACTCTCCCAGTGTACACACTTTCTCGTAGTACACGTACTGGAAGCATCGGTCGTAGGCCTCGCACGCCTTTTCGCAGTTCTCGAAGGACAGGTGTGCTTCTTTCTCGACGTCGGGGCGATCGTCGGTTATTTCTCTGCGCTTGGCATGCGATACCTTGCCGGGTGCGGGCGCAGGTGCTGGCTTTTGGGATACTTCCCTGGTCTCAAGCTTGAGGTCGGGTTTCTTCTCTTCTTCTTTTGTGTCTGGTTCTGTTTCTTCTTTCTTTTCGTCTTCCTTATCGTCTTTGTATTCGTCTTTCTCGCCATCTTTACTTTCGTCTTTCTTTTCGTCTTTCTCGCCTTCCTTCTTATCGTCCTTCTTATCGTCCTTCTTATCGTCTATCACATCCACATCCGAAGTCCTATCATCTTTGCCCCCCTTCTCCGAGCCTAGGGTTTCGCCGTCTTCGGCGGGCTGCTTGACATCCTTGCTGTCTTTGCTTGGATCAGTGTCTCCACCCTCTCTTTCTCTCTCAGCCGCATCTTCTTCCAAAGCCTTTTGCTTTTTCTCTGTCTCCTTTGACGCAGCAGTGCTAGCCGCAATCTCTCCATCAAGCAATTCATTCTTGGACTCCTCCATCTTCCTCCGCGCCTCATCTAACTTCTTCGCTTCCTCGAGCTTCTTTTCCTCCCAAAGCTTCTTATCCTCCTCATTCTTCCTCGCTTCATCAATTTTTCTATCCTCCTCGTCGAACTTCCTCTGCAGCTCCAAGATCTTTGCCTCAATTTCCTCCGTCTGCTTTTCCGAGAAGGTTTTCCCTTGAGACATATTGTCCCAATTATCTCTCGTCTCGACGAAAAGCGGTTCTACAAAATGAAAGTAGAGATCCGCGAAGGTCGTACCCTATAAAAGCGTCAGATCTTCCTACTCCATCACACAAGTCTGCGGCCTCTCACATTCGAATTGATATCCAAGATCTCCCTCTTCCTCTCGTACCTCCAGATCGCACTAATCTCATGCGGCAAAACATGATGCATCGTCACGACTGGTGCACACCAGAGCTGATTGGGTCCAAAAGACATGGTAGCGGGCTTATCCCCATTCGTCAACGGGTGAGCCCCAGAAACATTGATTCCCTTCTCCTTCAAGGCTACCGCAAGCGCCAAGTCCCCACAGCAAACATCCTTCATCTTCTTGTCCCACTTTGCGGCTAGCTCCTGCGGTTGGTCCGACCCCAGCAGCTTGTTCATTGCCGCGTTAGATAAGACGTAGCCACTTCCGCCATGTCCAAACGCCGTTCCTTCGATGTATACAGGGGCACCCAAATACATCGGTTTCGTAGAATCCAACCTCCCCAGCCATTCGGCGAGGTTACTCCACACGACATACGAATCGGTCTCGATGAATACGCTAGAGAATAACTCATGACTCAGCATTGCCATTCCGAAAAATAAAATGGAGAGAGGTGACTTTTTGCACATGGTCCACGAAGCTGCAATGGAGTTTCACGCCCAGGGGCACGACCGGGAAGCCTCCGAGGTAAATCTCGACAGGGAAAGAACACACACACACAAAACAAAAAAGAAAAAAAAAGGAAGAAAAAAAAAAGCTTAGAGGACACATACTACCATTTCGCATTGGGTCGCATTTCAAAGGTCTCCTCGACCATGTGCAAGAACTTGTACTTATCCAGCCGCCAGCCGGCCCTCCCGTCGCCTTTACTCCTCTCCTCCTTCAGCTCCTCGATATCCTGGCCGGTGCGCTGGTAGCGGCGGATGTCGCGGTAGATCTGGAAGTCGGCGTCCGACTCCTTGAGCGTCTGGTCGACGTTGCGCAGGGCGTCGTGGATGAGGAAGGGGCCGATGGAGCCCTGCAGGTCGGAGAAGAAGAGGATGTCAGCCGGGTCGAGGTAGCGCAGCGTGGTGCCGACCTGGATGGACAGGTGGGAGACCTCCTGCGCGCCCGTCTTGAAGATGATGACGATGCCCCGGCCGCGCAGCCGCGCCACCGTCTCCTGCTCGGCCGTCGGCTCCTTGGCCGCGACGGTGCCGCCCTTGGAGGAGGGGATGTGAATGGGCGGGACCTCGACGACGGGGAGGCGCGTGGCGGCTTCGACCACGACGCGCGGACACGTCGCCGTCTCGGTGGCTGTCGCCGTGGCGGTGATGTACTGGGTCTCGGTCCGCGTCGTGATGATGGATTCGACGACCACGTCGCACTCGGGCGCGAGATCGGCCGCGAAGGATTGAAGCCTATGCACCGTCTGGCTGCTGTTCCAATGCAGCGCCAGCGACGCTGCGTCGATTTGCGGAAACCGGTTGCTCGCCCGGAACCAGTACCCGAGAAAGAGAAACATGAAGATGAGGGCAGCGGTGTTCGCCGATATCCGGCGGAGGGGAGACATGATGCTGATAACCCTACTGTCCTGCGGCGGAAGCCTTCTGTCACGGCTGGGCCGAGCGAATCTGGGATGAGCGAGAACGATTCTTCTGTCTATGTAACGAAACCTAGATGGGAAGGAAAGGAAAAGAAGATGGATAGGTGCTGTTTTTTTCCCGCGACGACAGAGACGATAACAAAGACGACGACGAAGACAACACCGTTTTCCGAGATGTGGCTCGATCGTTTTATTGGGGAGGGGGATGAGACCTGACATTTTTTTTGACTGCCTGCCGCAAATATTCGATTCTACGACGCAAGGGAGTCCGATGTCCAGATAACCTAAGCGAGCCCAGAAGCAAAGCCAGCGAAAAGGGACACACCCACACACGTGACGAGCATGTATCTTGTTTTTGCTTAAGCGACGATCTATCATCTATGTCCTTATTCCCCTTGCCGGGAGCCAGTTCTTTCTCTCGCCCTGGAAAGCATTCTATCCCGTGCTTTACTTTATCTGAACTGATCCGTCGCAGAGCTTCCGCCGAAAATTCTTCTGCCGGCGAAAAAAGCAGCTCCCATGGTTGTTGTTTGTATGTATGCAAGTTGGATGCTTGGTTCGTGGCCTAGCGGGCCCCTTTCTCGCACGCAGGAGAAATGCCAGGTTGCGAGGCTGCCGTGGGAGAGCGAGCGCCTCTCGATAATTTTTCCATCGCCGGATCTCAGGAAGATGGAAATACCTATATGTGCTCTCTCTCTCTCTCTCTCTCTCTCTCTCTTCTTTCCGGTTTGGGGGGTTTTTTTTTTTTTTTTCTTTTTTTTTTCGGGGTATGGCGGCACATACCTACGTAACAAAGGCAGGGAGGGGATAACACGAAAACTAACGCACAGACGTTCGTGACGTTCGTAGATTAGCGAGGTTAAGGTTAAGGTAAAGTGAGGTAATGTGCTGTCGAGATGTGCGATACGTGATAGAGGATGGTCAAGGTTATCAATCCACTTCCTTTCATTCGAGTCGATAAACTACTCCGTATAGAGAGAGAGAGAGAGAGAGAGAGAGAGAGAGGAGGGGAGAGAGAGATAGAGGACGGGAGAGAGGAAGGGAAATTACCGCGCCACTCACTCACTCGACTTTGACTTTTCCGTAAATCCCTAACCGTGCGCCCAATAAGGCAAGCTACGGTATCGGCTGCCCTCTGCTCTCTGTCCGGAGTGGAGCGGCGGAGCCGACCGATCCTGGCGAAGACCATCAGGATGACGGCGCGCACCACAACGACGTCGTTACGGGTACAAGAAGCTTTCCTCCTATCTCCCTCCCTGGCGTGGTGGTGGAAAGCGCAAAGGGGCAATTCTACACCGCTAAGAGCTCTCGCCTCGGCTTTTGCTCTACGTACGTACTTTAACCAGAGTTGCGGAGACGCAAAGTTTGCTCGTGCAAGGTGAAGTAAAGTGACCGATCGATTTGTCTGTGCAGTACTTAGAGCTGCCATGACTCTGTAGGGCGATGGAGATAACAGGGTGGAGATGGAACTCTTACGGAGAGTGTGGAGATGGAAGTATAAACGGCATCTGGCAGGGAGGTCAGGTCGGTGGAACTCCAAGGAGCGACGGATTCAGAGGTATGGGAAGGGGAGGGGGGGGGGGGGGGGGTACCTGTTGAACTTGGAGTATACGGTACTGTAATGTGTTGATGAAAATACGTAGTACCGAGTCTTGCAAACTGGTGTGGACCCAGTAGCTTAATGACCAAGTCGAAGGTAATTTATCCTCCGATACCGGTACATGTAGTTAGTATACTCGCGACGATGACGCAAGAGACAAAAGTTGAACGGAATGTTCATCATCGATTACCTACTACCTACGACGTACTACTGCGTACTACGTAGTAGTTCTTCTTCTTCTTTTTGAAACTTACGTAGTAGAAGAGATGATAATCCCACGCTAGCCCGTCAATAAGCCAATCCAACAAACCTTAAGAACCCCGCCATGGGACACTTGCCCACCCCCCCCACTTGGCTTTGACACCGATTGCCTGGGCCTTGAGAGATTTGGAAAAGTAAGTGAGAAAGTAATCTGGGGGGGACCGGGCTTCGAGTAGGCGGGAGAATATTCGCGAGCTGAGAGAGAGCCGGTGAGAGAGTGAGGGTTCCCCTCCATGGGTTTCGGCGCTTATACAGTAAGTGGATAGAAATCTTGGGCTTCGACAGACTCCTTGTTTCCCTACCGGGATTGTTAGCCTCTTGGCTTACTCCTCCAGTACCGTACTCTTTCTCGCCCCCTCTCGACTTAAAAGGCTCATGAACCCTTTGATTCGGCTATAGACATACTACGTACAACTACTACTACTACGTACCTAGGAGGTACTCCGCAAGCCACGCGGAGAAAAGCATGCACCCCGCGGTCTTGATGGGGGTTGTCGGATGATTCACTGTGCCGTATTACTGTGCAGTCTGTATGAAGTACTCTCGTACGTCAAGCCCAATCGTCAAGCTTTTAGAGGGGATCAGGCCATGCTTTCTGGGCACATGATTGATTGATCAGACGGGCTCGGCACATCTTTGGCCGTGAGATACGTAGTATAAGCTCTCGTCCACCACGCATGCAGAGAGGGAGAGTGTAAGTACGGTGTATAGTACCTAGGTACTACTAGATAAGGGAGAATCCCGAGCGGAGAATGCGATTGGGTCGATGTTTTTGGCTCAACGGGTTGTGATCATGACGGGTAACTTAACTGACAATCTCAGACGAGGTGTCAGAAATCAGACACCAGCTGACACTGACACTGACATCTTCCTGATAAGCGACGATCCGGGGTCGCTGCGCGTGAGGTGGCGTGGCCTAGCCGACGATGTAAAGACATGAAACGTGGAACTTGAGTAAGTAATAGGAAGGAACGGAAACCTAGGAACCGAATCCATTTTTGGCATCAGTTCACGTCGCCAATGCCGTGGTGACCTGTTGGGAGACTACCACCGCCACAAGCCCATACCGATATCAGGAGGATATGTATCAAGCAGTATGGAAGACGGGTCAACGTGAGCAGAGAGGATTGAGAGATACATTCAAAGGCGTAAACAGCTTTTCAACCCAAGTCATGCTTAAAATTAGCAAAAAATGTACTACTAGTACGTATGAAAAACCCACCAAGTCAAATTGCAGTGGAGTCGACCCAGGCAAGCAATACCAAGATCCTGGGCGCAGGAACTGCAGCTCTTGGAATGTGGACGTCGACGTCGGACCGATATGCACGGGCAGACTTCGAGTCCTGACCCCCGCTATAGCAAGCTGTTTAAGGCTTCGGGCGTTATATCACAGGGTTGCCTCCGCCACGGATCCTGGGAGGGGAGCTCAGGGATGCTGAGGATTATAAACAAAGATCATGTCCCCCATCTCAGGGTCCCAATGAAGACCGATGAGCTCGCAAGTGCTCGGACAAAAATCTCTGCCCTTTGGCCGTTCCCGATCCTACTCTTACAGACGGCTTACAGACGGTCTCCCCCTCTACCGCAGCGAAAATGGCGGGCGGTGGTGGAAAACCCCAGAACGTCTTCAAGCTCAACCGCGGAGATGATCCACAGGAAGTCCTGAACTGGAGGCTATGGTTCGCTGTCGTCTCTTTCGGTATCATGGGAGCAGCTCGAGGTATCTATGGAAGGCACAAGTCTGCCGCCAAACGTAGCTAAAGTCTTCCTAGGCATTGACGAAGGTCTTATTTCTGGGACTCTGGCCAAAGAAAACTTCAGAGCGCTCTTGGGTCTCGACAAGATGGATGACGTTAAGCTTGCCAACGTCAAAGGCAACATCTCTGCTAGTAAATATACAAAGACAGAAATCTTGTTTATTTCCTTTTCTTTTCCAATCGGGCATACTGACTACGGTGTCTAGTGGTGCAAATCGGCAGTGTTGGCGGTGCAGCGCTGGTGAGGGATTTCTGGCCCACGTTCTGGATGAAGGCTGATCTTAACAAGGCATTCATTCTCTGCGACCGTATCGGACGCCTCTGGGCGACGCGACAACTCTGCTGCCTCTGGACTCTCGGGGTGGTGATCTTTCTGACCAACGGCGGCCGACTTGGACAAGTCTACGCCGGGAGATTCATTGCTGGACTCGGCATCGGACAAACGACAGTTGTAGCACCGGTCTACCTTTCTGAAATCGCACCCAAGTCGGTTCGGGGTCTCTGCACCTGTGCATTCTCGGGGAGTGTCTACATCGGTATCATGTTGGCATATTTCGCTTCATGGGGATCTGAGATTCATATGCGAGATGGATCTCGGAATCAATGGGTAAGTCGGCTGGCTGGCTTCCAGGCTCCAAATACGTCTAGAGAGGTATATATGTTGACGACCGCCAAGGTGGTACCAACTACCATCCACCTCATGTTTGCCGGACTCATCGCCATCCTCTCCTTCTTCAACTACGAGTCTCCTCGCTACCTCGTCAAGATTGGCCAGGTCGACCGCGCAACCGTCAACCTGGCGCGAGTCCGTGGCCTCAACGTGAGCCACGAGCACGTCAAGAGAGAGATCTTCGACATCGAGCAACAGCTCCGGGAAGAAGAAGAAGCGACCATGGGCCAAGGCTGGGTCGGCTACCTCAAAGAGATGTTCCTGATGCCCAACAACGTCTACCGAATCTACCTGGGCCTCTTCTCACAGCTGCTCGCGCAATGGTCCGGCGCCCAGAGCATCACGATCTACGCGCCCGAGTTCTTCGCCCTCCTCGGGACCGAAGGCCAGAACGAGAAGCTGTTCGCGACCGCCATCTTCGGCGTGGTCAAGTTCGTCGCGGCCATCGTCTGCGCCCTGTTCCTGGTCGACGTGATCGGCCGGAAGCGCTCGCTCGGCATCGGCATCACCCTCCAGGCCCTCTCCATGTGCTTCATCGCCGCCTTCCTCACGGCCGTGCCGGGCATCGGGCGATCCGAGGACTTTGAGTTCACCACGGGGCAGAAGCGCGCCAGCACGGCTGCCATCGTCATGATCTACCTGTCGGGCATCGGCTGGGCCATGGGCTGGAACAGCATGCAGTACCTGCTGAACGCCGAGATCTACCCGCTGCGTATCCGCGCCGTCTCCTCCTCGCTGGTCATGTGCTTCCACTTCGTCAACCAGTAAGTCGATCCCCCTTTCGTTCCGTCCCTAGCCACCAAGAGACCAGCACGTCCCAAGGGATCTGAACTCCTGGCTCCCAGGTTCAAAACTCTTTGACCCGTCCCCGTCCCCATCCCATCCCTCCCCTCCCCTCCCCTTCCCGTAGAGGGCCATGCAATCCTGACTTCTCCGCCCCCCAGGTACGGCAACTCGCGCGCCGTCCCCAACATGCTGCTAGAGCGCGACGAGGGCGGCCTCGGGCCCGCGGGCACCTTCTGGACCTTCACCGTCATCACGCTCATCGGCGGCGTCTGGGCCTGGTTCTTCATCCCCGAGACGGCCGGCCGCAGCCTGGAGAGCATGGATCGCCTGTTCCGCCTGCCCTGGTACCGCATCGGCCGCTTCGGCGAGGGGGATGCCGACGAGCAGCAGGCCGCGGCGGACTTGTACGAGAGGGAGAGGGGAGGGGAGAAAGGTGACGCGACCCAGGTGGCCGTTACCCCGGGGGTGAAGGTGTAGCTTCCAGAAGGAGGAGTAGATGGGGGGGTTGGGGGGTGATATCAGATGATATGTATGGGCTGGTAGATAAACAAATAGCTAATATTTAACTATTAATGAAGCTGTGCTTATGACTGGTTATTTTAATGGCTGTTTCTTCCGGGGGTGGGGGGAGGGGGTGTTTTCACTTTTTTTTCTTCCTTTTTCTTACTCTACGAATTGACATTTCTCATCACTCCTTGCATTGGAAGTTTTTAAGTTATGAAGTTCTGAATGTAAAGCGGGTGATAGATCCGGGTTTTGGTTTTCAAAATCTTGGCTTATGATGGCTGGCTGGCTGGCCCTCAAGTGGGGACACAAGTAGTAAGTAAGCTGTTTGGACCGACGTCATTCATGATATAAGCTTGGGTTAAGCAAGTGTCCAAGCCTCGAGGGCGCATTCTGGACTTCAAATTCCAATCCTCGAACATCATATCGACAACGACTTGACGGCCTTTACAACCACTTTGGATATTTGACATCGCAAAATACTGAAATGGAGCACCCGAGTAAGTCCATCGCCGTTCTTCAAATGACCTCCGTTGTACGAGGACAAAGAGTATTGCAATCCAATTCCGTGGAATGTAGGTGTTCGTCAGAATTGCAATACCCAATTCTAGTACATAATCCATGCCATTTACGGGATTATATAACTGATATTGTTTATAATTCATAACCCAGAACGGCAAATATCCCACGTCATTCATCTCCTGACCGAAGGCTCGCCGGCGGACCAGAAAAAGGCCCTCCACGCCTATTTCCTCCCGGACGCATCCTTCACCCACCCCCTCTGCCGGGTCCCCAGCTTCTCGCATCTCAACGTGCCTCTCCTCGGCGAGGTCAACTCCCGATGGGTCATCTGGATGATCTACCGCTGGTACAAGATCCTCTCCCCGCGCATCGTCGCCCACGTCGAATGCGATGGTAAGCAAGCCCGCTCCACCAGCTAGCTCCCTCGCGGACCCGCTGGGGTCCGCAGGCCAAGCACGTTCTCACAGAATTGACATGGGCACGCAGAGTTCAACCAGGAATCATCGACCCTCTTCGTCGACATCCACCAGATCTTCTCCCTCTTCTTCGTCCCCTTCTACAAAGCCGACGTGCGCCTCACCTCCAAGCTGAAGCTGTTCCACTCCGAGGACGACGGCAGATACTACATCGCGTCGCAGGAGGACCTGTACCAGACGAACGAGTGGGTCAAGTTCGTCTGGCCCGGCGGCGCCACGCTCATCGGGCTGGGGCAGCTGTTTGCGGCGTTCCTGTGTATTATCGGAGCGTTCTTGTTGGCGCCTGTGACTTGGATCGAGCAGAGACGCGCCATGACGACGCAAGTGAACGGTGCGAAGAAGGGTATCTGAGGCTCTTATTTCGGATTGCCATGGTCGCTGCGGTGTGCGTGTGTACACTATAGGATATATCACGACGCCGGTGGTTCATCTGTTTGGGATTTTGATTCATGGTGCACCTTTGTCAGCTAGTTCCATTCCTTTTCGGGATCTAAGCCAAGCCAAGCTTTCGCGATGAACAAACAAGGCCCTGAGCCACGAAAGCAACAGCATCGAGGTCGGCAAAGTGTATCTATCATATTATCAAGGACGCAGCAAGCGAGTCAAAGTTGAGAATGGCAACGGAAGAGTTCTCTGCATTTTCACCCCGAATAATCCTTTGTAGATGGACCATTGCCACTTGCAATAGGTCCTGTTCCCACTGTCAAAACCCCCACCACCAAAACACGCGCGCGCAGGGGCTTCTACTTCTGAGTCTGTCCCCCTCAATGGAAGGCGCAAGATCCGCGGGAAGAGAATTGATGCCCGGCGGAAAGCAAGCGGAAAAGCAACCACTCGACTTTTCGCTACGTGCTACTGTACTGTAGGTACTGTAGGTACTGTACTGTACTGTAAAGAAAGGGCGGCCGGCCTGCTTCTCCAGCGGGTGGATCTGACTGACCGTGAGGGGGATAGTAAGTACCGGTAGTAGGTACCGGTAGTAGGTACCGGATACTCATTCGAGAGGTACAGTACGGTAGCCCAGCTAGCTAGCTAGCTACGGGACTGGAGGACACTTAGGGGTAAGCTTGGCAAAGCAAGGCTAAGCAAGACACCTCCTTCTCTCCTTCCCTCCTTCCTCTCTACCTACCTACCTACCTATCACACCCTCTCCCTGCCCACCCTAGCCTAGCCTCCTCTCCTCACGTTGTACTGTAGGTACCTAGGTATACGGTATACGGTACACGGTATACGGTACGGTACAACGCCGTCAGTCAGATTCCCCGCTCTGTAATAACCAGCACCGCCTAGCACCGAGGCTGCGGGCTGGCGGCTGCGGGAGCGGACCGGACTTGTACTTTTTGAGCAAGCGGCTGGGGGTTGTGGTGGTGGTGGTGGTGGTGTTTGAGTCTGGTCTTTCCCGTTTAGGTACTCGGAGCGAGAGAGAGAGAGACGGGATGGGACGGGATGGGATGTGATGGGATGGGTACAGACGTCGTATTGTATTGTATTGTTGCTAGCGTTGGTTGGTTGGCTGGTTAGCTAGCTGGTTGTTCTTGCGGGTCCGCCGCGATCGAGACGCGGGGAGGGGAGGGAGTGGCTGTCGAGTGAGTTGGGAGCGGACTTACTAGGTAGCGGAGAAGGTGGGGTGGCGCTGAGGAGGGGAGAGGAGCGGAGAAGAGGGGAAGGGGTGTGGAGTCGGCGGCGCGCTCTTTCTACTGTACGTAGGCTTGAGCTTGAGCTAGAGCTCTGGAAACGTAATGCCGCCAATCGGCTAGCCGGCAAGAATACCTACCGCTACAGCACTAGACTAGACTAGTCTCTCAGAAGCCGCCCCGGGACTTACCGGTACGTATACGAGAGTGGGCAGAGAGGGGATACGGTAGGTACCTAGGTGGGTGACTGATTGATTGATTGACAGGCGTGACGATGACGACGAGGAAGCTATACAGTACTGTACGGTAGAGAGTTGGGGGAGGGGGAGGGGGGTCTTTCCACTCACAGGGAAAAATACATCCGGGATTGTTCTTGTGCTGGACTGCTGCGATGCGCTCGGGTTGCTTTCTGAATACCTAGGTTTCGTCCTGTTCGTACGGTGTGTGGGGCTGCAAGTTAGTTAAGTCATGAGTAGTAATATTTCGCTCTTGCTTGATACTGTGTTTATTAACACTTGGGGGTTTTCTGTGGTGTGTGTGCGTTGATTAAGTCGTGTGGTGGCCGCTAGCTGAGCTTGTTGTTGCACGGTGGCGGCGCGACGCGCAACGCATCCCTCTACGTAGGTACTTATTGATGCATAGGTACCTTGCATTTCGTTAACAGGATACCTAGGTACCGTAGGTCGTCGTGTCGGTTCGGTTCGGTTCGGTAAGCGGTATCCATTCAGTTACCAGTACAGTAGGTGGCTCAGTCAGCAAAAAGTGCTCGGCTATGAAAAGGAGTGCTCGGCTATGAAAAGGGGTACTCGGTTAGCCAAGAGGGCACATCCAGTTTGCCACCATATACGGTAGGTAGGTAAGTACCTAGGTAGGTATTCATTCATTCATTCATTTATCCAAACAAACAAACAATTTTACTCAGCGCTCACCGTCTCTCGTCTACGCACCAACACTTTTTTTCTTCCTGCTCCTCCTCGCTCGGTGGATGGAGAGCCATCTATCTATCTATCTGTCAGCAGCTGTACATGTGTGTATATATCATTTTCAATACGCCCTCTCCCCCTCCCTCTCTTATCAATTCGAAACACATACATCCCCTCTCCTCAACCCGAGCTTCCTGACAGTAAGTACGACCGATAACTACCTGCTAACTGCTAACTAACTAACTAATTAACTAACTGCTAATAATAATGCCCAAACAACCCCCCTTCACACCTCTCGCACCAGACCTTAAAAGGGCAATACTCCTCCCCCCCCCCCCCAAAATAACAAATAAATAAATAAAATAAGCCAAATTTCAACACCACAACCCAGTATCGACTCTACCGGTACCAATTCCACCTTCCACCTCCGGCCCAGTACCTATTCAATCACCACCACCACCGTCAACCCCAACCCCAACCTCAAATCAGCTCAGCTCAGCTCAGCTCATTTCCACAGCCCCCTAAATACTAAAAAAAAAAAAAAAAAAGATAGAGCCGAATTCCCCTCTCCCTCCCTTTTTCTTCCCTTTTTCCCTTTCCCTTTCCCTCTTCCTTTCCCTTCCCTTTCCCTTTCCCCTTCCCCTCTCTTCCTCCCTTCATCTTCTCCCCCCAAGACTCCTCCCAAATAAAAGCCGAGCGGGCAAAGAGGCTAGCTAAGCAGCCAACCCTCTTCGAGACGGCCGCTCTGATCGACTAACTCTACTGAGACGAGAATCGAGACCGCGAAAAAAAAA